TATATTAAAATTCTGAACAGATTATTATCAAAATCAGTGTCTTTTTATTCTTCATTGGGAAACCTCTGAAAATATGTTTCTCTCTATTTTAATTATTTCCGTTTTGTTCTTATTGTTTATTTGAATATTATTATTAATTATTTACATTGAATTTAATAAAATTAATTGATTTATAAATTTTTTTGTTTTCATTTCAAAATATTAAATAATTCAAACTGTTTATTTCTCGTCCAAAATAAAGAGCCTCCTTTATGTAAATTGTGCTTTTTGTTGCATCCTATTTCTTATATTTGTATTTAAATAATAATAAATCATTGTCGAAATACGTTGGCGTTGTCTGATCTTGCTTTTGCTCTTTTATGTACATCATGTTGTACAGAGTTTGTTCGGCTAAAGAAAATAAACCAAATTGCATGAAATTTGGCACGGTTCGCTGTGTTATGAACGAGCGCCGCCGCGCATTAATATTTGATCAGTCCAATGAATATCTGAGCAGCTCAATCTGTGTTTTCCCTCCGATGTCGTCAACGCTGATACTCTTTTGGCAAAATAGCGAGATTCGGATCATCGACTTGCCGAGATTGGGAGAGGGCAAATAACAAACTGTATGTATTTAATATGTACATATACGCAGGAGAATAAAACTGAAAGGCACAAGAATATTTATTTACGAATTTAAAAATAATATTTTATTTAAATAATATTTAATTTATTGTTTAAAAAAATTAATAAAATTTGTCATTTTATACTTAATTTTAACCTAATTTTTTTACTTTGCAAATTAAAATTATTATTTTATCTTTATTATTTAAATTTATAACTCTCAAAATGTAACATTTTCAAAATACATAATCCACAATTAATTTTTTTTTTTTTTAATTTTTATTATATTTACATTAACTCTTTTCAACATACGATAAGAGATTTGTACATTTGTATATCCATGAGAAAAATCTACTTAGTTTTAACGATTTTGGTATGTTTTAAGACTGGACGAGTTGTAATTGCTTTTTAATAACAAAATTTAACGTTCCTCAGCCACCAACATTATAAAAAAGTCTTTTGGCAAAAGCTAATCTTTATTATATGGCACAAAAAATAAATCTCTGCTGTCAAAGATCTCATAAAAATTTGCACCTTTATGATTTGCGGCGAGTGCTGCGGAGCCATATAATGATCGCGTTCCAACAATATTTCGCCATTAAAGGTACACTCGCAGCATAATGTTGTATGGCGTGTGCAGATCTCTCTCTACTCGTAAAGTCGCGGCGAAAAACCACCCCGCAACAATGGCGAAGGAATTTAATGTGCTCGAGAGAGATGCGATAATAACGGGGGCCATTATCGCTTGCAAAGTAGAAATATGTGTCGCCGCGAATACTCACTTTTATTGGTTCCGAATCTATGGCGACTTTTGTCGCGGTGCAGGAATTTCGCATATCACCACTTTACGAGCACCTTTATTGCTGCTGCGGATTTTCCTCGCGCTGCGGAATTTTCTCGAGCAGAAATGTATAATGGTTTCACTCCTCTTGCCATGCGTGGTTTATGGGATTTCGATTAGCCCGAAAACATTTTATTAACTCGTTTTCCTTTTTGAATCCACGCACGCAGGTGTTAATATTACCAGAGCTAATTTGGCCACTTTAAGAATTTGGAATTTTTGTATTGAAAATTCCACGTTAGCGTTTAGTAAAAGATATTTTAATTAATTACTATTTTGTTGGAAAAATTACAAAAATAATTGATATTTTAAACAAACTTAACAATTTTTAACAATAATATGAACTGCGTTAGTTTGCTCAAAGGAATTTATAAAGAATTCTTTTAACTACATTAATTTTAGTATTATGGATTGTTTATGTTGAAACTTCTATCGAGCTGGGTTGAGTTCAGAGCAATTTGAAAGTCAATCAAAAATGTAAGATACCAAAATATTCAGCCGCCGTTTTTATGAATTTGCCTCATTTTCATCCTGCACTAGGATGCTAATTGAAATAAGAGAGTTAGAATTAAAATAAAATTTTCCTCGATATATAGTTTTTATACAAAGGGGAAACGTTTTTAAATTCTTACAATAAAAATTCATTGACCATAAGGAAGATAATATGACGATTCCCGTGAATGGTTACGAATAATACTAAATTTTCTGAGAATTGATAAATAAAAGCCTGCTCAAAACATTTTTAATAATAAAAGTATATGCGTTGAAATTTGACTACATTTTGATAAATTTATTTATAAAAATATTTGTTTATTCAATACATATTTAGAGTTTTTACGTTTTGCAGGTTTCGAGAATTAATTTTTTAATTAAAAATAGGAAAAATTCACAAAATGGTCATATTTCAACTTTAAATGAAATAACTAAAAATTAAATGGAATTTATATTATGCATAAATTTATTAACATGCATTTTTGTGCTTGAGTTTGTTATATATTAAGAGCCGAATGAGAATTTTCTCCTCCTAGGCTCAAACGGAACGAAATAATTATTTGAAAATAATTTCTCACCAAGTTCATTTCAAATTTATCATCAACCATCTTGATGCATTTTGACAACACCGCAAAATAGTTCAGTATATCATATAATCTATTTTTCAATTTAAATAATGAATTGATCCTCGCATCTAAATAAAAAAATAAAAAAATGGGAATTAACTCAGCATCAAATCAAAATTCGTGCAGTATTAAAATCACTCACTTAGGGTCTTTTTTTAATCAGAAGTTTCAGAGCAAAATTCTTGTTATTGGTGGTGACGTTTTGTCCAACAATTCAATGTTTCCCTCCCAACAATTGGAATTGGACATTTTTCATGTTAAATTCTTCGTAAGACTTTGACAAATAACAATAATCAACAAACTTGTCTGGCACATCCAAAAATAATTAATTTCGATCTGAATAATGCAAAAAGCAGCTCATTAATTTTCTAACCTTCAACCTCTCGACACGAAGAGCGGCTCATTCTCATAAGCTCCTCTCTGCCGACAAGGAAAGAATCTCGTGTTCACTGGCTGGGTGAAAATCCTCGACGCATTGTATATATAGAGCCGCTTGATACAGTTTGTTGTTTGCTCAGCTAGAGATAATCCGAAGCACCACCAGCGAGGGAGAAAATTACACGCGGAATGAAAAGTTCTTTCCACTTGCTTATTCTTATTTGTGGCTCCGTTTCAACAAACACTTTTTTCGGCCGCATACAAAAAGCAAGCGGGGGGCGCTGGCTCGAATAATAGGCAAAATAGATGAACTGGGAAAACAGGGGCTAAGCCGCTCCAAAGTGGAGTAAATGAACCTGACCCCCTGAAGGGCGGACGCGGACACAGGAATTCGGGGGGCGAAAGTTGCATTTTCGTGTGTCGCATAATATAATGTGCAGCGCTCTACATTGAAATTTCCTTTTCACGCTTCCAGCCTTGGGTTACAAAGAAAACGCAAGGAATAACAAAATCATTCTCAGGCTCAAAAATCTGCCTGAATAGCAAAGAGAAAAATGAAAGCAAATTTCTGGATGTTAAAAATTATTAAAAAAATAAATTTTACTTTAGATAGTAAAATATTTTGGAAATATTTTGTATTAATTCTGAATTATCGCTAAATGAAAGAGAAAATTTAGACCCTTTAATTTATTAAACAGATTTCAATAATAATATGAGACTTTTATGATTAGTAATTTTTTTACATGTTTTTAATCAAAATTGCGTTCTTATATTTTCATCTTCCTTTCATAAAATTATTGCAGCGTAACAAATTCATTTTTTTTATCTTTCAAAAGTCCGATTGCTGCCTGACTTTTTAAATGACCCGAAGCACTTCTCGGTTTAATCACCAAAATGCCCTCTTATATAAATTTTCTCTTTAAAACGCATATTATGCAGATGAGGTTTTGTTTACAAACAAAGAAATCAAATTTCACGTACTTTGTGCGTGCAGAGGTAACCGAATACGCGTCTGCTCTCTCTGCGCGTTTTTGCGCTCAAAAACACGTGTGCGCGCCGCCAAAAAGTGGCAGCGCGGGCTTCGTTTGCATGGGGCGATATCCGAGGGCCAGTTCTCGGGCGGGCAGGCCGCGAGTCCCGACACTCAGTCCAACGACAAACCGGTCCTATGTACGCTGCTGAGCTGCCGACGACAATTAACGCACATTTTATACTTCCAAGACTGAAAAAGATGTGCCAGAGCCAGACGTGAAATGACACCCAAAAGCAAAAACATAATTTAAAAACAAAAACAACGAGACGACTTAATACATTTTTCAATATTAAAATGATAAAAATAACTTCGCTTGTTCCGAACTATATTTAATTTTTCAGTAAATTCATAACATTTAGATAATATATGGAGAATAAAGACTAAGCTTTTTTTTGAAAAAAATTGATAATCATAGAAATTATGTTTAATTTTCAAAAATAAGTAAACTTCAAATATTTCAATCATTATTTCTATTAAATTTAATTAATAAAAAAAGTTTTGGCAAGTTCAACAATTTAAAAGTTTTTGTTTTAGTTTTAGGAAACTTTACATGATATGAGGAGGAGAAGAGATTTCATCCCAACGGAAATTATGAAATTATGTCCATTAAGTTATTTAGCCTCTCAGATTAAAGGGCATCGCAATTACACCTAATTTGAGGTATAATTACAAGCCAAATAAGAGACGGTGCTTCTTTTTTGAGCTCAAAGGAATTATTTCTAAACGCACCCAAACTTTTGAAGATAAAAATTCCAGAATATATTTTGACTGTGAAAAAATATTTATAATTATCAATTTTTTACATATTGTTATTTATTTATGTAAATGAGAGGATGAATATTTTGATATTTTATTCCCTAACTATAAATCAGCGATCTCGAAAATTTTTCCTTGGTTTATTTACTTGAATATTGAATCTTTGAAAACTTAGTTTTTTATACGATTTTCAATTTAAAAACTCGATGCAGGATGATTCATTTCTATATCAACATTTTTCCTCATTTTCGATTTCCGTGATTCTACTCACATCCAATTCGCGCTGACTTTGTTGGGCCAGTGGGGCCCGAGGAGGCCCAGCACGAGCACCAACAGCCTCACAGTGGCCATCTGCAGCAACTTATCCGTTCAGCCGCAGGATCATGGTGTGCAGAAAGGGTGAACAAACGACGCACGCACCGGCACTACTACTTTGCAATTGCAAAACTCTCTCGGCACTTTTCTTTCTCACTGACTCTCCTCACTGGCACGTCCGAGCGCGACCGCGGCGTGTGTGCGACTGGCAGGGCCGCGGGCGGGCCCACTCGGGCCCAGCCAGCTCATTGGCTCAAACGCGCCGCCGCTCTGCGCACTCGGCCTTTGTTCTCGCCGAGACGCCGCGCGCTCCGCCGCCGCGGTCGCGCCGTTTTCACCGACTCGCGCCCGCCGCCAACCCCCGCACCCCCGGGGGCGGCTGCCCTGTCTTCCTCGGACCCCTGAAGGCCCGCAGGTCGCGTCCGCTGTCCCGCTGTTGGGCGCGAAAATTGGTTTTGGGTGAAAATCCGGCGTTGAAGTCACCGACGGAGAGGACGGGCGCGCTGCATAATTTACAGGAGCAAAGTATTAGTTTTTTCCTCAGTAAATGATTAAATTACGATTTAAATTTATTAACGACAGGAAGTTCTGAGTGGGAATTGAATGAAAATTTTATTTTCTGTCCTCTGTAATTCTTAATCGAATTACCTAATTAATGTAAGATTTTTAATTTTATTTGTGGAATAATGAGATACTTATTTATTTTTTCCTTATATGGAATTGAAATTTTGGTCGATGTGGCACAATCTCATTATTTTATAAAATAACAGCAAAAGAGGTGGGGAACGTAAAGTAATGTTTTTATAAAAATATTTATGTAACCTTTAGATGCAAATTGAATAATATTTGTTTAGTAAAAATATATTTTAACATTATTGCAAGCTTCCAGAATATTATTCAAGACCATTTTCAATACAAATATAGAATATTTTAATATATACATTTAAAATATTAAAAATCATCATTAATTGTAAATATTCAATTATAAACTAAAATAAGTTTATGATAACTTAAAATGTGGTTAAATAGTAAAATAGCATTTATAAATTTATTACATTCTGTTTATATCTCAAGCTGAGTCTCTTGAATAACAGGAAATCGATCACCATCTCAAAGCTATTGTCAAGTTTTAATGAGCTTTAATTTATTTAAGATAGCAAAAAGAGTGAAAATTTCAGACTGAAAAAGAATTTATTAAAATAAAATTGATATTAAAAAAAAATACCATCGTGGCTAGGCCTTTTATAGAGCACGTTTTCAGCAGAGCCGAGTAAATCCTGTATAATTTTTATTTTTAGTTTATTTAAGCACCAGCAAAAAGATGAGAACTCTTGGAGCTTTGAGGTTATATATAATCAAAAAATATAATAAAAGAGCATTCTTAGTGTTTCATAACAGTAACTTGGTGTTTACTTCTTTTTTGAAAATTTATTGTCGCACTCATTGGTATATTTGCGTGTGCAAGGCGTCTAAATCTTAACTTCATTCTGCGCTGCCCGACCTATGTTAAATTACATATTTATCATTCCGAGCAGCAACGTTATTAATTACATTTGTATACCTTGACTTTCGAAATACACAATAACTTTACACTATAATGTACACGTGTGTATATACATGTGCGCGCTTTGCATATGAAAGACAAACTTCTGCAGTCATGCAGAAAGTTTGGGAAATAACAGGCAGATGCATCATGTTTCGTGCTTGGAGGCCACCAATCACTTTTTCAACGTTCATTTTTTTACATTTGAAAAAGGCTGAAAAAGAATATTTCAATATTTTACAAAGCTAAATTATGTGACTAACAATTTTTGGTATGATTATAAATTATAAATTGACCAAGAACTTCTCCAAAATTCATTTAAGAGTCAAAATTTAAGTAACAAATTTGTTTTTGTCCCTTAATTTAGAATTAAACAATCATAATAAAATAAAAAATTTCTCTTATTGTCACGCATTCATTGATTTTCACTTTTTGATTTTACAAAAAAAAAATTGGCCAGTCATAAAATTAATAAGCCGGATCACAGCCATTACAAATTCAACACCTTCAAACATTCCAAGCTCATTGAAATAATTTCTAATGTTTTTTTTTAATATTTTGTATAGATCAGTTCTTTTTTTCGATTATATTTATTATTGTCGTCTGTATGAACTCTCTGCGATAAGCTTCGAAATGATCTAATAAATTTTTTTATTATTAACATTATTAGGTTATTGGACTATTTTTCAATCTGTTGGTCAGCACAGTTGAAATTTGCAAAATGTCCCTTATTAAGACGTCACTCTATGGCTTTCAAGAGTCACTTTTGCATGATATTAAGTGTACAGTGTGTGTAAAGTAAGTACACTCGCACGTCTCCTATTCAATACTGCTCTCGTTTACATTCTTATTTTCGCATTACGAACACACGCTGCCCGTCGGCGGTGGCTGCCCGATGAAGTTGTAACGTACAATGGCTCTTCACGTGTGCATGATCAGGAGCACATTCTGGCCAGCAGGATCTCCGAGTAGATTGCATTGACAGCCCCCTCGATGTGGAAGCCGCCGCCTCGCTCGGCTGCAGTCACCTGTGGCCAAACACCAGGAACAATATTAACACTGCAATTAATTGATCAGAACTACAAGTCGAAATCTCAATCAATCAATAAAGGACGAAACATGACCTCTAATGAAATTTTGAAATGAACTAAGAAAAGGCAAAAAACATATAATGCAACTTGTGCCAATAATTTGAATATTAAATTTATAATTTTAATTTGACATCTCATCTTTCTCAAAAAGAATTTCAATTTATGCTTTTCAAAATAAATTATTTTAAATAAAACAAATAATAAAGACATACAACTTAATTCATGATTGCAGAATTCTAAAATAATTTTAAATTTTCTTTAATTCCTGTTATGCGCATATTTCAATTTTTAAATTTTTTAATGTTATTTTAAATGCTAATGAAAATTGAAGAAAAACAATGTAATTTTAAAAAATCCAACTTTTTTCTTATTTTAAGCCGTATTTATTAAACTTGCAAACCTATTTAAAAATGACTGTACCGCAATTAATGGATATTATGTCTCGTTAGCCTTGATATATTTTAATGCCAGGACAAATTATTTGACCATGTCCCTAAGCTCAACTGTCGGTTTCTGTCAGCTTAAGAGGGTGGCTGCTGCTTAATAATAAAATTAATGGGAGCTCTTTCTCGCAGCACGCGCGCGCGTGTGTGTAAACGTTTTAATTTTAGTACCAGAGTGGCCCTGGTGCTGTATTTTTTTCCGAGAGGGAAGAAAAAGCGCCAACGAGAGAGTGAATGAGCTGCCTCACTGATTGACACAAGCATCTCATTACGGCTAATTAAAAGCGCGGGATAGCGACGGCATAACTTTCATAACTCCCACTCAGAGCACACAAAGGGGCTCAAAAACAAGCGAGTTCATGTTTAATTATAATAATCATTGTTGTTTAAACTCCAGGACAAACGAGTAGTTTTTCAATTTAAAAAGTTCAACTATTTAAATAAAAAAATATGTTTCCAGATATCCTATCTGCAGCTGCTGGGTTAGATTTTGCTATTTATTTTAATTTTTTAATTGAAAAAGCCAATTTTATTACAAATTCAATAAAACAAATATGAATTTTTATTTTATTTGTTGTAATTTTTTATATTCATATGAGCTGTTTCAACATCTTATATTCTTTAAAAGGCAAATGTAAATATGTCTGTACTACATATACATCCAAGGTATGGTTTCGACCTTAGGGCAAAACACAAATAACCGATAGGTACGTGAACTTGCATGGGAACAACTCTCACGCCGGGAGAGTAGAATGGTGGCAGCAGGCGCAGGAATAAAGAACCTTTTTGTGTATTTGCCGAGGCTTTTTAGCATTTTTACAGCCGTTTTCCCATTCTCTTAGGGCACGAAACGTACGCGCCGAGCGGCAAACAGACGCCTTAAATATTTACGCTGAACGTTTCATCAGAGTATTTGCATATTTAGTCAATATTGGCGGCGGCCACATCAAACAGCGCCAGATTTCGGAAAAAGCCAAACAGAAATAAATGAATTTGCATTTCGACTCTCTTGCGAGCGCGCATCACTTCAATATATTTGAACGCGCAGCTTTATACGAGGGCAAAAAAAAAATGTGTATTCGATCTTTTGTTCGTGTCTCTGCGCTTGCGATTATTCACGCGCCGATTAATTTTATCGCCTAATTTGATTAGGGGCGCATATTATTGCGCTTTGCGGAGAGTTGCATCGAGGGTGGCGCTCCTAGCTTGATTACGACGTGCCGTCTGACCCTTTTTATTTTGAATTTTCTTTTCCGAAAGACCCTTCTGCACACGGAGGGTGCGCTCCACGCGTCAGAATAAATTTGTTGTATGCGTGAAAAAAGCTGGCGTAATTGAAAATTTTGCTAGGCGAATGATAATAAAATGGAACGCGTGTTAATGTGTTTTTTAATAGGCAAAATCGAGCAGTGAAATTGAACAAAGGAAATAATGATTTGATATGATTTCTCAAGGATGGCTTGGCACGATATAATCTATTCAGATCCAATAACAAAATTTAACAAAATTTAACAAGAGAATTAATTATCAATTTATTGTGCAATAATTTTTTTATGCTTCCTCAACAAAAAATTTACGCAAAATTGCATTAATTTAAATATTTATCATGGTAGCCTTGATAGTAACAAAAAAATATATAAATTTTAACTTTATAATGAAAAAATCTGGTAAAATGTTTTATTTTTATTGATCAGAACATCTTGTGTCGCAATTATAATCAAGCGATGAAATAACGACAAGCCGTGGCCCAAAAATGTTTTTCAGTATTCAAATATTATGGGAGCAAGACGTAATTTAAGCCACGCACATAACTGCGATCTCGAAACAAGGGTGCATATTATTATTTTATTTATTTCATTGACTGCTTTCGCGCCAGATTGCGTTCGGCGCGTCGCACAAGCCTCTCGTCGTTTTCTCATTTGCATTTTCGCGAAATGTGCTCTCAACAGTTCAAGTGGCCCCCAACGGATCGACGACGAGGATGATGAATTGCCTTGGCCTCTCATTAATTATGAATTCCGCTATTTGTGACACAAAAGATGCGGCGACGGCAGCCCCCTTGCATGTTTTGCCAACAAGTCGAGGAGAAGAATTAAATTATATGTATATTTTCTCACACAGAGAGTGAGACGTCTCAGACCGCAACAATAGAGGGGACGGAAAAAAACACCACCCTCACAGCAAACTACGTAGTTTTTACGGCGGCAAATATAGAAATTAATTCCGACTCAAGGAATATAGCAATAAAAAGCAACTTTTGCGGAAAACTCACCGAGTGGAAGTGGCAGGCGCACTTTCCGGGCACGAAGTCTCTGAATCTGGCCGCCGTCATGTTGAATGTGTCAACCACCTCCATTTGGAAATGCTTTCCAAAGGCAGCCAGCCCCTGAGAATGCAAAACCAATTTTTCCTGTTGCCTCTGAAATAAAAAATTAAATTTTGCAAAGTATTACAAAAATTATTAAATGGATAAAAAATTTGAAACAATTAAGATGAAACTTTACAATCATTATTGGATTTATTTTAAATAAGTGGCAGGGGTTAAAGTTAAGTAAAAAGTTATCGTAAGTTCGTTTTTAACTTGATGCAATTTGTAGCTTTTTTGCCGAATATTTAGTTTCCTATATAGCAGCTCTAAATGATTGCAGAAGATATCTTGCAATGCTAAAAAAAGAAGCACATTTTAGAAGAAAAAATTGTGCTGAGCTTGACATCTTTTTTGACACTTCTATACAAAAGATCAAATTTCATCAAAAGTAGGCATGAAATGTTTTCTAATAATTCTTAATAGCGCAAATTTTTGCGAGTGATAAAATTATTGTTTATAATTAAATTTAATTTTCTTCCGTGTGCTAAAAGTGAGCTCTTCTCTTTTATTTACAAAAATTAAAAATGTAGCTCCCCTATTATTCTTGTCTTTTCTTCCTTTTTCAACGTCAAGCCACTGGAAACGTCTTAAAGTATTGCCTTTGTGATAGATCAATAAACACAATTTGCAACTATAAAGAATAATTTGAAAAAGTCAGCCAAATGTCAATTTTTATAATGAAATTATTGAAGAAAATTCTTAATTTAACTTAAAAATACTTGAGATATTTTTTTTTCTTAATGATCCTCAAATGTTCAAGATCTTTATAGTTTCCTTTGACAAATTTGTAGCTTTAAAGTCTGAATGTTTCAAAACGAAGGAATAATATGAATGAATTCTGGACCAAAGTGAACAAGAAGGCAACTTTGAATCTCCGCGACAGCTGTTTTCCTCATCAAACATAATTAATTAATTTAGCACGAAATTAACCGACGGAGAACCACACGCGAGAAAATACTTCTTGGCCTCTCCCTGTTCCCTCTTTTTTGTTTTGCTGCCGTGCGAGGTGTGTTTCGGAATGCGTGTGTGGCTGTGAAAAAGTCTTGGCCGCGCACCATCCTCCGCGCGCCGAAACATATATCATTATTTTATTTTTTGCTCAATTTTTCCGTCGGCTGACTGAGTGTCGTTTAATGATGCTGTTAATTTAGCCTGCTTAGTGATTGAGCTTTTCCCCCGACACCTCTGCGCACAGCTTTTTAATATCCAACGTCTCATGGCTCCAAATAAAAAAGTATACAAGTTCAGAAACACACCCACTTAGCACACACACGAAATTTATTAAGAGGCACGCTCACTTTTTCACATTGTATATTAATTTATTACACGCGACGGCTTTCAGAAGTGATTTTTATTTTTAAATTTTTTGTGTTGTGGTTTATGAACGCCCTGCACTGAAAAAGGAGACAAATCAAATCAATCAAAGAGCGGAGATTCATTTGCCAAAATTAAGAGACTTCCCAATATGAAGCAGCAGCTTTGTCATTTTTACTTTGTATAACAATATGATTGTAATTTGTATTCTATTGATCTAATACTCTAAAAAAATAAAAATAGTAAATTAATGAGTAAAGTTTTGATAGAATTAATAAAAAAAAATCATATAAAAAAGAAAAATAGAGGAAAAAAATAATATTATTTTAAAACAAATTATGAGTTTTTTTTATAGATTGTCATTAAAATTTTAACCTACTTAAGAATAAAAATTGGTTTTAAATTTTAAAAACACGTTTAAATATATATTTAGTCAAAATAGATTTTGAATTTATTACTCAATAGTTTATTTTAATGAGCACAAAACATAATACGTTGAGTTTTTATAAACAATTTTTTCCATTCATACTTCTTTACTCTCAGCAAAACTGTTTCATATCTGAACTTGTTAAATTTTGCCAAGTTAGCTCTTAAATTTTTGCCTGATTACAAGCACGTTATTATAGAGTAGCACCGAATTTTACCCACTTATTTTCTACTCAACCTTGGTTTTCATCTCTGCAAAGCGTGTGGGGTGCGTAAAAAATGATGTGCTAGCGAGTGAGTGGGCCCCTATTTTCTCTATACAGGAGTGTGTGTGTCGAGAAAAGCTGCTGCTTGGCCGGCTCGCTCATGGCTTTTAATAAAATACCTGCCTAACACTTTTAAAGGAACTGCCTTTTTATTCTCTTTGTTCGGATGCCGCTGGGTGCGCGAGGGCTTTTACATCCATCTCTGCAGCGCCGCGAGCACGAAAAGAGAAGAAGAGTGCTATTATTATTATAGATAGATAGAGTATTTATTGAACACAACTAGGTGTACAACGGGTGTCTAAAGCTAATTTGTCTTCCTAAAATTAATTTTACAATTAAGCTTGTTTCGATAATTATTACAAAGTACAAAATTAGTTAATTTTGATTTTTGCAGCCTCTCTTAGGCTTAGTTTTCGTTCATTACATTCAAGAATATGATATTGTGAACATTTCTTACCGCAGTGCTTGCATTCACAATCTATTGTCGCTTGAGAATGAAAATTTTTATTCTTACAAAATAAATAGTGGTACCCGTGACAGGCAAATCTCGTAAACACTTGGCGATCACTGAACATTGCACATTGCCAATTTTTATTCTTCATAGTTTCTGTCTCGTAGAACTCATCACATATCTCAAGTTTGTTTAAATATTTAGACACACAAAATTTCTGGAATGCTTCAGTTTCAGTTAGAGAATATTTTACCTGTAAGTCCGATACAAAGAGATCAGTGTCAACTAATTCATACACAAATCTAGATCTAATATACTTGGATAGTCCTAAAACTCTTTTTAAATATCTTGTTTTGACTTTTTCAAGATTTTCAAAATCAGTCTTTGTTAGGAAAGGCCATATTTCTTCAATGCCGTAGGACGCAATTGGGGAAATTTTTAGATCAAATAGCTTGTGTGCTGTTTCAATGGATAATTGTTTTAGTTCTCGTATATTATAAGTGGCCAGCAATGCAGCTCTTGTTCTTTTTTCAATGTGCTTTCCAAAAGAGATTCCTGATGGTTGAAAAGTAACTCCTAAATATGTAAACTCAGCAACTCTCTCTATTTCAATTCCACCTAAATCTAGGCGGTCACTTAATGCATATTTTCCTAGACCCTTATTTCTAAATTTCATGAATTTGCACTTTTCCAAGTTAAGTTTCAAACTGCGTTTTAACAAAAATTCTTTCATTCTGGCTAAAGCAATTTTCAAGTCACTTAATTTTTCTGAGGTTAAAACAATATCATCTGCATAATAAATGGCTTTCACGTTTGGCAAATCTCGTAGAATATTATTTATATCAGCTAAAGAGTAATTGAACAGAAATGGGGACGTGCATCCCCCCTGTCTTACCCCATTTGATTGTGTAATAAGTTTTGATACTGTTACTCCATCTACTATTCTCAAGAAATTTAAGTCTAAGTTGTGAGCTAAATAATTTAACTCCGTGAACGTTAGCTTCTTGCTTTCTATTAACTTCTTAAAAATAAACGCCCTATCTATTGAGTCAAAAGCTTTACTTACATCCAAAAATAAGGCATATAAGGGTGATTTCTTCTTATAAACTGTCTCTTGAATGTTATTAACTAAGGACTTAATTGCCTGTAAAGTAGATTTTCCTTTCACAAAACCATATTGATTGCCTGGAATCTCGTGAATCAAAGATGAGTAGATACGTGCATGCAGTACACGATCTAACAGATTGTAAAAAGCCGAACTAATACATATTCCTCTATTATTTATGTTATTATTATTATGTACCTTTAATACCGTCAGCTATGTACTATTTAGGAGACTATTACACTCCTTTGAACACGAGAATTCCGAACGGGGATTACACCGCACAAAGTACTAGGCAGCGGCTTTTGTCCCGCGCGCGCGTGAGGTGTGATAAAAATAGAATCTTAATAATGCATAGTTATATTTAGTTTTTTTCCTAAATATGGCAGGAAAATTTACTTACAGTGGAAAGGAGGTGGACACCGTCTGCCGGGATGTGGAAACCGGAGCCCAGGGTTTTTATCACAATCTTCGTTCCTTCCAAACCTTCCCTGAAAAACCAATAAATTTGACTGAATTTAATAATTGAAGGAATAAAAATAATAAGTTTTCCACATTTAAATTAATTTTCCTGATTTTTTTTTCTCATAAAAATAAATATAAATTAAAAATTCAGCAAAACTTTAATGATTTCTTTAAATTTTAAAATAAGTCTAAACATAAAATTTCTTCTTCTTACAATTTTGTGGTTTAGGTAAAAGTTCAGGAGAATTTACAAAATAAAACATGAAATAAAATTGTTAAGGTTGATCCACTTTAATTAAAATGAAGTGCTAAATTTAAAAAAGGTTGAAAATATAGTAATGATATACATATTATTAATTTCAATCAAATCTGTGCATTTTTTAGCTTAGAATTTAAATTTAAACGGGAAATTTGAGCTTAAATGTCCATTTCAACCTTCATTTAAGTCACATTAATTTTCATTTCTTACCTTTTTAAAATGTTAATCAAAGTGTGGAGATGATTCGTAGCCAACCAATGCACGCCTCCAACTACTAAAATTGTATCACTGGAATTGCTAAGTGGCTGAGCACTGAAATCAGAATAAAAACAATATGTGTAACAACTTGGATAAATTATTTAAATCTAATTTCATAAAATCTTCAATTTAAGTAAAAATTTTATCACGGTTTTCATTAAATTGTGCTACTTAAATTTCATGTTGGTACGTTACAAAAAATATTACAATTTCAAAGACTATTTGAAGAAAAAATTTCAAAGTAATTTGCCAAAAAAAAAAAAAAAAATGCATAAGATAAATAAATAAAAGTTAACAATATTCCTAAATTTTTCTTCTCCTTTTTTTACAAACTAGAAGCAAAATTAAATCCATTTCAAGACTGTATTCATCCTTATTACATATAAATTTCCAACTAATTTAGAAACCATAGTGCGAGATAATTATCATCGCAATAGTTAAAACTTAATTAGCGCTACATGCATAATTTTCAGGGTCACTCTGCTAACCAGCAGAGTTTACACGTGTAAATTTGGCTGCAAAAATGGTATAATATATTCTAATGCGCGTCTTGTGCAAACGTTGGCCCCCGCGGGCGAACACATCCCCCAGCTCTAATCTTTTTGTGCTTATCCAAGAAACATTAGCTTAAGGCCACGCATGGCGCACCCTCTCGCCGGCGGTAATTAAAAATGCTCAGAATTAAGCCCACACATTTGAGAGATGAAGCTCATCAAGCTCGACCAACTGAACAACCCCTGCCCGGTCACGTTTCACCCCTTAAACTCGGCGCACACTCGCCCCCCGTCCGCTCTCTCGCAGAAAAAAAATGTGCTATTCCTCTAATGGCATGACCCGTCCACGCAGACGTTGCACTAATGTGCTTTTTGTTTCGAAACCTGTAATTTGGAGAGAGCTCGATAGGTGTTGCCAAGCGCATTTCTCTCTCATTCAGCAGTTGAATGGGTATCAAAATGATATCCACCCTGATGCATGAGTTATGGCCGCATTCATCCTTAATTCTTTTGTGGTTTTGTAGGCAGTCAGCAAAGCTTTGCCTATTATTTGAATGAAATTTATATCTTGTGACTGAGAACGTGGGAAAAAAGAATAAAAAACAAAAATTTGAAATTAGAGATATTTTTTAATTTTCTTAACTTAATTGAAATTGTGAAATATTCATTTTTTTTTAATATTAGGCGCAAAAATTAACGTTAATTTTCAAAATTCTTATATTTTAAAAGTCACAATTTTGGAACGAAGAACCATTACAATTAGTTTTTAATAAACAAATTATTTAAATCTAATATCATCAGCACAAAATCGCTATATCATTTAACTGCGTACGTCTCTCGCTGGAAATCCGTTCTTTACGCAGCAGCTTTTGGGTTCACGTGGGGGTGATTTTTGCGTCAGTGGCGCATAAAATTTGATCCACTTAATGTTATTTATTAAAGTCGAGGGGGCACTGCTCTGTCGCATAAAGAGAAGAGAGAAGGGCAGAGATTAGACACAATCAAAATAACAGAGCACGCGGCGGGTGCGTCTGATCTCCCCCTTTGTTGTTCCTTTCGATATGAAATATCAGACTGTGAGTGAGTTGATGGAAATTCTCCATCCATCACCAACCTTCAGTCGCATCTGCTAATCCAAAGTGTCCCGCTTATTGCTATGTTGCCGAAATTTTAATAAAAATAATCACTCAAGAGCTACGCACGTGACCAGTCAAAAAAAATGTAATAAAGAAAGACGAGAAAATCAGAGAGAGGCTCAAAGTGATTCTTTTTCAGAGTTTTGGCAAAAACTGATGCGATGGATTTTTATTTGAACGTGTTTTAAAAGAAGTAAATTTTTATTTTTATTTGAATAAATTGGTATACATTCAATAATACCAAAAATAGCAAAAAATGTAATCAAAATCTTTTGTTATTGAAGGCGAAATAAATAATTAATTTAAAAAAAAAATGCATTTAATTTTCTATCATTTATTAAAAAAAAATTTTTTATAAAATGATTTCAAATGTTGTAAAAACCTTTTCTGTCCTACCTGAGCAGAAGTTGGTAGAGCGTCTTGGCGAACACGGGTCTGTGGGGTGGTCGGAGCCAGAACTGGGGGTAGTAGGCGAACGAGAGCTCCGTCTTGGACACCTTGAAGTGCGACAATCCGTGGCTTTTATCGCGCACACCGAGGGAGCCGTTCAGCCGCTCCAACACGTAGTGCATCATTCCTCGCACGGTCGAGTCTCCGATGAATAAAATCTGGTCAAATTTGTTTAAATAATTTATAACAAGTACCAAAAAGTTGACTGAATTTGAATATCAAAGCGCTTTAAATTTTGTTTATACGGAAAAATGAAGCTCAATAAAAAAGAGAATGTATTAATTACCTTTTTGTTCTGCAAACATTGGTGCAAGAATTTCACTTTGGCGTGTTGACATTGGAAGGGTTGCCAAACGGCTTCGCTCCACCAACAAGAACTTTTGTCGTTGCAATCGATGCAAGGCAGCACCCATCGACCTGAAGAACAAAACAAAAAATAATTTATTTATTTAATTTCCTAGATTTTTTTAAATAATAATACAAAATTTTCAAAAATCTTCAAATTTATTTGGCGTTTCCTTTTAGTTATAAATATTCTTGTGTCTCCTGTATTGAATTGTAGAATTCTTGCCATTTTGTCTGACAATTCAATGTTTCTTTTCCGCAATTATCGATTATTTTTCAAAACGTAAATGTTCTGCAATAATTGAAAAATAAATAAAGAACAATGTTGATAAAAAAGTCCGTTTTTAAAACATTTTATATTCGGACAAAATGTGGCGACCCAAATTTTTAAAAAAATCTCTCTCAAATTAATTTTTTCCCATTCTAATTCAATAATTTCTACGCTACATCTGTTTCGATCAAAAGAAGTGGAAAGCAGCGTTGAACCAGCATCACTTGAAACGGTCAAATCGAATTGGCGAGCGTTGCGAGGCGAACAAGAATTTTTCTCGCTAATGGTCATTATCCGCCGGGCTGCTGCGGCTTTTAATGAAGCGTGCATACCGATGCGTAATTACACCCTAGTTCATTATTTCCCCGGCAGACGCAAAACTAATGCTATTATCCTATATGTACTTTCCGGCGCGTTTTTGCATTGAAACCCGATCGGCCCGGAGAGGCGCAGCAAACAAAAGTCTAGGATGATGAGCAAGCAAACCTCCGGGGTAATCAGCGTTCTCATTATTATAGCTGCTGACGGCAGCCAACTTTGCATATTTTCTGCACGAAAATAAAAACGAGCCAGAAATCACCCGAGACGGAAGATGATTGAGTTTTCTACTCTCCCTGCTCGGCGTTTCAATTAGCGCCGTGTTTGCCGACGAGATTTGGTTTTCCCTCGGGACGCCTCGTTTTCGGCTTTCCATTTCATGCTCTTACAAAAGTGAATATTAAAAAAAACTGCCATTCATTGAGTTAAAATATACCACATTTCCAAAATATTTTCTGGAAAATTCTTTCACCAAAAGTTGCATATTTTATTGTTTTTAATTAAATTTTAATACGGACGAAATAATTTAATTTAAAATTTCTTAAACTAAGGCTTTTCATTTACAGAGTTCATTTTTGTTCGGACTCCTCGTTCTGAAACCAGAATTGATAAAAAACCGTTCAGAAATGTATTTTTAGAAAAAATATTTGATCGCAATGGATCGCAACGTTTTTGATCATGATCGCAATCGCACGATTTTCAATTTCATGATCGAATAAGAATTTTCAACAAATTTTCTCTGAAAATTTTTCTTATTCCATATCCTAATTTTTGCAAATTTATAACAGGTGTCCCTTAATTGTACATTACAATTTTTCAATTCCAAAAAAAGATATGAACTAGAAGTAGATTTGTCCTGATGAATTATTATTTCACTCGTGTTTTGTTCCCAGAAACAATAAGAAAGCATCGCCAGAGACAATAGCGCAGCTCTTTTTAATGACTAATTTGGCCGCTCCACTCTGTAGTCTGTCACTGGGTCTTTGTTGCAGTCATAAATAATAGAGAGACTCTCCGTGGGAGTCGCGACGCCGACGCGAGATCTCATTTAATAATGACTCTGTTCCGCGACTTTTCCAACTCTTGGAGGCGATTAGTGCAGGATGGAAAAAAATTCACTATAATGAGCTCGCAGAATATGGTCCTTTTCCTCCGTCGGGAGAGTAGCAAAAGCCGGAATTCTTTCATTTATAATTTTTTGTCAAAGCATCTCTGAGATAAATGCGAATAATTCAGTTGGAATAAATAAAAAAGGCACAGCCAATTATTATTATATGGCATTTTACTTTTTTGATAACGAGCTCGGAGGACCGAAAGGCATGCGACCGACACTTCCTTTTTTATTTTCTTTTATCTGCGGCTGCCTGTGGGCCGAAGAAGAAAGAATAAAATAAAATGCTTTATAAACCTTTTGCCTGCTCATTGTGTAATTCGTTCGAATTGATTTGATCCTCTCTCGCAGCTGAGAGAGACTTGCTGTCATTTTAATGGACTTTTGGCCTCACGGGCTCTCTCTCCAATTTCTTTTATTGACATTAATACGCTCCGTGCGTGCGTTTTTATTTAATTTATCACTCTGGAGTCGAGATTAACGGGCATTCACGATTTACCTCTGAACACAAAAGGTGGAAATTTTCTTTGAAAAGGTCAAGATTGTTAATCCTGAAATGACAAACTTTTTAAAACTGTCTCCAGACGATGCATGTAGGAATAAGTTTATTCAACAATTGAAAGAATACAAGAATGTAAAATTCACTTAAAATAAAAACAATAAAATAAAAATTCTTTTTTAGTTCTACTTGTAAAAACTTAATAATTATTTGTTCAATTTACTTTTTAGCTCTAAATTTTATTTTATGTTATATTATTAAATATATTTTGTTTAATTTAACATCAAAAAATTTAATTCCTCATTATCTTTGAATTTTAGTTGTTGAGAAAGTTATTTTAAATACATTTCCATATTTAATTAAGATTAATAGAAACTTATGATAGCACAAGATTATTGTTTATATATTTTCTCAAACGCACTTCCAATGCCCTCATGAAAATTTTTCTTTTTTACAAGAGTCTCAGTAATAATTAATCAAAATCACTCTCTGGTAATGATTCTAACCATATTCTTGTGTCTTTAAATAAATTATTCTTTTGATAATTATGTTTAAATTTTTGTATGGGAGTGGTTTCAAGAACGGAGAAAGCTCCCTTATCAAATCAACCCCATGTCACCCCTTTTGCTCATTACACCAAGAATTGCCCCCCGTTCAAACGTAAAATGCATAATGAGAGAGCGTGGTTGTTACAAATAGGGCTTGTCTCGTGTACAGTTTTTGATGCGGCCAAACTTAACATAAACTAAAAAACGGAACCGCGCTACTCTGCCTGCTCTAATCGAGCGGGGTGAGTTTGCATTTTGGATTATATGCGCCGCGTATATATAAACTCTGCGCTCCCCACAAAACGACTTTCGAAGCAAACACAAAGCGGCGGCATTGCGGAGTGGATTCAAAAGAAATTTATGAGAGAGACAGCGTGTGTGCGCCACTTTTTTTAATACTGCAGCAGCTCTTTCGGTGTAAATACTTGGGGTTAATTATTACACCGCGTTGTCCATTAAAACATGCGTGAAAGCTGTTCATTCACGCAGAAGTCTGAAATAAAAATTAAAGAAATAAAAGAAAAGAAGTAAAAGGGGGTTAAAAATTCTTTTGTCAATAAATTATTTTAAAAAGTATTCATAATTAATTATAAAAATTAATTAAAATTTATAAACACGCTACATATTTCAAACTGTAAACACAAATTAAAAAGAAAAAAAATTATACATTCTTTTATATTTTATGAATTTATTTCCACGTCTATGTAAGTGAAAACCGATTCAATTTATTCAATCTGAATTAGGTTGCAACTTATTTTAATTTTAAATGAAAATATATAATATTTCTGCCTCAAAACTTTCTATGGATATCGAAAAAAATTACGCACAATTATTAAATTTTTTCAGCAGCGATCGGCTTGTTTGTGAGGGTCTCTGGAAAGCTCTCTTGAGAGGATGTATTTTTGGGGCCATTGAGTGCAGGGCCGATTCGGCATGCTGCGCGAGTGCATAAATTATTGTTTTCAGCACAGGGGCGCGAGTTCCTTTCCTTCATGTGTGGTCTCAATTGTCATGCCTGTCAATAACTTCTGCCACACAAAATCAGCCGCCACCGCTCTTTCTTCTCTCTTTTTTTCACAACTGACACGCCGCGCTCAAAGATAAAGAGCGGGCAACATTTTATTGCATTTTTTCTGTCACCAGAAACTCATTCAGCTCATCCGTTCCATTCAGCTGCTCATTGTCGCCGTCGTGTTTCGGACACACAAGAATATAGGGAAACGAAATTTAGACGTTTCCCCAAACTGATTTCTTAAAAAGATCTTCCAAGCCTGATAGGTTAAAAATATGAGGTTCTTTAATGTGATATTTAAAAAGAGAAACATCTAATTGTAAAAAATTAGTAAAATTGTCGTGTTAATTCTGATTCATTTTTGTGCTGCTTATCGACCTTCTGCTTCAGAAGAGCAAGATAAATTTTGCCGAAAAAGAATAAACATAAAAAATTTCTGTAAAAAGCCAATTTTTTTTTTTTTTTTTTAGAATTTGCAAAGCTATTTCAGACAGAGAAGTATAAAATGTGTAGCCAGGTATTCAATAAAGGTGCAAAAATGGATTTCTTTTTCTTGATTAAAAATTCTACAAGAAAGATATTTGAAATTTGAAAATTGTGCGTGTGAGAGAAAGAGGCGGTTTGCTTGGCAGAGCCGCGGCAGGAGAGAAGAAAAAAAGAAGGCGCCCGCTTTGAGCTCCAGGACTACAAAGGAGCCGCCGCTCCCCGCACCCCCTGAACCTGCCTATTAGGCCCTGAAAGAAGGTGCAGGTCGAAATATTTTCGGGCGCAGATGCCTGGTGTAATGACAAAGAGCAGGCGGCTCAATGGGCCAAACAGAACAAATTGAACCCACAGGAGACCAACAAACCACTTGGAAATTTTTCTCAAATTCAAACCCCCTTTCTTTCTCCTGCGCGTCAGGCGTGACCTTCCTCAGGTCACGCAGGTTTTCTTTTTTCCTCTCATTTGGAGCGAAAATTCTCCTCTTTGTACACAAAAAATTCGCCGCAATATAAATTCCTCAGGGTAATCGCTGCACCCTGACACGTTCGCAGGCGGCTTTATTGCACACCTTGCCAGAGAAAGAGAGATTCATAAATTTTATTGCCCCAAATGTATAAACGTGCTCTAGAAAAGAAACTCACCTGCAGCGTCTCCCGCGGTGCAGGGGGCGAGTTTGGAGAATTGGCCCGCGGCGAACGACCACTTTGGCGAATCCGTTTCCAGTTGAAGACCGCACGGCTCGGAGGGAGAGAATTTAAAGTTGCAGTCCTGTTAATAAAAAAAAAATGAAGTTGAAAAAATATTTCTCGGAAACGATTTAATTTTACTTCTTTTACTTCAGAGTTAAAAAATTAGACGCATGTTTTTGTCAATGAGAATAAAAAAAAAAATAATAACAAGTGGACCATAAAATCTGAGCTCATGAAAAATATAATTTTCTAACTTAACCCTATGTGAGACTTGAAACGAAATCTTGTTGGACTTTTTCACAGATTGAATACTTTTGTTGAAATTAAATTTACATTTAAAGATTACCTTAGGAAATTGATGTAGTCTTTTTTGCAGAATTGTAATTTCTACTGCTTGACAAAAAGTTCATTATAAACTGTAACGAAAAACGAAATGATTATTGATGTTTTTTTAGAAATATATATACTGAGAGTTGAATTTAAGGGAATTCATACGTTGACTATTTAATGAATAAAAATATGAAACAAAATTCCCACGTCAAGCCCACAAAAGAAAAAATTTTACCCCCTGGGGTCTAATTCTGTAAGATAGAATCGTTCCATTTCCATTTCTATTTCATTTTCCTTTTGCTTACCCATTCTATTTCGTCGCCTTTTTCGAATACGACTTCTATTTCGCAGCCTATCCATTTCCATTTCTATTTCGTCATCAACTTTAATAGTTGAGCCATTTATTTATTTATATTTAATTTAATTATTCCCTATGCTTACAGTGCTCTTCGAATGGTTTTTAATATTCAGGTTGATAAAATTATATGAATTATTTAATTTTTAATGAAAATGTATATTTATAATTCTTATATGTCTCTCGCACCCCCTTTTAATCGAATCTTTTTATGGCTCATAATTAGGGGGGATCAAGATAATTTTTCCTTTCACGAAGTTAATTAAATCAATTTCTTAAAAATAGGTTGAATTCAAATACAATTATAATATTTTTTTTTTAGCAAATTAGCAACCATATATTTTATATTATTTAATTCATCGCGAGCGCTGTTTGGTACCACAATTTGCTCCCACACTGTGGTACCACAATTTGCGCCCACACTGTGGTACCACAATTTGCTCCCACACTGTGGTAACACAATTTGCTCCCACACTGTGTTACCACAATTTGCGCCCACACTGTGGTACCACAATTTTCTCCCACACTGTGGTACCACAATTTTCGCCCACACTGTGGTACCACAATTTGCGCCCACACTGTGGTACCACAATTTTCTCCCACACTGTGGTACCACAATTTGCGCCCACACTGTGGTACCACAATTTGCGCCCACACTGTGGTACCACAATTTGCGCCCACACTGTGGTACCACAATTTGCGCCCACACTGTGGTACCACAATTTGCGCCCACACTGTGGTACCACAATTTGCTCCCACACTGTGGTACCACAATTTTCGCCCACACTGTGGTACCACAATTTGCGCCCACACTGTGGTACCACAATTTGCGCCCACATTGTGGTACCACAATTTGCTCCCACATTGTGGTACCACAATTTGCTCCCACACTGTGGTACCACAATTTGCGCCCACACTGTGGTACCACAATTTGCGCCCACACTGTGGTACCACAATTTGCGCCCACACTGTGGTACCACAATTTGCGCCCACACTGTGGTACCACAATTTGCTCCCACACTGTGGTACCACAATTTGCGCCCACACTGTGGTACCACAATTTGCGCCCACACTGTGGTACCACAATTTGCGCCCACACTGTGGTACCACAATTTGCTCCCACACTGATGTACTTTTGACTAAACACCTTATTCAAATAATTTTTTATACATTTTATTGACTTGAGTATATTAAAAATCATTTGAAAATTACTGTAAGCGCATATGCAATAATTAAACTAAATATAAATAAATATATATATTTATTTATATTTATATATTTATAAATATAAATATATAAATATATAAATATTTATAAATATAAATATATTTATATATTTATAAATATAAATATGGCTCAACTATTAAAATTGACGACGAATTAGAAATGGAAATGGATAGGCTGCGAAATAGAAGTCGTAATCGAAAAAGGCGACGAAATAGAATGGGTAAGCAAATGGAAAATGAATATAGAAATGGAAATAGAAACGAAAAAGCTTACAGAATTAGACCCCTGGTTCAGAACTTTTTCAGAACCGGTGCAGAGCAGGTGTAGAACTGATGCAGAAAAACTGCACCGGTTTTGCATAATTTCTGTACCAGTTCTACATCAGGTCTGCACTAATTCTAAATTTTGTAAAAATTTTGATACAAAAAAAAATTTAAAAAAAAATAATTTAATTCTTTTTACTTGTCAAAGAACTGTCGTATTTAAAAAGCACCTAAATGTGCTGGAACAAATTAAACTATAATTAATTAATTAATTTTTGTATCTAAACAAATTACTCTGGCAATACTTTATTGTAAATAACTCAATTATATATTTTCATTCATTCTTCTACTTTTATTCTTTTTTTAAGGATTTGTGGACTTTTTAATTTTGTTAATCTGAATATTTTCTGCACATTTTAATCAAAAAAAATTTATTAACATTTATTCCTTTATAATTAATTTTTAATCAAATTAATTATCCGAAGGTTGCCCGCCTTATCGTTAAACTTAGTATTTAATTTTTATTTTACAAAATATTATTTTTGGCCTAAAAAAAAATCACTCGCGCCCGTTGTGGGAATTTTAGAACCATCACATCAGACTACCGCGATACAATTGAAAATCTGTGTCAGCCCGATTAGTATCATCGGGCAGCACACGTGAAAAATCACATTCGATAGGTGGAAAACGGGAAGAGCTATAGAGGAGGGTTCTTGATGTTTGCTCGTGTTTCTCGCAAGGAATTTCTTTGCAGGCCTAATGAGAAAAAACGAGCCTGGCTGGACTAGATTTTATATTTTACCACCCAGCTGCTGCCGTAAAACAAAAAGGCCAATCATGCTCTGCACGTGAACAACAAAAAGCGGCCCGATGAAAAATGAGGGTTGAGCGACGCGCAGTCGTGATATTTCCGAGAGGCCGCCGCAGCTTTTATCAATCACCTTGATGCTCTTAATGAAAAAAAAAGGAGAACTGGAAAGCTTTCAGGGCCCGCGCCGCGAGCAGCATCAATTAATAAATTTATTGTTGCTGATGGGCCGCATTACAATCATTCGATACACTCAATCTGCTCCTTCACCTTTGTTCGCCGGCGGCATGCAAGCTCTCTTAATATTTTTCACTTCAGACGTGCATATCATGTCAGCCCCTCTAAAATATTTCTCCTGTTCCTTGATAACCTTTCAATTAGGACGAATCCTGATAATGTGTTGAACAAAGTTTAAAATTAATTTTTCTTATTATTTCTTAAATAAAATATAATATTTTCTACTTAATTAAATTAAACTGCATTTGAGACCAATATTTTAATTTGCAAATTTAAAATTTTATCATTACATTACATCGTATAATATTTATTACTAAAAAATTATTTTGAATAAATTAGTAATAGATTTTTATAATTTTTTGTGAAAAAATTCACATTTGGTGTAGTATATAGTAAAAATTAATAAAAACTACTTAATATTGCTTTTTATTTATTAAATTATATCAATATATATAATCTAGTTTATTAGTAAAATTTTCATGGTTGAAATTTTCATAAATTAATAATATATGTAAAAATATATTTTAATGGTTTGATATTTGTAATAGGAAGTCGCAAATAAAGCCGACATTCTGTTAGTCAATTGATTTGACAACGAAAACCACGTTTTGTGGGTCAGACGGATTAAACAATGCGGTCGAAACGCTTTGCATGGCCCCATAGCGACCGCGTTCGTTTTTCCAGCCGATCGCCCGTGATTAGCCCGTGGTCTGTCCGGGCGCAACTCTCTCTAGCTCGGTCCCAAAGTTGTTTTGTTGCGAAAATCAAAAGCCATCGCTCAAGTCGGGTGGAAGTTGACGAGGACAGGAAACTATTTTCGACACGTTTTACATTATGCGTCAATCTCGTGGGATCTCTCGCAGACTTGCTCTACGACCTGTCTATTATATGAAAAAACTTTCAATAAATTTATCAATAGCTGATTTTTCCCTTATTTATTTTTTATTTTTTAATTAAAACATAGATTTCGACAAATTTTCTTGACTTTTACTATAAAAAACATAAAACTATTGTTGTAGGATAATGAATACAAAAAATAATAATGAAAATTGAACAATTTCACGACCTGAGATTTACGTTTGTTGAAAAACTATGATAATTTTTATTTGTTTTTTAGGCGGACAAAAAAGTTCTCAATAATTTGAAACTCAACTAAGTAATATTCGTGGTGGATTGAATTTAAATTCGGCTTTTCCTCGATGGGTTTTTGTGAGTTTTTATTGTTTGAGAAAAACAATATCCTGCTCTACATGTTTCGGCTGCGGGCTGCAGCCATAATTCATGAGCTGTGAAAAACAGAGCTCACAAAAACCCATCGAGGAAAAGCCGAATTTAAATTCAATCCACCATGAATCAACCCTCGATCGTGAACTTCTACTACAAAAATAAGTAATTTTCATTTAAAAAATTTAAATTTTTTAACAATTCTTATGAATTAATTCAGTGTTTATTAATGTTTTGTTTTGCTTTTTGCTGTGCATTTTGAGCACTGGACGACATTATTATTTGGGACTTTGGCGGAAAAAAGGAGAGCAGCGTTGAGAATTAATAATAACTTGACGTAATAGCGGCGGCGGCGGCTCGTGTCATTTGGAGAGAATAATAACATATCTGTCCGGCCATGATTTCATTACATACACGCGAGAGAGACGAAATGGCCGGAGGACGCGCGCACAAAGGAATTCCTCGGGTCCAATTTGACTGTCCCTAGCCGCGCAAGTCGTGCTATTATTGCAGACCCTGATTGGCCGTGACAGCTCCGAAAACAATCGGGAGATATAACCCTCCGCTGCACGTTTCTATCATTTATCGTTTTGATGTGCATTGCGCTCTCTCGTTTATTGTTGCGACTTAAGCCGGATCAATGCGCGGGTACTTTGCTTTCAGTCATTGTATTATTTGTAATTCTGAATTATATTGAATATCTAGTGTAATAAAAATAAAAATTCCGCTATGAATGTGAAGTTTTCAATTTCTATATGACAAATGCTTTCCTATTTTTTGAGGAATTTTGGTAGATTGGTGTCAAGATATTTCTTCAAGACAAATAAAAAATGGAATTATTACAACAATATTACATGGGTGTTTTCCTCTTTAAAAAGAACAATGTAATATTTTAAAAGACTTAAGTGTTTTTACAATTTTCTATTAAGCAATCTGGGGGTATTAGTTTATTTCAAGTCATATGAAATTAACTTCAAAAGAATTTCATAAAAGTCCTTAATTCTTATCAAACAAATTAATCACTTTTTAATTTTCTTCAAATCTCATTTTGCAAAAAAAAAAAAATATATATATAGTTGGTTGCAATTAATTTACTATTTTTGAAGTCCATTATTTAATTTTTCAATTATTCTATATAAAAGCACTACTAAAATGCAAATTAAAAAAAACAGCACCAGTAATGGCAAATGACAACAATTACTAAAAAGGATAAGTGATTTTTTTTTTTTAATTTTAAAAAGTCTTTTTTTAACAAAATAAATTATTTTCTAGACTTTTGCTTCAATTTTATTCCATTCTTTTGAAAAAGTTGAACCAGAACGATTTTAAATTGTATATCACAAAGCAAAATGGAAGGTTTCAAATGAGTTTGATTTGATTTTTATTTCAGCATTCTATAAATACACTCGCGCAATTCACTCCGCCGATTGCATGACTTTCGCTGCTCTGCAATAATTCAAATCCCCCGTTTTTTTTATCTGGCAGCAGACTGACTGTTGTGGATGGATTGCAGCCTCTCTCTCTCATTCTCTATTTGTCTGATGCGTGTGTGTGTTTTTATTCAAATACAGAGCCAAAGCACACGCCACATGCGTTTTGGCTCGCTGGTAAATAATAATAAAATAACGCGTTTCATCTGCCGCCGTCTCGTTTTCCCTGAATGTGTCGTAAAACGGCGGCCGCGAGGGCGGCCTCTTTTATTCATCTCTCACCACTGATAAAAAAGGGTGCAGCGCGACTCTGCTTATCATCATCCGAAAAAACATCAAAAGCTTTTGAATAGTAAATTTTTCACGCCGGCCGAGTAAATTACATATCCGACCAGCCATTATTTGGAAAAGAGATAAAATTTTAACTCTGACAAAAATATTATAGGGGTTGCTGTTTGCGTATAATGTACTCTTTTATCAAGTAAATATTAATGTACCTGTTTCAAACTGCAGACCTGATGGATTTGTCCAGAATCAAAGGGTGATTTGGGCTGATCAGGGGTGCGCGTCAGGGTGAGCCAGTAGGTGCTCAGGATTTGCTGAGACGAAGTTTGCAGACGGATGGAAATTCGGTTCTCGCCTAAACCAACACTGCTTTTGTAAGAACTGCAACATTTTTGACGATTTTAAATTATTATGTAACTTTATACTCATTAATATATGATTATCATTTGACCAAAACCCAACCCAATACCTAGGTTTTTTTACAATAAAATTAATTGTTAATCTTTCAATTAGCTGTTAATTTATTTTTAAAGAAAAAAAAGTTAGTTCTGCAAATATGTAAAAAAATTCCTCTTAAGTTGAATTTAATTTTAGAATGAACAATTAAATATTAAATAAATATTAAAAACATTTTAAAATTGTGTTTAAATGAAAAATTAAGAGTAACTATCAAAGTTTAACATAATTATTATATAATATAAAATAAGAAAGTTTAAAATATTAAACTGGGTTTTACTAAGTTTAATACAAAAATTTGTATGTCACATACATATGAAAATTGATTTTTCATGAATTAATTTTGTTTCCAAATTTGTATTGCTCAATAAAAATTTAAAGCTACAGCTTAAACGCTAAACGCCATCTGCTCTCTGCCAGGCAAACTTCCCGTTTGCAAGGATCTCCGAGCGCCGCTTTCGACCCCGGCTCGAACTAGCGGAGAGCGAAGCCCGCCAAGGTGTTTTAAGGGGCTGTCACCTTCATTTAAATTTCATTGTCTCACACACAGCCGGGCCCGGTGAAAAGCCAAACAAACTCGATTACGCCGGGGATGTGATTTGCATTGGCAGCTCGTAAATATTCAGCCGAAGAGCATTTTAAGTTAAGCGTCTTATGCAGAAAGTGAGCACCACAGCGAATTTTTACTTTCGCTTAAGCTGCGGCTTTTCTTAAGCAAGAGAGTCAAAATAAAAAAGCGTTGACAGCCGAGACAAAAAAAATGAATTAAAAATAATTTTTAAACTTGCCTGGACGGTCGATCCTGGTCGTCAAAAAATAGCAAAATTCCACATTTTGCAGGCGCTGCCTTGATTTTTACCAAAGTAGTGTTGTACGCCAGGTCCACTTGGTACTGCCGGATTTCAGGATCAAAGGTTGGTTTCAAAATGCGGCCCTGGTCGATCATCAGGTACCTCAGGTAAATTGCACTTCCAGGGTCTGATTTCAAAAAATAAATTGTAAAGAGAATAATTAATTTTTTTTTTAATTTTTAATTTACCATCAGAACATTCATGACTCATCATGCTCAGGTTGTCATCCTTTGACGGCTCCAGGTACTTTCCAGGCAAAACATGCAGACTTTCCAGATTAGTGCTGAATTTTTTTTTTTTTTATAAATATATCAATTTTCCTCCATATATTTTACTTACATAAATGCAGGTATATTATTGTCCATTGTGGAAGTTTTTCTTGCAAAATATTTTTCCACTGAAGAGTAAAGTAAATCACCCTGAACAGTAACGTGAGTCCCAGTAGTCTCACTAAAAATAGATTTGATAGAATGTAATATATATTGAAATAAAAGAAAATAACTACTTTACAAGAAGGTTGGTCCAACTTTGTGGTAAAGGTAGGGGTTGGGGGTAGAGCCGAACAAGGGTGGAAGCATAAAGGGCCTCTCTTCGGGTGCTCAGCAAAAAGAGAAAGTCCTCTTTGGTCGGTGGGCATTTTTGCGAGTCGCATCCAGCGCCTAATTTAAACAAAAAATAATAATGATTTTTTTTAATAAATTTATTAATTTTTATTTTACCTGAGTAGAGAAGGGCAGTGGTGACGTCATCGTGAACCCAGTCAGTGGCGGTGGCCAGTCGTAAAAATCGACTGAGGGTCTTTCGGTTGACCCTGGGGTCAGGGTTGACACCTTCGATCACAGGATTCAGCTCTTCGTCGAGAGTTACGTGCAGGGATATTATTTGAAAAAAGTTTTGCCTGGAATTTGGTATATTTCAATTAAAAAAAACGCACAATTTCTACACATTTACTGTGTCAAAATCTGCACGAATTTAGCCAAATTATGATTTTAATGCCAAAATCAGCAAATAATTCAATTTGAGGTAGAAATTAAATTTCAAGAAATGAGTTGTTAAATAAATTCATCTTGACATTCAATTAGGCCGGAAGTTAGTTTTTGAGGAATTAAATTAGCAATTTCAAGAATTTGAACTTAGACCTATTATAAATTATAAGGCTTAAGAGAAATGAAAATTTTGCATACAAATTATTTAAATAATGAAAAATAAAATTAGGAGTCATTTGATTGAAGATCTGTTAAATAAAAAAATTATTTGTGCTGTCAAAATTGGATTCAAAATTTATTTTTAGAAAAAAAAACGAGTCAATGACACAATGTTTGTTTAAATTACGTCCTTCTATATCAATATCAGCCGTTTTATTTATTTACTTTTAGGAAACTGCGTTAAATAAATATGTGAGAGTAAAATAGACTGAAATAATGGTGTCGTGGAGGGCGATGGAAGATAAGGCAGACACCAATCAATATTCGCGCGGTCTCAAAAATAAATACCTGTTAGAGTTGGGCAAATATTTTGTAAGCGCCGTTTCTGCCTTGAGCAGCAGGAAAAGGACGGAGTTCCGCACTTGCTTCTTCAGCCTGGTGCTCTTTTCAGGTCCAAGATGTGACCACAATTGCTGCAGATCCCAAGATTTCTGCAAAAAAATTAAAACATTGAATATTTTTTCAAGCTCAAAATAATTTTATATAATTCCAGCACTGAAAAATATTACTTTTGTTTATAATTAGTCAAAAATATGTGAACGCAGTTAGTAAAAAGAGAAAGTCACGCAATCGCGACCGTGGGTTTTAATTTGGGGGGATGATTAATTGCATGGAGATGGAGTGGCACATTGTTTGTCGCACATTGTTATTGTGACAACGAGAGGAAACCGCACCGGAATTGATTTCGCTGCGTTAAAGGGAGATGAATTTTTCGAAAACAATTTTATCTTCTTTTAAAGTCATTTCTTGAAGGTCGGAAATTCCTCGTTGTAAAACAAAAACTCTAATCTCGAAACAAATCAATTTTTCTTGGTCGTAAAATACGTGTGCGTTCAGTGCAGTACATAATAAAAAGCGGTAGCTTTCGCCAGTTTGTTGATTAATGACTTTTGTGAGTCGCTGCGGCAACATATAAAACAGCAAGCGTGTTTCCCGCTGCTGCTCACATGCAAATTCAATTCAAAAGACCCCCTTTGCTTGTGTCGGCGCAAGGCTCATTTGCTTAAAAGTCTCCAAATGATCCGCGACAAACAAATATTTACTTTCAGAAACGGTTTCTTCAAAATATTTCTGAAAATTTCGATTTACTCGCCTGCTTAGTTGAGTTTCCCGTTTTGTCTTGTAGCACGACTTTGCCTTCGTTTTCGTCCAGGTAGGCTCGCAACGGAGCCATCGAGGTTATTAAAATTGTAAGATGAGCGGTTGCAGAATATTGTCCGTTCAATAGAAAATAAGGTTTGCCGACAGTCTTAACGGTCCCTCTCTCAGGTAGTCTAAAAATGATAATGGAAAAAAAAACATACAATAAGTTCTTCATTCGATGTTTTCTAATATATTTTTAAGAAACGCAGAATCAAACGTCAAACAATGAAAAAAGAATATTTATTGATTAAATTTTGTAATAAAAATATTATTTCTTGCAATTGCTGTGAAATTATGTGATTTCACTGATTTTAAATTCTAAAAAGAAAATTAAATTCTGAAAATTCTAATATTTTCTGTGTTTTTCTTTTTAACTATTTTATAAAAAAAATTGATTAATTTTTATTTATACATTTGCATAATTCGATTCCAAAATATTAAATTGATCCGAATTATTATCTTACTTTTTATTTCTGGCTATTTGGAAAAGTTGGAACGTGTTAACATGTTTGGGCGGCCGTTCCGGAGCGTCCGTCTGAACGACCGTCCACTGGGTGTGATTGGCAGCGCTGTCCGCCTCGTTGAGCAGCTCCTCGAAGTCGTCCGGCATGGAAAAGCAAGCGAGGCCTCCGAGAGTGGCAGCTGCGAGTTGCCTCTGCAGGCGACAGAAACCTGCGTTCGATGACAGCAGTGCGGACAGACCCGGAATTTGGCTCACTTTCTGGCCGTCCGACAACCGGCCAAAGGAACACAGGTGCGCCCCGCACAACAACAGATTCCACTCTGTGATTCGGAAAAAAATCCAAATTCATAAATCATTAAACTTAGACAGTCTGTCAATTAAAAATGTTATGTAATGTTGTGAATGTTGTGAATGTTGTGAATGTTGTGAATGTTGTGAATGTTGTGAATTCAAGTTAAATTTTGTTTTTCTGCCCAATCATTGTGTTTTTTCTGGTTTTTCAAGTGTTCAACTAATTTTTTGTAATCAATTGATAATGTAAGTTTCTCTCTCCAAGCTAATGGTTATTGTAAAACTTTCTTGATATGTCGAAGAATGGGGTATAGTTACCCTACTGAGACATCAATAAACACCTTTTGCAACTAAAGTGAAATCTAAATAATATTTGATAATACTTAAGCTTAATATTTTCAAAATTCACAAGCAACTATTAGCAATGAGCAAACTATTGACAATTTATGACTAAGAAATTATACAACTTGTTGCGCATTATAGTTATTATAATTAAAATTAATGATATGAACTTAAAACATAAATAGAGTTCGTGCTTTAATTGCAAAGATGTAACATTATTCAGTTTTTGATAATTTAAATTTTATTTGCTTATATTTGAAAAATAAATTATAAATTAAAATTTAAAAAAACAAACTAAAAACATGATTATATATTTATAATTTAAACAGAAAACAAATATTTAAAAAATAAAAAATTATATTTTCTAAACAGCCTAGAATATTTAAGAATTAAATTTGTTGTGTTTTTATATGGTTTTTATACACACAAATTTATTGAAGACATATTAAATTAAGAGAGCATTGAAAACTCAATGATATTAATCTTTTTTTAATTATTATAAATTTGAGCTATGCATCCAAATTTCAATTCCACTTTTTCCAAAATTTATTCTCATTTACTTGTTTGGGAAACATTAATTTGAGCAAAAATGATTTTGTGTACATCGTCAGCAAATCTCTATAATTGCCTTTATCCCTCTCAGCTCGTACACTAATTAGGTGTACCTTGTGAAGTGGTGTTAACGTGGTAATTGATGTCGAAGAGGCTGGCGTAGAGTTCTGCCCTGCTCTGGTACGAGCCCTGAATCTTGGCCACCCTCTTGTTGGACTCCACCCCCAACTGTTGGCTCTCCAGCTGCGGAATAAAATCGGCGTAAATTCATTCATTAGCAGAGGCAAGTTGTTCGCCTGCACAGTTGAGCCTCTCCGGAAGCAAGAAAAAAAACGGGCATTATATCGGTCCAAACTACGGCAGGGTGGATTTTTGTTTGAAGGGTGTTAAAGTGGCGCACGATGTGCCGTGCATATTTTGCAGGGCCATATCGGGCACGTGACCGGAATCAAAACTCGCCCACCGTGGCCAGAAGAAAGACCAACTACACTTCCATGTTCTTCTTTAACTTTTATTTCAAAATTTAATTATTCAGTATAAAACTTAGTATATTAAAGACCAATAAAGGATTTTTTTTGTGATACTGGTTTATTTACAAGATTGTAAAGTTTTAAATTTTTACTTGCAAGATTTAAATCTTCAACAGTAATAAAAAAAATTTGTTTTTTTTTTTTTTTTTAATATAATAATTTTTAATTAAGTTTTCTACTCAAATGAGATAATCCTGGACGGCAAAATCATGTTGAGCACAAATTTTGATACTCCATCACACACATGTTTTTACATGTGTCCATTTCTCTGCTTCCGTTTGATGAAACTATATCATCGTTTGTCATATGTGTCAGCGGATATTTTTCAGAATTGTGAAAAATTATGGTCCACCACATTAGTTTGTGATCAAAAGGTTCTCTGCATTTGGCCACCGCAATAAGCAGGGCCATCATTGGGAAAAATGAAGTTGCAACCAAAACTATACACCTTGGTACTGATGACATGCTTCACTCTTTCTCAGGTATGAAATTGTTTTGTTGAAAAAATATAATCTTCTCATTTATGATATATTGTGAATAGTAATAAATAGCATTAATATCACTTTTTTATCATATTAACAAAAAACTTTAATTGTCTGATTGAAAATGAAAAAAAAATGGGAGGAAAAATATTATTTAAATGTGGATGGAACTCGAACTATTTCTGAGGACAAAATATCCTTACAGAAAACTGACACAAAAATCGCGTTATCATCATTTACAATTAAATGAAACCAAAACTTTGCCAAATGTGTGTGTCTCACCGTAGTTTTAGCATTAGTTATATAATTGAGGATTATCAAACTCATTTTTGAGAAACTTCTTAATGAGAAAATCAAGCAGGTGTTTTTAAGACCTGGGCTCCAATTCTATAAGAGAAATTTACTAAAATTCTAATTCAATCTTACAGAATTAGAATTATAAGCGGTTAAAAATATTTCATATAGACTTCATATAATGGCTCTTATTTAAGCCCTTATAAATATTTTTGTTTCTAAAACAGCTGCTATCTGATTGGAAAACCTATTGGTGAATTTTTTATTGGTTGTATGCAATTGAAAATTGCTGTGAGTTGAAGAATATAACGAAAAAAAATATATATTATAAAAAAGTCCATCTAATTTGATATCTGAAAGATGTCGAATTGTATAATGGCACTTGCGACAGTTTTAACCGATTTATTTTTGCCAGAAAAGATAAATTTTTGTGATATGCCGGCAGTAATTCATTATTATTTAATTATATTTCATTTTTTTTTATGTAAAATCTTCAGTGCAACGGCATCGGTAAAACAGAAAAGAAAGCCAAAGAGGTGAGATTAAAAAATCATTGCTAAAGGAAAGATCAAAAATCAAAATAATGTAAAATTGACCTAGTTGAATACAATTGGTTCAGAAATGAAGGGGCTGCAGCGCTCAGCAGAAAATATTTTACAAAGAGGTTTACAAAATACAATTCTTGAATCATTTTTCTAATAATTAATTTGGATAGCCGGGCCAGCAAAATCGAAGAAAAGGAAAGGAAATCGAAAGAACATAATTAAGTGTTGCGGGAAAAAATCGTGTTTCGGGACTACAAACAAAACAGTCAACAATAGGATGACAAGCACTGCTTTGAAACATTCAAACCCAATAAAACAAATCACCACCACTGATCTACAAATACATGAAACTTCAACGTCTGCTTCTGGAACAGATTCAGTAGGGATTACTGAAGTGATTACAGATCCTAGCAGTCAAGAAACTTCTTCAGCTATGATCGGTTGTTAAATTATTTTGGAAATCTTTTTGATTAAAATTGATCATCTGCAGAGTCTTCCAGTGTCAATTCAGAATCTACGACAAATACTGCAGACGCATCAACAGAGCCTTCCACTGTTGAAACCTCAACGACAACAGTAAAATTCAGTTTAAAAATAAAATGATCAAATGCACTCAAGATTAATATTTTTCTAGTTACCACCGTTGTGCAACTGCCCAGCTTGCGTAAAAGTAGGACATTTTAATATGAGAGCTTTTATTTTCTGATTATTTAATCCTGATTTTCAAACTAGCAAAATGTAGTCAGCAGTGGAATCAGCTTTAAAGGTTTTAAATAATAATTAATAACAATTCTAATTTTTATTTATGCTGCTGTTTATATTTTTAGACCCAGAAACTTACGGTGAATGGACAAGCGTGGACAATATTACATATTTGTTTGGAGGCAGTCCGGTGATTATTTTCAAAACTATAGAAGAACCAAAATATTCCAATCAATATTGTTGGTAGATGATATGGTCAAATGCCTGGCAAAAGTGTTGCAGCTATGGGATGACGCTCATTAGTTTTGAATCGTTACAAAAGCTCAAACGCGTCGGAGAAAAGTTGCAAAGTAAAAAGCTTAAAAATCACATATTGTGCAGCATTTTTATTTTCAAAACTAGATTGGCCGTACAACACTCGATTCTGGACGAGTGGAACTTCAAAGGGATGCACCAGTGGTTCTTTTGTGTGGTGCTCAAGCAACAATCCCCAGTTCGACGCCGGGATTTGGCACGCAAATCAGCCAGATGAGAAAAATATTAGTGCAGGCGTTTGCGTCAGCACTAGCTTAGAAAACGGAACTTTTCTGCTGAACGACGATTTTTGCTCCAACAGATACGCGTTTGCATGCGAAGTATAATTTTTGAAATTTTAATTTTTCACGTAAAAACGCCGATTTTCAGAGCGCGCAGATGGCCAACCCAGGCGAGTTGCTGCAAAACGGATGTCCACCAAATCAGAATTGCGGAAACAACATGATTGGCGTATTTTATTTTTTGGAAATTCCTAAATTTAAAATGAATATTTATATAAAAACAGCTACCCACTTACAATTCCGATCAACTTATCTACGGTTAATTAATTTTAACAAAAATTAATCTTCTTTAACTTAAGAATTATTATAGAGCCCGGGCCAATCAGAGGGACTTTTTCTAGTAGCTGCGGATTAACCTACTATATCTCAAGAATGAAAGTATGCAACTTTTTAAATATGCCATAATCGAAAGGAACAATTTTGTGGTTTTTCATTCAGAAATCTTGGGCCGATGCAAGAAACTATTGCTGTAGCATCGGAATGGACTTGGCGAGTGTCAATCTGATTGAAAAAATAGACTGCCTTTCTCAAGTTTTTACAAGTATAAACAAAATAACCATCCATAATTTTTATTTCTTACAATTAGCCTCTTCAACTCCTCATTAACAACGAATGTGAAATTAATAATCAATTCCAGCCCATATTTATTCAATTTTCCTAATTTAAAAAAAATAGCTAAGATGGAATGAAATTAACGAAAATTTAAAAGGGGATTGTTTAAAAACTTTTTGGTCTCTTTTTAAGTAAATATTAAATACTCATTTAAAACAATCAAACAGAGTTTCCTACACGATTGAATGAAACGTCGTATTGGAGTTCAGGCAGAGCAACAAAAATACCAGGAAAGCACTACTGGTGCTCAACAGAATCATATGTGTATCCTCAAGAAACAGTGTGGGCTAAGGACTTCCCCAAAAATGAGCACACCTGTATTGTCATCGCATTCAACACAGCAATTAACAGTACTGAGCTGCAGACGGCATTTTGCGAGGAGGAAAAACCGTTCATATGCTCGGTGTGCAGAATAAATTTTATTATTATAATGGACAAATAGACAACAATAATAGAAAAATTAATCCACGTGATCAATGGTAATCTTATTAATTTTGTAAAAACAAAAAACAGGCAAGCGCCCTCAGTGCACTGGTTGCACAAAGGATGTGGTACGATTGCTCGACAACTTACGGACTTGCCAAAGGTAATAAGAAGTGGTGATAACATAAATGAAAAATAAGTTATGTATTTAAAGACTGGTGAAAAAAATCAAGTTTGAAGCTCAAAACGTCCAAAATAAAGTCATTTTATAGCATTATAGAGTCTTTTTACCCTGTCGATTTTGGAAATTTTGTGAAGGTCAAAGAAAAGTTTGATCAACATTAAAAATAAAAAACTGTTTAATTTTTGAAAAAAAAATAAGTTTAACAAAAACGAAACAGGATAAATATTGAAATTATTTAAATACATAATAAATTTTTGGAACAAGAATAAAATACAATGTTATGTATCAAAATGAAAAATAAGCAACAATTACTGCTGAAATTTTAAAAATCAAGACTGAAAATAAGTAAAAAATCTCAAAAATTTAGGTTTTTTTCTTGAAAACTTAAAAAATTGTTTTTTGTTCGACATTAAATTTTGAATCAGGATGAAATTTTTACAGTGATCTCTACTTTGTCAGAATTGATTTTGGAACAAATCAAAAAATTATTATCCGTTTCTTTGCCACTCTCTTAATTTTAAATTTTGCAATGCTAATATTAATGTTTAATTTTGACCAACAGATGAAGAGGATGAACTTTTACAGTTTTCACTGACGCTACCAGTACAAAGATTAATGGTGAATTTTTTTTTATTAAAACTTGCAAAACAGTAAAAGATTTCCTTGAAAAGTGCTATGCCAGGTGCATTGCCCATTATCACCACAAGGTATTTAATCTGACTGAGAAATTAGAAAAATTTTATAAATAATTATAAATTTTTTAAGATTGCAGATACCAGAATAAATGGACCGAACATTTTACAAGTTTTGGAGCAACTTCAGTTGACTCCCGCCGAATTGCAGGGAGCGTATGTTGGTTACGAAAAGTGTGAAAATACTGGTAATTACATTTTGCACACATACAATAATTACGATTAAAACCAAAATTTCAACCAACAGTGCTGCCGATGAATTACAGTCGGTGCCTCTTCACTTACATGGTTGCAAGGTGCGCTCTCGCAAATGGCTACCTGGTTATGCAAAAAATGCTGACATTTTCTACTGGTAGCTTGAGACAGTTTGTAAGTTAAACTCCAGGAAAAATATCACAATTCCAAACGTGACATTAAAATAGCTGCCATCAACTTTGCCGTGTGATCCAAACTACCAATACTGCGATACTGGCCTTCCATGCGTGCAAAATGTATGAAATTTCTATATAAAACTGATCAGAATAGATCATTAGGCTATTTTAAGGCTGCCCTCATTGGTCAGTTGAAAACAACAGGCAAAAGTAATAAATTAAAACTCAAAATTTTAATTTTAATTGCAAAATTTTAAACCAAAATTCAGCTGATATAGGAACTTTAGTCAGTCTACCCAGTGGAGCTAATTATTGTATAGTAAAGCGGGAAGTTAAATTTGTGAGTGATGCGGATTATTATTTTTTGTTTTTCAATCCAAAATATTGATTTTTTTATCAGTTATACAGCTCAGCATATTCATACTGCTGCTCAATCGGAATGAAACTAATAGAAATTGATAATATGAAAAAGTTGGACGACTTGCTGCAGTTTGATCCAACGTGTATGAGATTAATGTTTAAATTATTCCAATTCTACTTCATCAATGATTGTAGTAAGGCCTCTGAACCTGACAGTGGTTGGCCCATTGAAGGAAGACGAAAACGGAGAACCATCAAAGTGGTGCTCATCGGGCGCATCGATTCCTCTGGCTCTGTTTCCGCAGGGCAAAATTCCCAAAGACCCATGTTTCAAACGAACAAATTGCTTGTTTTTAAACCTAAACGCCGACAACACCTTGCTGTATGATAATTGCGAGTATACCTCGGTATCATTCTTTGTTTGTGAATTATAAAAGCTAAAAACAAAAATTGAAATTATCAGTTTGTGAAAATATATATTTCAATATTTTACAAGAATTTCTTTTTCTTTTTGGATTTTACTTATTTGTATTATTTTCATTGAAAATCCCGTCTGATAATTTTAAAACTTTTAAAGGAAAGCGCCGAATTTCTATCATATAATAGGTCACGCCAGAAACTGAGCATGCACCCCCTGACCCCAACCGGTAGAGAACCCATGACCTCCAGAAAAGTAACCACCGTACCATAAAGTAATTGATTGGAGCTGAAATTCTGTCCTGCTGTACAGACTATACACGTTATTAGGTTACTCTTGCCTGGATTGCCCTTTAATTCAATGATCTCTAGAGTTGCAGCAGTGATGCGGCTGATGAAATGATGCTTCGGAAGGGGATTTTGAGATCAGCAGCTACTCAAAAAATAGCCGTACAGTTTGGAAAACTATTCCAACTTCCAGCTGATATAAAAATACTATATTTAATTCAGTGTGAAGATTTGAAAATAAAAAACTCGCATCTTGTTTTTAATATTCAAGACTTCTTATCGTTGTAAGACTTAATATGACTGTGCCAATCATATTAAATAGCTAATTTCAATAGTTTCATTACTCTTGTTTTGAAAATTTGCACTTGCCGATAGTGGCTTGGAGTAAACTATATTAAATTAGTTCACTAAAATTATCGCAAAAATATATAAATATTGAAAAATTAGCATAATATTGGATTATGAAGGACTGATTGAACGTTCTTTATTAAAAAAAAAAAATCAAATTTAGTAATCATATTTAATTTCTTTTCCAGTTTTTGTAATACTGAGCAAATTTTGAATTTATTTATATGACGTTGCGAACCCTGATTTTCCGTCACATAATTATGATTAGTGGATGGCACTGTGCAGAGTAATCTGTTCGAGAGGGAGGCAGTGCAGTAAAGCCGACGAGATTTAATATTCTCTGCTCTCGTCGGAGCGAGGGCGTGTAAGCAATCAACAGGCGATGAATATATGCAGCGTGGCCACAAAACGGAACCCCGCCGTGCATGGATTAATTTCTGGATTTCGTTTTTGTTGTCGAGAGCAAAAATAAATTCAACTTTGTATCTCACCGAGTGCAGGATGTGGTGCAGGTGCGACGGAATGAAGACGGCGGACGACGATTGCGGGTGGACCGGCGCCGTCCAGGGGGCGGCCACCCACTGGTACGTCACCAAAACGGACACCACGGACAGGCCGCACACAGCCAGCAACACTTCCATGGAACTGCTGCGCATTCTGCAAAAAAGTCAATTATAAATAATAAATAAAATTTTTAAATACTAAATTAAATTTTACAAGTTTTAAATATTTTTTAAAACATATTTTTAAAATTTATTTGCAAATAAAATTTTGTTATTATTTTTTTTAATTTTATGGGATCAAAATATGTAAATAAAACATAATTCTATGTATTTTTAACAAATAACTAGTACATCAATGTAAATACAAGAAAATAAAAAATTATAATTTAGTATTGAATTGGATTCCTTGAAATTATATTCTATCAGCAATTAAACTCAATTTCGAGCGTTTTTTCAATTATAAATTTCAATGAATCTCTTTTATGACTTCCAATTTCTTAATTAAACTTCAACAAAATTGTACTATTCAAACTAAAAATAGTCATTTAGTTTATTTTCAAACAAGAGGATGAAGATAAATAAGAGTGTCCGTTTTGCAACACGTTATTCCAAATTTGTGTGGAGATACTTTCGGCAGAAGCGTTCCCTTGTATAAATAGAATGTATTGTGAGTGAGCTTTCGTCTTCAGTCAGAGGGACGGTTGGAAATAAATAAATTGGTCGCCGTCACTCACTCGTTCACTAATCACCCATTTGGCACCTGCAACTCAGCTCCTCACGCAATCGTAATCTATTCTGACACACACGTCGTTAAGTCTATTTTTTAAGTCCAGGCAGCGAGAAAGTGACGCGTCTGCATTCGAAATTTGTGCATTCCGGAACAGTTAGTTTAAAATTTGAAAACACTTCAATGTGAAAAATCAAGTTTTTCTTAAGAGTTTCCAAGAAAATTCAATTCGATTTATTCGTTCTTACCTATGCAAAAATAATTATTTGGAAAAATTAAATATAAATAAGTTGAAATTCTGTATGAAAATTTTATAATTTTTTTTTTTTTTATATATAATTATGAATTTATTTATTGCATTTTTTTTAACAAAATATGCTGAAGATCAAGTTTCCATCTTACTTACAATGGAAGGTAAGATTGCTCTTTTTTGAAACTAAAATGCAAAATGTCAAAGTGCACGCGACTTTTCTTCGATCCTTTGCATTTTGGATCGCAAAGCTTAATTATATTGATTGGAGCAATTTATTATTCGTCCGCTGAGCCGCTGGGTACATAAACTTCAAGTAGGATTACTTCAGCAGCGGTGCACAGTTTTGGAGCACCCTTCGGGATCTACAGGACGAGTAGAGCAGAATCTGGAGCAATCGATTTTCCACGTGCGCACAATTTTCGCCTCGAAACCCACGATTTTTCTGCCTCAACATTATTTTTTCGCATAAATTTTGAAAAAATCCGTCCCCGTCAATAGCAAAGAAACTCGTTTGTAATAATGCCAAGCATGCTGTGTTTGTTTGAAAACTCGATCCAGGACGACATTCAAAAGATTGAATTTCGCTGGCTGGCACACAAACATCAACCGGCCGTCAGTCAATTCGACCCTCCTTTGATGACTTTGCGTCTTTCTTTTGCTGCTGGCCTTTTATCCCACGTCAATTTTTTTGCAATAGTAATGAGAGGTTTGTTCAATTTCTTTCAAAAATTAAAATTGTTCTAATTTTCAGAGAGAAACAACTTAAAAAAATAATTTGTATTTAATTAACTAAATAAATTATAAGTAACCATAAGTAACTTAAAGCCTTTTTATTGTTTGTTTTTTATATTATTTTTAATTTATTTTTTTATTATTATGATATAAATCTTTTAATATTGAAAATCTCTGGACTAACTTTTTCTTTAAAAAAATTGTGACCATTGCACTTTTAAATCAAATTAATATTGGCCCTTCACACCATAATACAAAATATATCGAATAGACATATTCTTCCCAACACGCGTCCATTTTTTTTTCAATAATTTTCTTAGATCAAAGATATCTTACCACAAAAAGAAACCAAAGAGTATAAAGCATTGTATTTCAGAAATACCTCATTTGAATTTTGTGTATAAATCTGAAATTTTTATGAACCAATTTGAAAGAAAGCTTAGAATAATCTGACTTCTCTATTTATCGCAATAAAATATCCGTTTTTTATAAAAAGTTGCTCTCCCTCATCCGACTCATCGAGTGGATCCGCGAACTGCTCCTCTCTTTTTTTACTCTCCGTCTATGCTTACAGAAATGCGCACTCGAGCAAAAAACTTTTTCAGATCATCGTGTGTTCTCAGTCAGCCAATTTAGGCCGGCCGTGTGTTTGTGTTTATCTCGAACATAAATACCGAGATGCACTTCAAAAGTCAAATAAAATAAAAAGAGCGACTGCTGCTGGGAACGGAATAAGTAGATGAGTGCTCTGAAAGCGCCCACTCATTTTTGTCTTGACTGCTGGCGGAAATCGTTTAGTGAAAAAAAAATACTAAATACCAGCGATTAGGTACGCATCAAGATGAATAAAATAAATATATGAAAATATAAATAAACGAATATGCACAAAATTTCAAGTCCAATAAATATGTGAGAAAATTTACTGATATTTTTTAAAAACTGAATAACTCACTGAGTCTACGTGATTTCAAGAAGAAATTAATAAAAATTAAGCAGGAAAATAAAAAAATGTAATAATCTCAGAATAATAAAAGGAAAAATGATAATAATCTGAGAATAATAAAAGAATATTAATGACTGAAATTTTTTGTTACTAGAGTTTTACAATTGAAGTTTATTTGCTAAACAAATTCGTTTTGATCTTCTGCCTTTCTAGCTTTAATAGGAGAGTCGTGTATGTTATATAATTGGAGCAGCGTTGGCGCAACAAAATAAATTGGCCGGCTCATAAAATCTAATTTCGAGCCTAATTGCGGCTTTTCGGCCGCTTTGTTGCCCGCAAATGAGATTTCTCGCGCGGCGCTATTGCGAACGAAGAGCAATTTAAAAATCGAGCAAGGTGAGAGCGGATATTGTTCTCGCGAGAGATTTGCACCCTTAATGGGAAGGGTGGCTCCTCTCTTGTGCAGCGCCTGTCGATTTTGACGCCGTTCTTGTGAAAGGCAAATCGGATACGCGGCGCGAATTGCGGAGGCGACGAATTGACAGCTTTTTGCCTCCGCGATTCATCGGTTTGAAACGTAAGAAGACGGAAAAAAATCCACGTCTCCAATTAAATTGATTTAATTGGATGCTCTTAGAAACAGCCCGGCGTGGAATCAATTATTATATTGGATTTTCAAATGAAAATAAAATGTCAAATGTAATTTTTGAGAGAGTGCCTACAGATTTTTTTGCCAGTTCTATTGGAAAAAGCCCTAAAAAATATATAAAATTGCATGTAATGGATAATGTAGTAATAAACTGACAAGAGTATAAGTTGCATTTTAAAATATTTTGTTTTAACAACCTCAAATTTGTTAAAAGTTACCAATAGGTGAAGTACTTTAATTAATTTTGTGGTGATTTTGTTTTTGATGGTTTATTAAAATATAGATGGATCACATTTAAACCCAAATTTATGTGGTTAAATTTCAAGAAAAAATTAAGAAAACAATGGAAAAAGCTAAACATTTTGTGTAAATAAATCATAACAAGTGGCCAAACTTACACTGAATTTATAAAAAAAATATTTTAAATTAAAAAAACTTATTATTTTATGTTATTAATAAAGTAATAAATAAATATTAATAAAGTAATAAACTTTTGTATTTTTATGCACAATTTTTTAATTTTTATAATATATTTTGTTTTAATACTTTTAATTTAAATTGTTTTAAATTGAAAATATCAACTTTGAAAGTGTGTTTTTATTAAAATTTTTTTTCTATTTTAATTGATTTCTTTTTAAATTTCTATTGCACTTATTCATGGCAATTATTAGCAAAATGCTAGTGGAAAATACATTTCACCTGCTCTTTCCATGAATACTTTTTCAAGGTTTAAAGTGCAGCTGATTACTCATATTTTCATGTCCCCCTTCGCTTTCGCTGTCAGCAGCTTCATCATTTCGCACTTTGGCGACTCTCTCATTTTTCTCCGCAGATTTAGTGGCGACGAGGGATTCGTCTCCGCGCACCCGTAATTCTGGCTAATAGTCCTCCCTGTTAGAATAATGGTGACTCGACGCCCTTTTGTCATTATTACACACTACCCAGATAGGTACGCGCTCCCCGTTAACAAATTGCCACACACCGCCTCATAAGTCACTCTCTGAGAAGTATAAAAACGTATAAAAATTATTCACGTTTTTTTCTAAAGACTTTTGAAAATTTCTCTAGATATTTTTTTGAATGCGATCTTCAATTTCTTCATCATTTATCCTTTCAGGGATTTATTATAAATTTCTGGAGCTTCAATTTTTCTGCATTATTTTAATTTTTTACAATAGTTGATGAAACAAATTTCGTTGGAACCTTGTTAAATTTATCACTTTTTAAGAGCAATAATAAATCATAAATATACAATTTACCTTCTTTTGAAAGTAGTGTTGATCATAAATTTAATCAAATTCTTTTATAGTGTCTATAATTACCAAAAATCACATGTATAAATGATTTAAAAAAAAAAACGGTGTGATTTTTAATATTTTAAAAGCAAAATCTTGTCCTTTGATTCAGTTATGAGCAAAATTGGCGCAAAATGCAAATTGATCGATGGAGTTCAATTTTGGATCTGGCGTCATTCCACCCCTGAAGATATTTGTCTTCCTTTTCTCCTTGCCCCAGAGGACGTACGTGCCAGTTTTTCCCATTGCAAATTAATGCTTGCAGATATGAAAGCCGTCGTTTTTTGTGCGATTCCTGATCCACTGCACAAACCATCGCTTGGGCAATAAAAATAATTTACGGCGTCTCACATGTTACAAAATAAATCTCGCACCGCCGACTGACCCTCAAACAAAATACATATGTGTGTGTTTTCGTCCGGAAGTCGTCGGCGATCCGCACGCATCATTTAGCAGGCGATTTATATTCGCTAGAATCTGCTCCTCACCCTTTGCTCAGTTTATTTTGAGCTGCTTTTAATTCCAGAGCTATGAATCCTACTATAACATTTTCATATTATTTTTTTTTATGTGCTGGAATTAACAAATTTTTTTAAATTAAATTTTATGTTTACAAGGTTTTTAGTTTTTATCCGAGAAATTTAGGCTTTTTTCGTGTACGAAAATGTGGTGGTCCAATTTTGACCAACAATTCACTTTTCTCATAAACACAAATTGTTTTCAAGAATTGAATTTCAATAAAATGTGTTTTAATAAATTTGGCGAATGAACAACAATAGTAAATAAAGATTTATCTTAAATTTTTCCTCAATATTCAAATTTTGTTTAAAACTTTATCTCGTTTTTTTAAGGTATTTTATTAGAGAAACGGTCAAACATAAATTTACTTCTATCAAAACTGTTTTTGTGGAGAAGCAAGTTTGTTGTTTTTTATTGGGTGGGCCGCGCCTCTGCATATGGACGCGCTAATAAAACTGGCAGATGCACTCAAAGGGTTGCCTGTGTTTCGTGTGTGCTCTCTGCTATGTTCGCTCTCGCCAGCGAGATGCTTTATGGCTTGTTTAATAAACACAAGATGTTGTCAGAGACCTTCTCGCACCAAAGCCGAGACCGCCGCCGAGCTCACTTACTTAATGTAAATTTTAAAATGACTGAAAGAGGCTCTCTGTTGGTGAGAAATTTTTTAATTCATGATGGATGGAGGGACTGTTTTTAATACGCCCTCTCGAGATGGAGCAACTTGTTGCAGACTGTCATGTGCTAATTCAATCTAAAAGGAAACAAAAAAGGAACAAAAAAGTTGGTAAAATATGAGATGAAAGACAGAGCTAACTCATGCAGCTAAAAAATAAGTTTAAGAATTGAGCTGTTGATACTGGTTTTTTAAAGAATAATCTGCTATCATTTTTAAAACAAAAATTTGAATTCTTTCCAAAATATCTTTATATCTATTTTTAGTAAAATAGTTGAAAAAAAATATGAACTTAAATTGACTTTAGGCGGTGTAATTTTACATATTACCCAATTTATTAATACATTTTGGTTCATCTCTCTCATCTGATTTTTTCCAATCTGCGTTTTCCCGCAATCAGCACTTTTGCGGCTTGCAGAAGTGTTTCCCTGCCCATACATTGTGTAAGGGAGACGCTCTCAGTTTAATTATACGGTCGGTCAGGGCTGGGGGTAAAATGATCTGCGCTAAACTTTTTATACCAACAGTGCAGGTGCTCTGATGCCCCATCAGTGTTTCGCAAATTAATTGAATTCGATCAAAGTGGCTTCCTACGTGGAAAATCAGGATATCAATCAAATAAAAGGGAAATAGAAAATGCATTACAAAATATCATTTGCAGTTACCAGAAATTGGAACAAAAGAAAAATTTGTTTATTTCAAATTTATAGAAAAAGTATGTTACATGTGAACTTACTGAAACGATTTTTTTATAAATTTTAGAATTTAATATTAACAGAAAGCATTTTTATGGTTACAATGGAAATTTATAAAAAAATCTTCCCACAATTAGTAATTTATTTTATTATTATTTGAATTTTTTTAAAGATTGAGCACGAAATTCTATTCTAATTTTAGAAGTTGCAAATTTTGCACGCACATCTGCATTCGACCCGTTTACATCCTACTTCCGGTATCACATGACTATACTTTTTGGTGTCTCTCGAGAGTATCAAAGAAGAAAGAACGTTTTAAGAGGCGTCCGCTCGCCCTTTGAAAATATTTCCAAATAAAATGCGTTTATTTTTAGCTTGATTGCTGCACGGTTCGGTGAAAATTAAAACGCCTGAAAATTAAAATCTGGTGTGGTGGGACCCTTTTTGTAAAAATAACTCGGTGTGGCTTTTCGCAGCAATTTATTTCGCCCAGCTGAGAGTGCTCGAGACACAAAATTAATAGTCCACCAGAGCATCCAAATGTCTCTACTTAAAAACGCCCACTGCTAAATTTTGATCCCGAGAGCTTTATTTTTATTAGTCAAAAATATGGAGAATCTTGAAGAACATGAGGTGAGAAATTTTTCCTTGTAACATCTCAGTTCAAATAATGCAAAGTGCATTTGAAAAGGGGTCGAGTGTGTGTAATTTAGTGGCGCCTGAGAGTCAAATCACGCGCCGCTCATTCATCTTTGCGGCCAAATCCCTGGCCCCTGAATGGGCCTATAAAGGCGGACGAGAAAAGACGCCGCTTGCATGAAATCGACGCGCACTTGTTCTCGCCAACCACCTCCTTGACAACGCGGCTTTTTTCCCTACGTTATATTATGCCTTTTACGCCTGAATTATGCATGAGAATGTGAGCGGGAGTTTTCTTTTTTACTTTCAAATTTGACATCCCGGCGACAACACAACAAAACAAATAAAAAACAATCGTGTCAGATTTTCTAACTGATTTCATTAATTTCCTGATAATTTGTTTCTACACAGTATTTTAATATTTTTCTGTTTTACACAGACTGAACAGCATTGTATGCTAATTAAAAAATAATATTTAATGCTTAATGTAAATTACTTAAAAATTTAGCAAAAAGTTTTTGAAATTATTTTATCAAATTAAAGTTAAGCATAAAACAACATAAATTATAATTTATTAAAATAATAAATCAATTTTGTTAATGTTTTAAAAGCTTTAAAAGAAAAAAATTTTTTGTATAAATTATTTTGCGTAATTATTAATTTTTTTAATTTTACTTTATAAAATTTTAATTAAAAGCACTACTCATTTTTCTTCACATGTTGTACAGAAATATCGTGGATCAAAGTGTTCTGGCCAAGAAAGTTAGCTTCTATCTCGTCTGGCCTATCATAATGGTCGCGGGTATAATTTGGGAGTTATTTTATCAGACGCACTCATCTCGACACAGCACATGTATTTAGAGCCAAAACGGGCATCGGTGGTCGCGGTGTTGCTTTATGCTGCCGGCGTGTTTGACTCCGGCCCACAAAAATATGGAACGTACTTTTTTAAATTACTGTTTATTGTTTTTGTTTGATTTGGTATACAACGACGAAAGGTCACAACCAACCGAGCTAGATTTTTCTCCGCAAAATGTACACAAAACTGGTTTGACGCAAAAAACCTATTGTCTCACTGGAATGTCATTTTGCCAGTAAATAAAGTGTCCTGTCAATTTGGAAAATTGAAAAAATTGTAAAAAATAATTCAGTTAGAATTTATACACAAATAAATTTAACTAAAGAAAGCATAAGCCATTAGCTAAATAAGAAACTATTTTCACAAAAACTGGAAATAAATAACTGCTCTCATCGGTTAATTATTTATAGATAAATAAAAATTGTTACTATACAAAAGCGTGTATTTTTTTCTTTTTTAAATAAAAGTTTGGATGAAAATTAAATCTTTTTATAGTTTAATTTCAAGCTTGAAAAATGGCAAGCGAGTTCCGAGGACATTGAAATGTCGGCAAATCGCTTTTTTAGATAGTGCCTCGTTTTTAACTCACCTGCCTGCTGAAGCCCGAAAGCGTGCGGATCGTCGCGAGTTGCGTGTGTCGGCGTGGTGGTTCCACTTGGACTGCTGACTGACTGAAGCTTCTCTGTTCTCACAACAGCCCTTGCCTGCCGCGGCGGCCAACCGACACCGCACTACTCTTGTAAACAGCCTGCGCCGCAGCCAAAAGTCAGCCTCATTCATTCATGTCGCGCCGCCCCAATCCGCACAAAATTTATTTCACGCCATTCATTCGTAATTCAAAAAAAAAAAGGAATAAACTTTCCCATTTAATCTTCTTTTGAATTATTTCGAGATTTATTTTTCCTTTCCTTTTCCCCCCTATTATTTTTTCATCCCCTTTAAAAGTAAATACCGATTATGATATTGATCACTCCACTATATTCCAGTTTGAAGACAATATTTTTCTCCTGCGTCTTTTTTGTTAGTTCATTTTTCCGCACCTTGAGCTTTGGGGGTTGATCAAATATAGAAGGGAAGAAATATGAAAATAATGTTGCGCTCCATTTCCTCACGGCCAATCTCTTCTTCTCTTTCTATCAAAGGCGAATGTTGACATGAATCTGGAATCGTTTTGGTTTTGTCTTTCACTTTTTTTTTCCTCGTTTCTCTTGAAATATAATTTTAATTTAAATCTATACATTTCACTTTTAAGAATTTTCAGATAACTCTTTCTTATATTTGACTTTTCACTGACCTTGTGTGAAAGCCCTAATGCACTATTCAGATGGTTTTTGCGAGGACTGTTGGGATATCCTCGGTCCAGGAGAAAAAGCGAATAAATATACATGCATCCGGCGAAATGTAAAGCAGCCGGAGGCGCGAAAAGCTTTGCATTTATTGCGTCCAAGAGGAGCCCCTCTTGAAATAACACAGATTTGCATTGCGTCTATATCTTTATAAATCTCCCAGAGAAAAATGCAGTAGGTTTCCATAGAAGGACCTCTTCAGTTTGTATGTAGCTGAACTGATCATACCTGATGCGGTTTGGAGATTTCTAAATGAAACCGATCCGTTTTGGGGTGCCTGTGTGATGAGAGCGTGTATATGAACCGGATCAAGTGCTGCAGCCGAGATCATTAACGACAGCCGAGCTAAAACGACAGATCTGACGAGTCTCTTTGTGAAATCTTATCCTTTCGTCAATAACTTGCGTGTGGGTTTTCGGCAAGAGCTGTGCAGTACCCTCAAGAAAACTTTTTGTTCTTTGTGGGAAGGAAAATATTTTTAATCAAAGCTGAATGACGCAACTATTTGAAAGGATTTTCTATTTAAATGTATTTTTCCAAGTGTTTGCACTTTCATTAAATAAATATTGTATGTTCAACACTAGAGCAAAATAAGAGGAATGCAACCTGCATATCAGCTCTGTCTGCCAAGTTGCATAAGCTACAAGGTAAAACAACAAAATTTATCGTAGAAAGTTGACTTTTATCCTAAAATTTTAATTCAATTTAAAAGTAATTTTGGTTCTGACAAAGAAAATTAAAATTTACAGTTTAAAAAATATTTTAACTAATTAAGTTCAGGAACCAAATGTTGTGCATTTATACTTACAAGATATATCTTACATTTTTTTTTTATGTTTTACGACATAAACGCTCCAAATTAATTGCCGTGTTCTTTCCCATGCAAGCTTCTCTCTTTAATTACGAGCCACGGAAAAATGGCACACACTGGCACACAAAAATACTCCGCCGGCTTCTTTTTTACATCATAAGGATTTTAAAACAGTTAAGAGTCGAATAAAAATTTTAGCGAAAATTTACAAAAGAAAGATGTTAGCTTAATTTCTGAAGCAATTAACCAAGTTTTACCGCTCGAGTTGGAGTTTGTGATGAGGGCGTCATCAACAGATTGCCTCGGAGCGAACAGCGACGCGCAACTCTCTCGTTTCTCGCCGCTGGCTGCAGGAGAGCACTTGTGCATTAGGCCACCATTGTTTTGCCCCTTTTGAAGTGTGCCTCTGTGCATCACATTTTAATACCTTCACGTTGGTGACCTACTCGTTCGAGACCTCCACGACTTTTAAACAAGTTTTAATTTTTAAAAATTATTGCAAATAAATTTAAAATAGAAAATTATTATTCACGAATAAAACACACTCAAAATTAGTTTAGTTTGAAAATTATTTTTATCAATATTTTTTATTATTCAGTAACAATGTGGAATTGTTGTTTTCTTTTTTCAACCGAAGAGTGCACCAAAATTGAATTTTGACAAAGATGGTGGAAGAAAAGAGCTTAAATTACCGCTTTTTCCAAGCAGTGATTTGGTCAGTTGTGCACCAGTTTGAACCAAGTTATTAACTGGCGAACCAAGTTGCTGCGTCAGGTTAGCAGGAATCGATGAGAGGCCGTTCTGAATTATATTACCTGGCAAATTCACCATTCCGGACAAGTCAGAGGGAATAGAAATTCCACTTAAATTTGGAATAAGTCCTGGGGGAATCAAACCAGACAAATTTGGGAGGTTTCCAGGCAAAGGTGGCAGCAACCCTGGAAGGTTTGGAAATCCTCCTGGGGGAATCAAACCCGACAAATTTGGGAGGTTTTCAGGCAAGGGTGGCAGCAGCCCTGAAAGGTTCGGGAGTTGCGAGTTCGGAAAAGAGTTAAGGAAATTTGGAGGAAAAGAAAATACGTTTGTTAAATTTTTTATAACGTCCAAATCAGGCACAAAATTATTTGTCAAATTTTGTGCTAATTTTGAAAAATCAGGTAGATTTCCAGTCAAATTTTCAAGGCCACTCGCAAGACCTGTCAGCCCTTGACCAACTTGAGACAAGTCCGGAAGGGTCAAATTTTGGCCAAGTTGATTGATGTCGCTCATAATTTTATTGGGGTCGATTTGACCAGCCAGCTCGTTGACTGAATTCCCTAATTGGTTCACCATTCCGTTTGCTGTTTTCAAAATACCCCCGATCATATCCTGATCAACCACAGTGGGTGGAGGTGGTGGAGTCGTCGTTTTGGTTGTTGCTTTCGTGGTCGTTAGTTTGGCTGTTGCTTTTGCCGCTGTCACTTTGGGGGTGATTTTTGTTGTTGCCTTCTTTGTCGTGGCTTTTTTAGTCGTGGGCTTGGTTGCTGCTTTGGTGGTCGGCTTCACTTGGCGAGCATCGCGGTGTAGAACAATTTCATCTTGCTCAACAGAAACTTTTCTGTTGTGTGCAAAGCCATCTGACTGATTTTTTTTTTAATTACGAAATAATTTAAAGAAAAACTGAATATGGTGCTTACTTTGTGCACCAGGACTATGATGGCCAATGTTGAAAGAAAGCATAAAACTTTTGCGCGCATAACTGCGATGTCTACTACCATGGAAGGTTTTTTTAAGCTTATATATCCATCGGTTGCGTAAAATCGAATATCAAAATGTTAATAGAATCATGATTGCCCATTTAGAATACGTCACTATTTTCAATTTCCCAGGCAATATCAGTTGAAGGATATTTTAAATCAGTCTCCCACTTTATAAAATAAAATTTTTTCTTTTAATTTATTCTAGTTATTAAGTGAAGTTTTTTAGTGTTTTACTTTACTCGATATCATTTTTGTCCCTTAATAACTCTTACATTGTAAAAAAATTAATACAATTTTTTCAATAAAACAAAATAAAAATTTCATTATAAGGACAAGCCGTTTGTAAGGTTAATTAGTACTGACGCGCATTTTAAAACTTTGATTCGTTGAAATTGTGTCAATCGAGTGACGTCGACTGTTGCTGTTAATGTTTTTTTCCAAACCATGCTCTCTTTCCTGCATTCGCCACCATGATGCTTTTTCATACGAACATCCGCAAACAATCCTTTGTGATTTCAGTGATTTGAAATTTCTGTTCTGTCTCTAACAGAGGTAGAAGAACTAATTGTAAGATGGAAGATCTAGTTCCAAACTTTCGACTATGCTTTTCACCATGATTATCATTGCATCAATAAACGTGGAAATGGTAAATCTAAAATTTGAATTACTTCCTATTTATGACTAAATAAATTATAAACACGAAATTTAGATTGTTGGAGAGGAAAACGCTACAAAAGAAGGTAACTGATTAATATGCAATGCTCATATCTTTAAACATGAATTTAAAAATTATAGATCGACTGGATAAATTAGCAAGAAGAACTTTTATCGCCAATTGTTGCACGAAAGAAAGATGTGCGGGGCTGCGCCAATTTTCCGATGTTGAAATTTTCAAGAATTCGAAGGACAAGAAAATGCGGCAGGTAGTTCAAAAAGCAACCAAACAAGTTCGTGCGCAAGTTTTCACGTTTCGGGCGACGCAGAAAATATTTTTTGCTTTCAAAAAACCAAAAGGGCAAACGCAAGCGATCGAAGTCATCACTCCCCGTCGTTTGCGGAAAACTACCCAGAGGAAAGGTAAATTCTCCACAACCACTCGTCCGACCAGAAAACGGCAAACTACGACACCAGCATATTATGATGATTATTACTATGACGAGTTGACTTCCACGACCCGACGTCGACGAACAACGACTTCCGAGTACTATGATGACACAACCCCTGCCAAGCGTCGTCGGCGAACCACAAGACGTCGCAGAAGAACCACTTCCACGTCCAGCGACCCTGACATAGATTTCGTTGAACCGAGAACAGTTCAACCCGGCTCGTACACCACCTTAAATGAAAATGAATATTACGATGACACCACAACCAGGCGACGAAGGAGGACGTCCACAACGCCGGGTTCATTAAATTTCACAATTACAGGGTTCAACGTCAACACCCTGCAAGATGGTACCACTGCCAGCGTAAGCCCAACCTTGCAAACTACCGAAGCTACCACGAAAATTCAAAATACTGAAAAAAGAACCATCACGACAACAACAAAAAGTCCTGGTACCACCAAAGGCCAAATTAGAACACAGACGGCCAAACCAACACAGGTGATCTTTCTACATTTGCAAAATTATTATGCACCATTTTATTATTATAAGTTAATTTCAGCTCAATCTTTTATATTATACCATTATAAAAAAATTGAACAGTATACTTGAATTATAACCTAAAAATTGATTTCAGAAAACTACTGCTGCTTTTAAAACAACTTTAGGTGATGGAGAGGACAATAATAACGGAGACAATGAAGAGGAGACAACTAATAAGGTTAATACAAAAGCAACAGCAAAAACGCCGACTACCACAGCACAAGATTCAGAGGACGGAGGAGGTGATGGGGAAGAAGAAGACGTCACAACGGCAAAAGCAGCACTGACGACTAAGGTCACCACAAAAACGACAAAGTCAGAAAATGAAGATTTGGGTGACGAGGAGGCAACGCAAAAATCAACCTCAAAGCCAGCAACCGTGAAAACATCCACAACAGAGATTGGTGATTTAGAAAATGAGGAGAAGTCACCCGCGAAGACGACACAAAAGCCAACAGCAACCACCAAGAAAATGACTACTGAAGCTGGCGACTTTGAAGAGGAAACAACTCTGAAGAAAGTGGAAGGCACCACCACCAAGGCAGCCACTGTAAAAACAACTGTCAAAGGAGGGACGACCGAGATTGATTTACTTTCGGAAGATGAGACAACGGCCAAGACAACAACAAAGACATCCGCTGCACTAACGACCAAACCTGCTGGCGAGACGGGCGAATTTGGTGGGTCGGAATTGGAAGCAACAACAAAGGTAACCGTCCTATCATCTAAGCCAACAGCAGCAGCAACAACAAAAGCCGATGATATTGGTCTAGAAGGAGATGAAACGACTACTAGGAGAGCAACAACAAAAGCAAACACCATGACAACAACCAAATCTGCAGGCGAGGTGGACGAATTTGGGGGTTTGCAGGAAGCAACAACAAAGACCACCATCCAAACCACTAAAGCTGCATCAGCAACAACAAATTCTTCTGATCTTGGCCTAGAAGGTGATGAAGCGACTACAACGAGAGCAACAACAAAAGTAACCACCGCGCCAACAACAAAATCTGCAGGTGAGACTGATGAATTCGGTGGTTTGCAAGAAACAACAACAAAAACTGCCATCCAAACCACTAAAGCTGTAGCAGCAACAACAAAGGCCGATGATCTTGGCCTGGAGGGCAATGAGGCGGAGGTAACAAAGGCAGCAGCAACAACCAAGGTTGCAGAAGTTATCACAACTGCTGCCAAAACAACAAGTAAAAGCGTTGACGAATTTGGAGAAATTGGTGGAGAGTCCCAAACGGCAACTAGTACGAAAGCAGCCGTAGCAACAACAGTGGCAACAACTAAAAAGGAAGACGGTGGAGAGCTTAATTTAGGCGGAGAATCGGTTGTGACTACTGCGACTGCAGGAACGACAGTAGCTGGAGGGAATTCAACAACTGTCAATTTGAAATTAACATCTAAACATGTGTCTCATGGCAATTCAACCAGCAAAGTATCAGGCAACGTCACTGTCAGTGCCAATGAGACCACCGACGGAAACTCCACGGACACCGAAGGGGAAGAGGGTGTTGTTGATCCAGAAGAGGAAGGTGGTGAGAGTGCTGCAAATGGAACTAATATATCTGCAACCACTGCTAAAGCTGCGGTTTCTTCAAACATTACGTCAAATCACACCGGGCATAATCACACAGCAGCGACGGCTACCACTTTATTAACGGAAAATGAGACGGGAACCACTATTGGTTTAGCAACAACCGTTCATTTGAACTCAACATCCAAACACGCGTCTCACGGCAATTCAACCGGTCATGTTTCAGGCAATGTCACTGTCAGCACCAATGAGACCAACGGCGAAAACTCCACAGACACTGAAGGGGAAGAAGGTGTTGATCTAGAGGAGGCAGGTGGTGAGAATGCTGCGAATGGAACTAAGACTACTGTTAAGGCTGCGGTTTCTTCAAACACTACGTCAGGTCAATCAGGGCATAACCATACACATACAGCAGCGCCGGCCACCACTTTACTGGCGGCAAATAATGCAGCAACCACCAAAGGTTCAGCAACAGCGGTAGCAGCTGCTAATACAACTGCTAAATCTGCAGGGGGTGAAGAAATTGACTTTGGGGCTTAAGGCTTAAATATGAATAATATTTTGTTAGGGCAGCTATCTATATTTCAAATAAAAAAAATTAAATCAAATAACACATGTTTTCTTCTTAATTTCATATAATGTAACAGCATGAAGCAGAATAAAGTAGCATACTATTGTCAACCTAGAATTTGTACCCTTGACCAGAATAAAAACATATAAAAAAAATCGCGTCCCTGGGCCGTGGCGACGACGACCGGATCTTGTGCTTCCGCTTACGCGTTGCATTTTCCAATATATCAGTATACAGATTTTAGTTTTACATTTTGACTGGAAGTTGCGTGGTAAGGTAAAAACGCGTGATTTCTTCCAAATTCGTCATGTTCCATAATGGTTTTCAAAAAAACTGGTCTCATCTTATTACTTACGGTATTTATTGAATTTATATAGAGTAATATAATAATCTAAAAAGACGATATAGGTTTGCTTAGCCGATATTAACTACGACTACGCCCCGACACAAAGTACGCCAGAGGAAGATGGAAGCACAGTTGAAAGTCCTCAAAGGACCAGTCGGACCAGTAATATTCAGAATAATAATTTATTTCTTTTTTATTAAAAATCAAAGTAATAGATTCGAGTGATCTGCACGAAGTACTTGCAAGGAGGACATTTATCGACAACTGTTGTAGTGGAGAGACTACTTGTCCGGGGCTATCATCTCTGGAACAAGTCCGCGCTTTTGCAGACACAAGAGACGGGAAAATGATGGACAGTTTGCGAATGGCGACCAAGTACTCTCGCTCGCGGATTATAACACTGCAGCCATATAAGTTAGGATTTAATTACGAATGAGACGTGTTTTAAAACCAGCGAACAATTATGATAGAAACTTGATATTTGCGATTGAGGGTCCAACGACACCATTCCATCGGCAACTGACCCCTAGAATGTCGCTAACAAGTACTACAAGAAGACGGCGACGGAGAACCTCGACTACGCGGTTAAGAAGGCGCCGCCGCACAACCACCCCATACTATGACTATTACTACGACGACACCACAACTGCCATAAGGCGTAGGAGGCGCTCAACCACTAAAACGACTCCTGCGTACTATGACGATTATTATTATGATGAGAAAACGACTCGGAGGAGACGAACGTCAACTTCTTCTCCGGCGACGTCAACTCTATCTGGTTTGAATGAAAATTATTATGTTGATTATTTTTATGCAAAATTTAAAACACAGCGAAAGGAAAAGTGGATGATTATTACGACTACGCAACAGTCACCAGAAGGAGGAGGAGGCGAACGTCAACAAAGGCTCCTGAGTATTACTACGATGATTACTATGATGCACCTACAACCAGAAGACGACGGAGCTCCACATCGCCAACAGCAACCACGCTTGGCGCGAACAACAGCACAATTACTAGCAGTATATCTGCAGTCTCGACATATATAAGTTTGGCAAGTGCAAAAACAATTCTGAAAAATGATAACAAGGAAGAAACAAGCCAAAGTTCAAAATCAACAAATGCGCCCCAGGTTGATGATTCGGATCCATGAACTGTTTCTTTTGATTGAATAAATGTGTACAGATATAAATCAAGCAATCAGTTTTTCATCTTGAACTAGCTTTATAAACTTGGTTGCAGATTTTTAACATTAAATTATATTAATATAAATGTATTTAATATTTGCACGTTGCGGTCAAGAATTTAACAGTTCAAAAACAGCAATTTAAAATTTTAAACAGATCAATGTAATAATTGATATATAATAATGATTAATCAATATTTGAATCACCATATCACCAATTATGACAAATTTATAAACCCAAGAAAATTTAACGTGGACATTATCACAAAGCGCTCAGTGCTAGTGAGATTTAAATAATGGAATGATATATTGCCTCTATAGCAAAATTTTATAAAAGAATTAACCTGACCTTTGGTGAACGGAGTCTACTTCTTTCTCAAAAAGCTGGACATCTTCTGTTTCACGTCTTCCACGCTTCGCCGACCAGCAGCTGTTGCAGAACTCATTGCCGACTGCACAAGATGAGGTCTGGAATCATAATAATCATAATTATGAGATATATTGAAAATTTATTATTTTGTACCGAGCAAACATGTGTACAAAATCGTCTATTCTGCAAATATTACAGATTTAACTACATATACATAAAAATAACTTTTATTTTACGAGTAGACGTATTCCAAACTAAAAGGTGGAAAAATTGCATACTTCATATGTAAAAACAAGAATTCCACTCACTTGTCCGATTTGGGAGTTGTAGGTTCTGTTTGTTCGATCTGAGCTCTGCTCTCAGCTTCTCTGAGCCAATTGTTGACAGCATCCACATGAGCTTGCATGCACTGCTCGCTAACAACACTAAGATCTCTGAAATTTTTGCAAATTATTAAAAATATTTAAAATTTGGTTCAGAAATTTTACCGCAGTGCAGGTACTAAAGTTGCGGCAATGGCCTGTCTACTCAGGGGGACTTGCAAGGCAACTGACAGAGCGGCGACTAAAGCCTGGCCTAAGTCCATCCTCCTTGTCTGACTAGTTAATCCATGCAGGCAAAACGCAGCTAATTGACACAGCTGAGGCAGTACCACTAAATAAAAAGGTTATTTTTCTTTTCAAAATTCATAAATCTTATTTCATTATTTCACCATCCTCTGCAAAAGCAGGATCACTTGAAGGCAAAATTCGAGCTAGAGCTCTGGTGATGGCCACGCTCATCACATGGCTTGCCAGAGCGTCTTTGAGGAAAGTCTGCAAGGCCAATTTACTTTCTTCCTGGACGACTCCTTGTTCAGACGCCAGCTCTGCATACGCCGCTACAACAACCTCTTTTACTTCCCTGTAAAAAAAAAATAGAATTATCACTCATTTTGCAACTAAAAAATTTACTCATTCAAATCGGTGGCTAGCATTGCCAGCTGTGGCAGCACAAATTTGGTTAAGGCACCATCATGAACACACCCAAGACTGTGCAGTGTGAGCTGGGCCGCTGCAAGACGAACTGCTGGCCTGGAGTTTTTACAGGCCTCACTTAGGCAGGACAAAACTGTGTCTTGAAGGGCTACGGCTCGGCACAAGTGAAAAACACTTACCTAAAAAATTAACATGGATTATCGATTTTTGTTCGAAATCTAATTTACTTTTAAAGGAGTAAGTGACAGTTTCAATGAAGGCAACAAAATGAGCAAATGTCTCAATGTGCTTGACAACTCCATAGTGTCATTTGGATCGCCAGTGGTCAATATTGCGACCAGCAAAACCTAAATTCAAATATTTTTAGTTAACAAAATTATTAAAATTGCTTTAAATTGTAAAACTTGCAGGTATCAAAACAAGAGACGTCACTCCCTGAGATTCAATATTGTCATCGAGATTTGTCAGAGAATCCTCCAGTTGCCGAAGACTCTCTTTGAACATTGGCTTGATTCGATTTTGAGTGAAATGCTGTCCCATTGATTTGCTCAACTGGTGATAAAACTTCACAAAAGCAAGCACAGCATCTTCGCTTGCAACATCCACACAACATAAGACATCAAACAAATTAGACAAGAAGACTGAAAGCATCCACTCCATTTGGGGCCAGTTCTGGAAACACGAATTTAAGAAAAATGATTTTATTTATGTTTTACATTTACCTGATACAAGTCATCGTTAAGTCTCAGACAAAGGGCTTTGATTAAATTTTCAGGTGAATCATTCTCACCGAGGAAAATGTTAGGGTCGTTTAGGTCACGTCCCAACTCAGGCACTTTTATTGTAGAATCCGAGTCCATTTTTTCAATCACACCTTTGTGTGAAGCAAGGTGGACCAAAATAAAAGGTAGAATTTGGCCCACAGCACTAACCATGGGTCCGCAGCGCGAGTCATGAGCTAAGGACTTGAGTCTAGCGAGGAGCCTTTTCACAAGGTGTGTATCGAGGCGTTGAATTTGTAGTGCCCACTGCGCCAAAACTGGCAGCAAGAACTGGAACATAAACATAAAACTTATTTACCTGCCCTAAAAGTTTAAAAAATAATTCAAAATTTTATAGAATTTTATTTTTGTTTAAGCATATTCCTAAATTGTAAATTAATAACCTGCTGAGCTAGGAGACGGACTTCTGAATCTTGGTCTTCTAGGGCCAAAAGGCACAGCTCTTCACACTGAAGATATTTGTCTTCGTGAGATGTATAAGCCACAACCAGAGTCATAGCCTTCACTACTCCAATTCGCACCTCTGGTTCCGAGGCCTCAAGCAAAAGTTGTTGCAACATCGGCAGCAGCATTGCTTGTCTCAGGTGGCTCGGAGTGAGTGGAGCAACGGCAAGGCAAATTTCAGCAGCTAAAAGACGGCGCTCCACTGATTTGTGCCCAGCCAACTCCCACGTCTGAGGGAGGATGTGGTCTGCGAGCAAATCTCCTGTCATAGCTAATCTCTTAACACCTTCGACCACAGCCATTCTCTCTAACTCCTGAGGTCTCTTCCGTAAATTGAAAAGCATAGTAATCAATGAAGAAATCTCTTCTGCACTTGATGATGACTGGGCAGCAGAAACGATTAAGGGAATTGAGTCTTCCTTTTTTGCAGAAGTCACCAATGGAAGTGTTTCAACTAAAAGGCTCATTAGCGAGCGAGATTCAACTGGGGTTGAGCTGGCCGAGATTTGCAAGAGTCTCGTGAGGGACCTTTTGAACAGGGGCGGAAGTTCTCTTGATACGTCTTCGGCAATTTCTTCAAGAAGTTCGACTGGAGGAGAAATAAGAATCTCAGTCTTTGTTTCTGAAAATTTCACAATTCAGGAAAATATGAAAATTGAAATCTATTTTATACCATTTATAATTAAGTCAGTGGTGTCTGTAGAAGCGTCCACATTAACTATTTTGTTCTCAAGATCAGGCTGCAGATTGCTTTTCAACTTTTCTTCCTCTAGCTGTTGTTCAAGGGTATTGCATAAATTTTTCTACAATTTAATTTTATTTAATAAAATTTTGATTCCGGAAGATTTAATAATACCAGTCTTGTGAATTCCTCCGCGGAATACATTGTTTCACTAGTTTGACACTCCATCTCAGCTGTTTCTTTGTGGGTTACTCTGTAGAGCTGATGGAGCTCAGGTGGCCTCGGAATGTTCAATCCAACATCATCCCAATCATCAAAATCCTAAATAATTTTTCAAATGATCATTTCAATTTATTCAATCATATACAAGTAAAAATAGCTTACTTGTTCGCTATTTTCTTCAGAAAAGGTGACGGCAGTCAGTTTGTATCCCTGCCGAAGCAGATATTCATTGACTAAAAAATTTAGTGCTCTTTGTTCATGAGGACGAGCAGCGTCGTTGTTGACTAAATCGGTCTCGGTGCTTGTGACATGCTCCTCACGTTCTATATGACCATAAACTGAGTAAATTCATTAGTAACAAAAGATAATTAAAACACTTACCCGCAGAAATTTGTGTAAGGGAAGTCCTCAGGCCATGAATCGTCTCCTTTGCTTTTCTCAACTCGAATTCAAGAACGGCAACTCGTTCATCGGTGCCATCCTCTGACAATCTTGATATGTCTAGGGAATCAAGAGTCGCCTGACTATGGGAACGAGCTGAAATTTATCACAGACGTAAAATTAAATTTGCAAAGTGGAACAAATTAAGTTTTAAAAATTATTTAACCTCTGCAATGTCCATTATTTGTGAGCTCTGAAATTTTTATTTCAACTTAAAAATAAATACATTTTTATTTCTGATTTATGTACCGATTGATGAAGCGTTTGGAGGTGCAGATTGTCTTTCAAAATTGGCTGGGTTAGAGAAAAATTCCTTCAGGCTGGTCAATTCTCTGCCGGCCTCAATTAGTTCCAGGTGTAATTCCAGGGCTGTCAGCAGGAAATTGTCCTGAAGAAGCCTGCAGGCAATTTGGTCCAGCGATAGGTGGTCTTGTTCAGCTGCCATGCTCGGGAACGGAGTGTAAACAAAAGGAGATTATTTTCATTTCAATTTGAAAATTTAATTCGGATTATTTATTTTGGTGACACTTCAACTTCAGGTGGTGGGGCAGGAGTGGGAGAAATTTTGTTTACTTCAGTTTACTATTAAACCGGTATTTTAGGACTTATTACTTGTTTTGTTGTTTTTCTTTATATTTATCAAAGTATTGTTACTCACAAAGATAATCACAGAATTCATGATTTACAAAAAAAAAAGTTATTGCTATGTACTTATTATATATTTGCAGAAACAGGTCAGAATAAATTATTTAAATTAAAAATTTGAACCAGTGATTGAAAAAAGCGGAAAAAAGCGTAAAAATAACCGTCAAATTACCGGCAAACTGTAACACTCATAAAAAGTCCTTAACTAAATCAATTGGTTCTAAAATAAAAAAATCTTGTATATTTATAGCAATTTTACTTTTTGTGATCAATTAATGTCAAAATTTTTAAGTCTTAATTTTCTTTTTACTTCTTTTTGAATAACTCCAAGATGCAAAAACCGGTATTTTCTTTAAGATTCAGTTCACAGCGCCCCTAGCGGTCGCTTCGTGCTCCAAAGGGATGCTGCTTGCTGCTTCGCCATTTGCATTTGCCGTAAATCACATCAAAAGAAGGCCGATCGCTCAAATTCTCCAAGAAATACTGACACAAGAACTTCGCCTCGTGTCGCTGCTTTTTGCTGGTGAGTATCTGCAGTTATTCATCCGCGATTTGGCCGAAAAATTAGCCGCCGAGCGCTATTTCTTCGTGCGACCGCCGACGTCAAACGTGGGAGGCTGGGTGTGTCGTGTTTATTTTAGCGATTGATCGTTTTCCGTTTACGAATTCCACAGGAAATCAATCGAATCAACCTATTTACGGAGGTTTAAAGCAATAATTTGTATTATTTTTATTATTCAAAGCTGTATTTGTGCCCTTTGCGCCGGCGAGAAGCAGAGATTTGGGTTGTAAACATTTGAGATTTGGGTGGTTGCAGGTGGACGGGCAGGTGCATTGACACCCCCGCTTAAGCTTTGTTGCATGTCTGGCCGTGATTTTCGTTCCAAGGACGAAGTTTATCGTGATTAACACACTGGGTAGTTGTATTTCTAAATGTTGGGTATGAATTAATGGGCAATTTACTCATTTTCATTGGATTTTTAACCTATTTTCTTACTTTGATCTTATGAATCTTTCATATCTCTGTGCCGTGCTAGATTATCCTCAAGTGAGTCATCAGCCTTTTCCTTCTTACACATCGAAGGAGTGCCGATTTTTATATTTTTTTTTCATTTCCCCTATCCTTATCAATTTTAAGAATTTGATAACTCTAGCATCGTTTCTAAAATTTTATTCGAGGATTTCAAGGCGATGTGTGGTCACTTGGTCAGACATGACAGACAGTGATATTGATCTGCCACTTGAGCAGTATTAAAAATTCATGGTGGTCTTTGCAAGAAGAAAGTCGCTGATTGTATAAAAAAATATTTTGTAGAGATATTTCTATAAATTTAATATTTGTTCTTTTACGTTTAAGAAAATCTTTAAATTCATCATGTGAATTTGATTCTTTTTGTTCCCACAGAGACATAGAGAGCTGTAAACATGAGCTACCACATGCCGCAGGGAGGACGCCACGGTGAGTGAAAGCTTGGGATTTATTTTAAATATTTTTTTCCCCTTATCAGGATTACTTATTTAACTTTACTTTGAAACTTTTAGCCGGGTACAACCTGAGCGACCGCGAAGCTGAGACTGCCATGTGGCAGCAGGGCTCCTACCTGGCGCCGACCCAGGACTCGGGCATCCACTCAGGGGTGCCCAGCCAGACGCCAAGTCTGATTGGGCGCGACCCTGGTAACGACGAGGACGATGGTGCCGAAGATGGGCTCCTCTTCGACATGGATCAGAGCACCTTCACCCACACCTTCACCCAGGGTGAAGTTGATGGTAAGGATTTAAAATAATAACATCAAAATCTTTTTAATGATATGTTATATAGTTTAGTCCATTAAATTAATTCAGATTCATGATTAAGAAAACAGATTTTTGCGATTAATATTATGCATTATTTTAATCCCATGTCAATATTTGAATAGACATAAACCAGCAGCTGAGCACAACTCGTAGCCAGCGTGTCCGTGCTGCAATGTTTCCTGAAACGCTGGAGGAAGGAACTGAAATTCCATCAACCCAGTTTGAAACTACCCATCCTACAGCAGTGCAGCGTCTGTCCGAACCAAGTCAGATGCTAAAGCATGCTGTTGTCAACCTGATCAACTACCAGGACGACGCTGATCTTGCCACCAGGGCCATCCCTGAGCTCATCAAGCTGCTCAATGATGAGGACCAGGTGGTCGTCTCGCAGGCGGCTATGATGGTTCACCAGCTGAGTAAGAAAGAGGCCTCCAGGCATGCCATCATGAACAGCCCACAGGTAATGGACAATCCAAATATATTTAAATTGACATAGTGATAATTTTCTAGGATTTTAAGTGTGCTAAAGTTAAATTATGGTTTTAGATGGTTGCCGCGCTTGTTCGTGCGATTTCAAACAGCAACGATTTGGAGACTACGAAGGGTGCTGTTGGCACCCTGCACAACCTGTCACACCACCGCCAGGGTCTGTTGGCCATTTTCAAGAGCGGTGGAATTCCGGCCTTGGTCAAACTTCTGAGCTCTCCAGTTGAGTCTGTGCTGTTCTACGCCATCACCACTCTGCACAATCTTCTGCTGCACCAAGAGGGCTCGAAGATGGCTGTCCGTCTGGCTGGTGGGCTTCAGAAAATGGTCGCCCTGCTGCAGAGGAACAATGTCAAGTTCCTGGCCATTGTCACCGACTGTCTGCAGATCCTGGCTTATGGAAATCAGGAGAGCAAGCTCATCATCCTTGCCTCTCAAGGCCCGATGGAACTGGTGCGCATCTTGCGCTCTTACGACTATGAAAAGTTGCTGTGGACCACTTCCAGAGTGCTCAAAGGTTTGATTGCTATATTTTTGACAATGGAAATAGCGAGATACTAAATGAACTTGATTGCAGTTTTGTCCGTGTGCTCGAGCAACAAGCCAGCCATAGTTGAAGCTGGAGGTCTTCAGGTATGTTCACTTAATTTTTAATTGCGTTTTAATTATGATGAACAATATTTTGAGACAAAATTAGTCTTGCTTTGATCTTAAAAAATAATGCTTAGAATTCTATGATTAAATTAGGATATTATTTATGATCCGTATCTTTGAATAATTAGCTGGTGCAGTAGTAATATTAAAATTTATGAAGGCGGCAGAAATGTTTTATTTCTTAAACACTCATGTAAAATAGTAGAATAATTCCAATTTTTGATAGTGATCGCTTGATTTTTGAAACGTGTTATTGAACTTTTAGGCTTTGGCTATTCATCTTGGACACCCGAGTCAGCGCTTGGTGCAGAACTGCCTTTGGACTCTCCGCAATCTGTCTGATGCAGGCACCAAAGTGGTAAGTTGACTGAGGTTCAATAACTGAACTAGTTTTAATAATCCGCGATTGTAAAATAGGAGGGACTCGAAGGTCTTCTGCAAAGTCTGGTGCACCTTCTCGGCTCGGCAGACATCAACTTCATGACCTGCGCTGCTGGAATTCTTTCCAACCTCACCTGCAACAACCAGCGAAACAAAGTGGTTGTCTGCCAAGTTGGAGGAGTTGACGCTCTCGTCCGCACAATCATTAATGCCGGCGATAGGGAGGAGATCACCGAGCCAGCTGTAAGTTAGCTCAACCTTTCATTTGCTAATTAAAATTGACAAAATTAATGTTACCAGGTGTGTGCTCTGCGTCATTTGACTTCGCGTCATGTTGAGGCTGAAATGGCTCAAAATGCTGTGCGCCTCAACTACGGCCTGCAGGTTATTGTGAAGCTGCTGCACCCTCCCTCTCGATGGCCTTTGGTTAAGGCCGTCATTGGCCTCATCCGGAATTTGGCACTTTGTGCTGCCAATCACGCTCCTCTGAGGGAGTCTGGTGCTATTCACCAGCTCATAAGGCTCCTCATGAGAGCCTTCCAAGACACTCACAGAGTAAGTTAAACATGGTTTAACTAGTGCTGAACCTGTACTAATGGTGCAATCATTTTTCTCTAGCAACGTGCTGGCTCTGTTGCCAGTGACAATAAATCAGCTCCTTCTCCTCAACCCGGTGGAAATGCCTCTCTGGTGTACGCTGAGGGTGTTCGCATGGAGGAGATCTTGGAGGGCACTGTTGGTGCCCTGCACATCCTTGCCAGGGAGCACAACAACAGAATTGTGCTGCTCAACCAGAACACTATCCCAGTGTTTGTTCAGGTAAAGTTTATTTGTATAACTTGAATATATTTGTTAGCTCATGATAAAAATTTTACAGCTGTTGTTCAGTGAAATCGAGAACATCCAGCGTGTGTCTGCTGGAGTCCTCTGCGAACTTGCTGAGGACAAGGAAGCTGCTGACCTTATGGAGCAGGAGGGAGCCACTGCTCCTCTTACCGAACTTCTCCATTCTCGCAACGAGGGTGTTGGTGAGTACTGCTGTTTGAGTTTTGGATTAAATAATCTAATGAATTCGTGAATTCAGCCACCTACGCTGCTGCGGTTCTTTTCCGCATGTCTGAGGACAAGCCTCAAGACTATAAGAAGAGGCTGTCGATGGAGCTGACCAGCTCCCTCTTCCGGGATGATCACTCCCTCTGGACCGGAGGCACCGACTACAACATGGCTCCTGATCTCCAAGTGAGTTGAATTGAATGTTTAAAATTTTCATTATATCACAAGCACTTTCGAAAATATCACCACTTGACACGATTTTGACAGCAGCACCGGTTTCCAGTTTCAAATTTTTTAACAAAGTTCAGGCCACACTCACACGTTTTGTTTTAATTTTATTTTGAGTTAATGTTTTTGTTGTTTTTCCGCCACATCAGGATATGCTAGGTGCCGCCGACTTTGAGGGTTTGTATGTGCAGTCCCCACAACAGCGAGGCCAGCACAGCATTTACAGTGGCCAGAACCAATCAGGTAACCCACCCACCAATGCACAAACACTCACCTGGTGATGGAAGGCACGACTAACAGATCACACTCTTATGCTGCAACTAACCAACTCTTATTTCCATAAAACGCTTTTAAATCGCTTTTACACCTGCTTCTGAGGACATGTCTGTGGGAAATAATGTTCTTCAAAATTTCTCAGTCCTGTTTTTAATGTTAAACTTATTTTCTTCACAGCCTATGCCACGCTACCAGTAGAGGGCCTGCAAGACCTGGACCTGAATCAACCCCAGAACAACCCTCCCACACCGTCGTCGCTGCCCCCAAGTGGAGGCCAGCAGTCCCCTGCTGTGCCCAATCCACCTCGTGACAACGGCAACCAACTCGCCGCCTGGTACGACACCGACCTTTAAACTTGCATTTTGAGACTTCGTTTTTACTCTTAGACAATATTTAAACTATATTTTGGAAGACCACCAGGCCACAATTCATCATAATTCTTAAGTTTCATGAAACGGTGCAGCCTTATTTTTTTATTTTTGGCCACTGAATTAAAATTTTATTTAATAGAGCAGCTAAATTTTTAGCATTAGGATTTCCAAGCCAAAGTTATAAAAAAGCTTGGAATTTTTGTTTTACGGCGAAACGTATTATTTAGATTGCGATGGTGCTTGGGACAGGGGTTGACGTAACGCAACTTTTCACAGTGAACACTTTTTTTGCGCCCCTCCTATCGGCTGGCAAGAACTTTGCCAAATATCGAGCTTCTACATTTAGGCAACTGATTCACTTATTAGGATAGATCTCAAGCAATTCAGCCGAGGCAACAGATTTTTCTGGTTCTCCGTGTGCAGAACGAGAGAAAGTTTTCTGGCTCGGCCGCGTCTCTTTAGTTTTGACTGTCATGAATGTCGTTTTTATATTATGACTTGAGTAATCTATCATGCGTCTAATATTAATTATCAATCACACACAAATTATGTATACCGGTGGACAGTAGATCGTGTCGGTTTTTTAAACTTGTAAGCAGTTCAATGCACAAACCACACAAGCCCATGAATATAATATATTTATTGATTTGCATCCGACTGAAGGTGATTTTGAAGCATGATTCAACGAACAGGCATTCGAGATAGGATATTTATCACACGAAGCAGCTCTTAACTTTTACACAGATTATATAATCCGCGTTTAATTTTTGTATGTTTCCTTTCTAGCATAAAGCTCTTGATTGTATTTGCAGTATAAAGACAGTTTTTTTGTTTCGACGGTTCATACATTCAATCAAGTGTTTGCCATAATATTATTATGATCATAAATGTAGATTAAAAAATCTATCGTGCAATTATTTGTATTCAATAAATGTATTACCAATAAATAATAACCAATGCGCCTTTTCATTCTCAGCCACTCCTGCGTCAATATACTCCATTTAAGAATGCCTTTTCTTTGATGATTTTGCGAAAATAAAACAAAAATAATTGAGTTAAAATACGTTAAAATAATTTATTCTTCACATTTCTTAATAATAGAATCAACTGATAATTTTTTTGCAATTTATAGTTTGCTGTTGTTATTTAAAACATAAAACACTAAATATTTTAAGCTTTTTAAACAAAATTTGTTTTAGCAAAATCCATGAATTATGAAACATAAAATTTCAATTTCCTTTATATTGGAATAAATTAGGGCTCTTACCAAATCAGATATTTAATCTGTTGTAATTTATTTTTTGGTGCACTAATCTACGCTTTACCTGGAGGAATTAGAGCAAATTTACAAAAGTTTCTCAAGTCTCAGTCCACTCTCAGATCACTTTGAACGACGACGATCACAACTCGGTGTCGTCGGTGGAGACCATTTCGGACTCTTCTTCCGTGCGGTGCAGCACCATGGTGGGTGGGGCGTCCATCATGAGTCTGCGGCCCTTCCAAATCTCCACCTCGACGCTCTGCAGGGTCCAGTTCTCGGTCACGTCGGACGGCAGCTCCATGGGGCCGCGCTGACGCCGCTGCTGCTCGCGCTTCTGCACCTTCCGGACGCGCTTCAACTGCTGCCTCCACTCTTCGACGCGGCCGTCGTCATCACTGAATTCCTCCGAGTACAGAAAAACGAGATTTCTGGCGTGATTCACTAATTCTAATGACAACTTTTGACCCCCAGAATTCTGCACCATTTTGACAAAGTGCTCGATGAAGAACTCGAGGATCAGCCGACGGCGCAGCACATCAAACACGGAGTTCTTCCGCACATCCACCTCGATCAGGGAGCGTTCTTTCTTGGATGGAACTGACTTTGTGGTCTGTTCTTGCCGGCGCTCCTCCGCCAGAGCTTTGTGCGCCTTCTGACGCCAGTTCTTCATCCTGTCCTGAAATTCAGCAAAATCAAAGGTAGGGTTTTTATTTGTTTTATTTTTCTAAGATCTTAATTTTTTTTTTTAATAATTTATTCGAGAATAATTTTTTTAACTGGCAGAAACATTTTTGATACGGAAAATTCACATTCTCCAAATTTCAATTGCAAATATTATTAATTTTTTTCTTTTTAAATTAGTAAATCATTTAAAACCAGTTATTTTGTAGATTTTAACAAACAAAAAACTTTTTTAAATTTTGAATACCTCGCCGCCTCTGCGAAGGTCAGCCCACAAGCCTTCACTTTCGTCCGACCCTTTTCTTCTCCGGGGCAGGGTCTGTTCGCCGGTGGTGACCATTGTTCCCAGCTCAGGGTTCATCAAAAGAAGCGTTGACTTTGTTTTGATCAGCTCTACGAGCCGGTCCAGATCGAGACCAAGTGCCATTCCTGATAAGCGCAGACGGCGGAGGGCGGCGATAATGTGTCCAAATGAATTTTCATGGACAAAATCGTGCAATTTCCTCTGCACCTTCACTAAATGAGCTTCGTGTATTGACTGGAAATCGTTTCTTTTGCGGATGAAATAGTTTGGCATGTCCTGTTGAAACATAAAAAATTATTTTTTAAAGGTTTGCCTTAAAATTTTTCTCGTTAAAAAAAATTAAATTTAATTTCACCTTTCTTGAAAGGTTTTCGTATAAACTTTTGTAGACGGCGAAAATGTTGTTGAACATTTCGGAATTGGCCCACGCTAGAGTGAGATTTTCGGCCTGCCAGAAAATGACGTGCCGAAGATGGTCCTCGGTCACACTTCCGTCCAGTTTGAAGAAAACCTGGTGGAATTAAAAAAAAAAATGTAAAATTCTATGGATAATTTAAATTTAAATTTTACTTGGAAAAGCAGCAGACAGAACATATAACAGCGGAGCTGCGTGTCGTTTAAACGCGACTCAAGATACCGCTCAGCCTCGGGAAACTCGATTCTCCACTCCTGTTCGAAGCCAGGGTTGAATCCCTTTCTGGGGACGTACCCCAGCGGGATCATATGGTAGCCCTTGGAGGTCACCTCGCGGATCATCTCCTCCGAGGGCCATTTGTATTTTTTCTGGGTGCGCTGGTCGAATGCTTCCACGCGATTCCTGAGGGAATTTAAATTATTAAAAATCTATAGGACTTAAAGAACGACGCGTTTTTCTTCTTTTCAATTTCATGACTGACTTAAAAATACCAGTTTCATCTGAATGAAATTTAAGTGCCTATTGAATATGAATCTCGATGTTTGAATTAGACAAAAAAAATTTGCTTCTTCTGGACATGAATTTTTTTTTTAAATTTTTCGAGGTTTCTTTTTGGAGGGAAGTGTCTTCAATCTCGGATTTAAACTTTCACTTTAAGCAATAAAATTAATGGTGTAGGAGTCTTTAATCAATAAGTTTGATAGCAGGAAGGGTATATCCTTGAAATGCACTTGTCTGGTATCAATGGATCATAAAACATGTTTGCCTTTATCATATAAGTGCAAGGAATTCGAAAATTTACTACAACACTCAAAGAGCCTTGTAATCTTAGCAAATAATTTCACATACCTCAGAATGAATTCAACCGCCTTTTCGGGCCAGTTTTGTGGCTTGCAAGAAACGGTGGGAATAATCTCCAGTCTGTCCTGCGTCGTCTTGACGGAGATGGTGGTGCGGTACACGGTGGCCTCGTCAACCCAGACGGGCAGGAAGCCCAAGTCCTTGCCCAGCATGTCCGCGAACACCCCACTAAAATTGTCCATGAAAGCCGTCGAGCTCAAGTAGTACTTGGTCTTGAACAGCCGGTCCGACTTTTCGTCGTAACTGGGCACAGTCTTGCTGGCGAAGCAGCTCACCGGGAGGCCAACCCTGGAAGTGGCGCCCTCCAGCTGCAGTCTTCGCTCGGCCAGCAACTGGTGTCTGTGCAGACTGACGATCGTCGTGTAGCTGTGTTCAGAGTCTGAGTTACTGTAGCTGCTCTTTGGCACTGACAGGGTGCTTCCCGACCTGTAGCCAGACGAGCTGCTGCTGCTGTTCAGCGTCGGGTAGCTCGGTCGCTTGGAACTCCTCCTCGAGCTGATCGACGGCCTCTGCTGGTCGATCATCAGGTTCCAGCTGATCATCGGCGCCAGTTTTTCGCCACCCTCGTCCGAGTCGGACGAACTGGCCTCCGGCACGCGAACCGCGGCCGGAATGGTGCCGTGGTCTTCAGGGTCGCTGTAACTAGGGTAGCCCTCTTGCGGGTCGTCGGCCACACGCTCCAGACTTCTCGACCTGATCTTCGAATCCATGCTCAAGAGGCGCACATACCCTGCAACGATTAGTGGTTTTAAATTCAATTCTTAATTTTAATGTAGCTAATTGCTGTGGAAATATTTGGAAAAAATAATTAAATAAATGCATAGTACAATGGACCAAAATATTGAAGTCATTCAAACGGTAGCCCCAAAAGTTAATTTATTTTTCAAAATTGCAGTGCAGATTTGGCGACTCTGTAACAGTTTATTTTTTATATAAAAAAAAAATAAACAAAGTCTAATTTTGCGGTTCACTTTTTTTCGGCGGTCAATTAATTGCTTGCTTTTGATTGAGGAAATAGAGAATAATTTATACATTAAGAGATATAAATTACTCTTGGTCGAGTGTTACTTTTTGCTAAGTGCTTTACAAATTGAAATTTAGATTTGGTTCTTACATGAATTATCAGTTATTTGCGTCAGAACCTGAGAAAAATTATTCATTTTTGGGTGGAGTTCCTTTCTACTTAAGTTTAATTAAATCCTATCCCTATATCCTATATCGGGCTATAATATTTATCATATTCAAAAGAAAAATTAAAATACTGAAATTTCAAGGATTTTGAAACAAAGATCATTTTACTTTTTTTGGTCCAGGGGTTAATGCAAAGTGACATATTTTTGCTCGATTCATCATGCATGACGTGTGACAATCAACAATGTCTGATATATTTTAACTAGGGCAATTGTCACAATTAATTAATACTTAATTTTCCCTCCAAGTCAAAACTAATTAAACTCATTAATCTTTTTCTGCACAGATAAGAAACTCTACATGAAAAAAAACCCCAATTTAAATCCAACTACATCAATAACTAAAAATTACTTGGTCTTTTCTTATCTGTTCTAAAAAATGATTAAATCAATGCTAAAGCTAGTAAAATTAAAAGTTTATTGGCTCATATTATTGCTATTGTCCTTGTAAATAGCAATATCAGATTTCAAATTTCAGTAGATACAAAAGTTTCAAATTGAATTTTTTAGATCTCTTAAAAGAAATTACCAGTTTTTCTCGGTTTTCTGTCCGTATTATTGGCCTGCTCAACGCACAGTCTTGTGATCCTGGAAGGTCTGGAGATGTTTTCCATCTGATGCTGAACTAGGATGTCCTCGTGGCTGATCATCACCCTGATTGGCCGAAGGGGCACCCCGTTCGAATAGTATGCCGTGTCCTCCGGTAAAAAACGGATCTGATCGACAATGGCAGTTAATAAAAAAAAAATAGTGAACAATCATAAAAAAAAGGTCGCTTACCATTTGGGACAGTTGTTCGTGGAGGGCGTCCGGCGCCACGGCCTTCTTCAAGTGTCCCGTCGCTGTCATGCGCGAGTTCATTTCATTTTCACGCAAGTCCGAGTTGCAGACGTTCCGCGCTTTTTCAAAGAGATCACTGAAATAATTGTTTTTTCACGATTAAATCATTTTAAAACTATTTTATTAAATTGAAAAATAAAAAATTAAAAAAAATTTCCATCAAGCTAAAAAATGCGCTTGCGGTTTTTTGATAATTTATTTTGCTGCTGGTTTTTAAATATTTAGAAAAGAAAATTAAATATTCAGAGAATTTAATTCAAACAGCGAAATTTTAAATGACTTCTTTTCATGTCTGTTTTAAAAAATTTAATAAAATAAATATTTAAGAATTTTTTCCAAGGTCAACGACTTTGATAAATTAATTAAAAAATAATTAAACCAAACAATGCCATGGAGACGTGTGCATGTTTTGACGTACAGTGTTTAAACGTATGTAAAATTAAAAGTGACGACTGCCTGCCAGATTAGTGGCGATTTACAATCCTTTGTGCGACACCGAACGCGCATCATCCGGTTTTGATGTGTTCTCGAAAGTGGCAGGCTCAAGTGCACGCGCGCCATGGCCCTACGATAAAAGCACACTCTCGCGAAACCAACAGAGATCTTATCGACACACAATTAATGTCGAAACGCCGCCATATATTGAATTCGCCTCAACTCGCCTATCGTGCAATTCAAAACTAGTTAGCGTATTATAGGCCGCGGCGAAATTTGAAATGCATCGATGGTTTGATAATCTTCAAGAGTATAATAAAGTGTCCAATACAACAGAGAGAAAATCCGACCGACGGGAAGAAAAAAATTAACGTGCACCTTAGTGCTTTTTTATCAGCGACAAAGCGATTATTGTCTTAAAGTACAAAGTCAAGGTTTTGTACATTATTTTATTAATTCTCCTCGAATGACTTTTGTAATTTTTTTCCTCAATGAACATTATGCACCTTCTGTATGGTCATTATCAAAGTGCAATTCGCGTTGGATCAATTAGACCGATCTCTTTGCGCGCGTCAATTAAGGGATTAAGATATAATTGACACACTTGTGGTTAGTGGGCAGCAGGTGACTGTAATCAATGTGTGATTATACCAATCAGCAGCTATAACATGAATTTGACTGTGTCGAGTAATGTTATTTATCAAAGCTGCGGGGATAACACGTATCTATTTTTTCACCGCTGACGGAGGAGAAAAAATATCGTGGGCGTATAACAATAATTTGGTCTTTGATTGCGCATAGGAGTGGACATTTTCAATTAATTGCCGAAAACACGAAATTACAAATAATTATTGATGTAACAAGGCCATTTTTCAGTCTGTGTAGGTGCGATTGTGTTATCAATTTTCTTTCGCATTACAAGTGCAATCGGAATTATATTATTGAAGTTTTTATCTGTACGCGGACAAGAATGTCGATGGAGGGCTTTTGCGAATAATATTCTGCTTGATTTCTTATTATACAATTAAACTACCTTGTCACATCCAATCTGTCAAAAAGGGAAGTTATTTTGATACAAATTTATTGGTGTAATAAGAATTTTTTTCCATGCACTGAAAAATTGTTTGCAAAAAGAAATTTGACTCGGAGATTTCTGTTTGTAAATTTGCAAATTATGACTGATTGACAGTTATTAAACAACCAAAGTTATCTTAGAGCAAACGCAATTAAGATTCATTTTTGGAGAAAGAAATGACAATAGGTTATTAAAAATTTGAAATCTTGACCCAAATCAGGTGTCAACAAAAAGAATTAATAACAAATTTAGTTTTCAAAATAATTTATTCAATGATTTTTTTTATTATAGTTTGTGTTTATGGAGTCTGCTTTAATTTTAATTCAGTTACTCAATTATTGAGACACAAAAGAAAAAGAAAATTTGGATCTGTAGATGGAATTGATTTTAAATTTTTGCAATCTTGACACAGTATTTTGTTCTTCAAAACTAATTTTCTTACTTATCACAACTTCACGTAATTTCCTTCTTTCTAATGCTCTGTAAGCGCATTGAAGTTTTTAGTTTTATTTTATAAACTTTAATTTGCATTTTTATTTGCTGTCTGCACGAATTTAATTTTAAATTTTGTGATTTTTGAGCGCAGCATCACGATAAAATGAGTAATTATTCTTTCTACGAACTTTTTTTAGGAAAAAGTTTATTTTTGTTTTGCTCAGTGTTTTTTTAACAGATTTGTATTCATTGGAGTGGTTAAATTTAATTTTTAACCAATTTATTTTATCAAATATTTTTCTACAATCGTTTCAAATAATCCCTAAATCTAAATAAATTTTAATGTTTCCAATTTGTTTTAATTAACTGCTTTTCTCCTTCTAATTATCCTAATTCCTAATCTTAATTAGAAACTATCGATTCAAGGTCTGGCCACTTGTGGACGCAATCAAGCCGTTTTTGAAAAACAATCATTAGACTTTTTAACACTAATCAAGTGCTTATTGCCATAATTTTCTTATGTATTTTGACTCACTCTCTATAAGTCGCAAAGGCAGGCCGTGCGATAAAAAAGCATTCTTTCGCGATAGAGTCAAGAGCAAAGTCAAATACAATTAGCCTCACCTTTCGTCGCCGAACTGCACGGCCAGCAGGGTGTTGTTGATCAGGAATTTGTGGAACTCGTTCTGGTAGCTGTGCTGCAGTTGGTTGAAGCTGTAGGTGTTGGCCCTGGCGTCGTCGCTGCGGCGCCGCTCCTTGCGCTCCTTGAGGCGCTGCACCGCGTCCTCCTCCGACTTGCGCTGCTCTTCATTCTTCCTGGCCGCCTCTTCCAGCCGCCGCTGCTTTTCCTCCTCCTGCCGCCGCTTCAATTCTTCCTCCTCGGCCTGTTTCTGTCTGGCCTCTTCCTTCTTCTTGGCCGCCTCCTCGGCCTTCCTGACCTCTGCTTCCTGCTTCCGTATTCGCTGCTCCTCTTTGGCCGCTTCTTGCTTTCGTTTTAGCTCCTCCTGAATAAAAGCAAATTATTTTTCGACACCATGATTTTAATATGTAAAATTATATTTAAGGAATTTGATAGCAAAAAAAAATTGTACTATGCTGTACTTTATTTTAACGTGTTTTTCGTTTCAGGTAGTATAAATTGTTTTATTAAATTACCATTTAGTTGAGTGATCGATCTTATGAAAATAAAATTATCATTGATAGTGGTATTTGTGATGTTTGTTCAAAACGGTTACAAAAGTATTTTATTGAAAAAAAATTGTGACTTAAAGAAGGATAAAATTGAATTGTTGAGCAAACAGGCACCCCCTCGATCAAAGATTTGAATTGGGATCAATATTTGTACAAGAAATTTTATTATTTTTTTTCTTTATACAAATTTTCATTAGTAAATTTTATTTTTATGTGTTTAAGAATTGACTTTTTTAGTGAGTTCGGATTTGAGATTCTGAAATTTCTTTGCAGAAATATACAAAATGTGATCAAAATTTTATTCCACGATATCTAGCGCAAAATTGAATGTCTTGGGAATGTACTCTTTAAATTTTTATTAAAACACTCTTATTAAAAACCTCATTTTTAAAAGAACTGTCTCAACAGCGAATTATGGAATTTAAATTTTGCATAGCTGCCAAAGCGTTTAAATTGGGATGTATTGAAAAATAAATAATACTCTTGAGAATCTCGACTTGTGCGTTTGTAAGGAATAGGATATAACAATCTTTCAGCCTAAGCAAATATTTTTTATTAGTCTTATGAGAAATATTCAAATTTAAATTTCTGAAACAAATTAATTACGCCATCACACGTGTTAATAATTTGTGTTTAACCTTGCAATTGCTTTTTACGGAGGAAAGTCTAATGATGCAATTTTCTGCAACAAAAAATTGCGAAAGTATTTACAAGGGGATTATTTCATAGCATAATATGATCTCCGGAATTCAATTGCTATCTTGCAATTTACTGTCAGTATTTAACTTTCGTTAATCACTAAATCCACTACGTGGATTTAATCTGACAATAAAAATTCCATTTTTTAGGCTATATTTTTATAAACCTAGTGACTCCGCCAAAGCAACAATAAATTTTTTTTTTTGATAAAATAAAATCCGGCTTCCTCAGTGATTATGAGTTGCTCAACTTAATTGTTTCTATGCATGATACAGAAAATCCCTGCTCTATAGTTTTGGTTGCGGGTTGCAATTCATGAGCTCTTTTTCTCGTCGAAATACGAGTCGAAACTTCCCGCAACCGAAACTAGTAGAGCAGGGATTTTCTGTATCATGCAGAAACAATAAAGTTGCTCATCTTCACCGAGGAAGCCAGATTTTATTTCATCAAAAAATGAACACCTTGAGTACCAAAAGGTTCCAAAACAAGTACAAGAAAAAAATTCTTAATATACCCGTTTCCTCTTTTCCTCCTCTTTCTTTTTGGCCGCCTCTTCCGCCTTCCTGGCCTCCTCTTCCGCCTTCTTGGCCGCCTCTTCCTCCGGATCGGACGACTCGTCGGCCTGCGGCTCGTTCAGATACAAAACACCCTTCTTGGATCCGATCTTGATGAAATTTTTGTTCTCCAGGTGTCCGTTGTTGTTGTTGCTGGCGGCGGCGGAGACGAGGTCGGGGACGGCGGTGGCGATGTATTTTCCCTCGGTGGCCGCCCCCGTGAGCTGCTGCGACTTTTGCTTGGGGTGACACACGTTGCCCATGGCTTAGGCCGTCCACTCCATGGCAGCAGGACACCTCCACTGCCTGCTCATCTCGCTACGTCCGCTCGCCGCCGCTTATCTTATCGCCCGCATTTCTCAAAGTGACGACCATTTTTTTACAAAATTATCAAACGTCATTACTCCCGCCGGCCTAATGAGCCACCACGGCATTCCGTTGAATCGAATCGGCTGGCGGGGGCGGCGAATTGCGCGTGTGTTTCGCGTTTCGCGGAAATCGCGACCCGATTAATGCTTGTGACGTGAAACCGGCTTAAGCTGGATTAGAACCGGCTTATTTTCTAATTTCATTTGGAAAATTCATTATTTTTTAATTTAAAATCAATTTTTAAAAATCACAATGTTTCCAACAAATTAATGTTAAGTGAAAAAATTAATTTAAATCAATTAAATTAATAATAAAATATCAATATATTAATTTTTTCAATGCTTAATTTCATCACTTTCCATTTTGTTTTGTCTTCATCATCAGCTGCTAATTTATACAAAGATTTTCTTAAAATTTTAAAGATAAAAATCATATTTGGAAATAGGTCAAATTACATTATATTTTGCACTCAATAAAACACCCATAGTAAATTAGAAGATTTCATGCAGTTCAACTGTTTTTTTTTCAGTTGAATTTATTATTATTTCTTTCAAGCAATACGCAAAACCAAAAAGTTCAGCTCAATATAATTTCTGTAATAAAAGCTATTACACTTTTTTTTATAACTGGGTAACTTCCACTTTTGTACAATTAACATAAAAAAGTAACAAATGATAACAAGTGAAAAATGACTGTTCCAAATAAAAACGAAGCTTTTTCTCCTTATTTTGATTGAAAAATGTGACTACAAAATACAATGCTAGATTAACCGCCCCTGGCAATAATTCTCTTGCGAATGTTCTCCATGGTCCTCAGAATCACGTTGGACGCCATTTTCGGGTGGATGCATTTGATAAAGTCGACCACCATTATCTGAAAAATGGCAATAGAAAAATCACGGTCAGGCACACAAAGAGCATATTTTTGATCCACCAAATAATCTGGAAACTTTTATGCTTTTATCATGAAAGTGGGGATTAAGGTTGTCCTATTATAACTGATGTTGGATAGAACGCCCAAATTTGAATGAATATTTGCTACAAATCTGTTCATTCTTGATAAGATTAACCGGGATTTGCTAATATTTTCTGAGTGTTTACTTAATAAATGTCAAAATATAATCTGTCACAATACAGGTGTTTGGATTTGCCGAGGAATTCAAGTTTTTTTGTTATTCAATGCACATTTGCGGTTCAACAAATTTAATTAAAGAGGGACCTTGGATAAGATGCTAATTATTAAGATTGGTAGATTTGATACTGACCAGAAGATTGTGGGGCCAGTAGCCAGTCGTTCTGTCCTCGAGGCCGATGCTGGTGATGGCGTGGCCGACGTACTTGTCCGGGAAGGGCGCCATGAAGGTGGACTTTTTGATGCGGCTCATGGCGGTGGCCACGTAGCCAGGCAGAATGCACTGGATTACAATTCCCTTGCTTGCGTATTCTATCCTCAAATCCTCAGTGAATTTGTCAACAAATGCCTAGAAAAAAAATTCATATTAATTTAAAAAAAAAATAATAATAATATTGATTTTCAATTAAAAACTATTGTTAGATTTTATTTCCAATCAGGGGAAATATGATATTTTTTTAATAAATTTATAAAAAGACTTCAATATAATAAAAAAAATTGCAAAAAAAATTATATAATTTAAAATCATACAAGATTAATTTTTTTTAAACAGCAATTGCTAATACATATCTCGTATTAATTTGTTATTTTGGAACTTAAATCTAGACTTAATTAGTACCTTTGAGGCGCTGTAGACGCTCAGAAGGGGTGACGGGATGAGAGCGGTGGTGGAGGAGACGTTGATGACCACCCCTCTCCTGCGCTTGACCATCTGCGGCAGCACCACGTGGGTCATGTGCGTGACCGAGGTGATGTTGCAGTGGATCAGGTTGGTGAAAACCTGTCTGCTGTCCTTGACGTCGAGGAAGTATTCAGGGTAGGGGTAGCTCATGCCAACGTTGTTGACCAGCACCCCAATCTCAAGGTCAAACAGTCCTTTCTCTATTTTTTCGTAAATGGCTGGGCCCTCGGTGAAGTCTACATCGATGACCTTAGTCTGGACCTGATACTTTGCCTCTGAAATTTGATTCAATTTGTCGTTTATAGGAATAAAAACATTTTGAAATATAAAAATTTAATTGTAGTTAAATAAATATTGATTCAATTCGATTTGTTCTGAAAAATAATCAAATTAATTGTTACTTTAGAAAGTTCTATTAAAAAAAGGAATAATTTAAAAATGAAATGTTAACTAGTAAAAGTTTAAAATTTTAAATCAATTAAAAATTGTAAAAAAAAAAAATTAATTTCAAGATTTTTTTAAATAATTATTAAAAATTCATTGTAATTTTTATTCCTACCAATTTGAGCTGCTAATGCTTGCAGCTTGTCAAGGCTTCTGCTGATAAGAACCACATTAATTCCTTGTTTGGCTAACTGCAAATTAAAAATAAAAATATTATTATTATTTAACTCTTTTAGCTTAGTAAATTACTCACAGCTTCTGCGTAAGCTTTTCCAATTCCTTGAGTGGAGCCCGTAACGACTGGGAACAGAAAGATTTCAATCTATTTAGTTAATGTCATAATTTTGAACCGAATTGTTTCAAGAGTCACGCTTTTGGCGGAAAGGAAATAGTAAAAGTTCGCATATTGAGTGATGGTGCAGAATTTTTGTTTGTGGGAGAGGCGGCAATAAATCAGGTTAATAATTCAATAGTACACAAGTTTACAATGGCAAAATGAACGTGTAGCGGTACTTTTAATTGTCACTTGGTGAGTGTACAAAAATAATAACAATGCTTCAAGTTATTGACGACTCAAATAGACGCATGCACATTTCTCCGATGCACTTTCTTTCCATTTTCAACTTTCAAGTGACAGGGTCCAATGGCAATGGAATAAAAACTCCGTTAAATTTAAAAAAAATTGATAAAATATTGAATATTTGAGACCAATAAATAATTTTATTGTATCCATTAATTTTATATACGTAGATTTTTAATATTTATTTCTCTAGGGCAAATCAAATATCATTTTTGTATTTTCATTTATATTTTTTCCTTCTCGTCCGTTCATTTGACATTCAAGATGGGTAAATTGATACGTAAGTTCGTACACTGATATATTGGTGGATGTCCATTCCAATAAACGGAAAACAAAGATGTGAGCGAAATAGTAATCAGCGGGTTCAGCGACCCAGTCAATGGGATAGGCTAAAAAAAGTGCATGCACGCGGCCTTTAAAGGTGTTGGACGGTAGCCGACGAGGACGATCAGTTCCTGTGTGCATATTAAACGCGCCCCGACTGCGTTATTCTTTCAAGTGACAAAGCACATTTTTGTTTTATAAACACGACCCAAAATTTTCGTTTGAAAACAAAAATAAAAAAAATAGGAGAAAAAAATTCAACTAAGAAGGAAAAAAGAATTGCGTTTTTAATTTATCAGACTTCCGTCTCTTTTTTTACTAATCGTTGGGACTTTTCTTTAGTAATTAAATAATATGCTGAGATAAAAACGATAGAATTATTAAAAACATCTGGATTGGAATGGGATCTATAAATTAAAAATATTTGTCAAAACTAATTAATTACTATTTAAATTTTAAATAAAAAATAATCATTCATTTCATTATAATTTTCTAATGTACCATGCAATTTTCTATATTTTTTCTGATTTTTTCCATAATGGAATTTCCCACCCAACCCGGATTTTTCATTTTTGCAATGATCAATTTGCAATAAACTGGTCTGCACGTAATTTTCCGCTCTTCTTCTTCCTGCCGGTCGCCCGCGCCAACTAGCTCGATAAATTAATTACTTCTCGAACTGACACTTCTTGTCTATTGTGAACTCAATGTATCAAGGTCAAGAGATCCGCACGCGCAATTGTGTGCGTTTGTGCATTGCACATGCACCGGAGAGTCGCGGAGAACAACCTGTTTTCTAAGGAACATATAAAAAGTTGACCGGCGCTTCTTTCTGTTTTCCTGCATTAGGCCAATGCAGGAAATAATAGATACAAGAATGGTTTTTTTTTATATTATAATATATTTTCTCTAAATTCAAAAGTTGTCTCAACGATTTCTTATCGCACCCAGATGATTTTGTTCGGCCATTGAAGAGAGCTGATAACAAAAAATTATCGCACAGCGTGGTGTGCGGACTTTGAGTCACAAAGTATTATGTCATTTGTAACTGGGCTGCAAAGGTCAGCATTTTTATAAATGTTCCACTTGAATTTTTTTTACTCAAGTGCACAACAGTGCAACGTCTGCATGACTGAATTTATCAACAAGAGGCCCAAGAAAAATTAAAAATTTCTTAATTAAATTTATTACTAGTTCACAAAACTAATTGAAAAATTTATTTGCAATAATTATTAATTATTTTGGAAATTAATTTATGTAATAAAATGTTTAGTTTTTTATAATTTTTTTATTATTTTAATTATGTCAATATTATTTTGATTTAAATTTAAAAAAAATGTAAATAATAGTTTATTTATCAATTTTTTTCTAATTTTTACCAATTTATTTTATTAAAATTGAGCAGAAAAATTATAAATTCATTGGATATAATTTTTAAGAAAAAACTATTTTTTTCTTGTCCTGTTGTTGTATGAGAGCCGCACAATAATAAATATTTTATCCGAAATTGAAAATTTTGACTGAAAACTCACCTGCCCACTGTCCCATTTTCCTCAAATTTGTGTTGCGTCCGAGGGCGGGTCCGATGATGGACACGTAGAGTCTCCGTAGCGCCAACCTTAAGAACTTGAGGATGAAGTAGGCGATGACCAGCAGGCTGATGACCTGCAGGGTGGCGCCGAACCAACCCCCGACTATGAACGACCCCTCGGCCATTATTGCGTCCAGAGAAAAGAGAGAAGGAAAGAGTCGACGTGCGACTCTGCAGTGAAAAGAAGAAGAACAAAGTGCGGCTCGCACCACCGATGGACTTATAAACGGTGTTTGCACCGCGAGTCCCCACTCTCAGGTGACCGCCGTCCCTTATCACAACGAGTAGCGAACGGAAATTATGAGAAATTATTTTACTTCGAGCCGGCGAGCAAAGGACGTGCACGACCTAAACGGCGCACCCCACACTGCGCCGCTGCTGATAATCGCAGTGCGATCGATGGACGCATGCGTGTCCTTAAATTAAAGCCCTTTCAGCTGCGCCACGGCTCCCTCTAACAATAAGCAAGCCCTACAAAAAAAAAAAAACCCAAAGCCGGCACTGAATTGAATCAGTTGAGGTTGATTCGGCTCTTGACCTCGGAAACAATTATTTTTCATTGCAATCTCATGATGAATTTTTTTTTTTTTTTAATTTAAAACTAAAAATCAAATGAAGATATTTTTATTATTTGAAAAGGTTTTTCTGACGGTTTATATAATTTTTTTATTAAATTATTTAAGTTGGAAGAGACTTTTTATTGTCTTTTTTTACAAGATTGTATCAAATTTGTTTGTCTCAATTAATAGACCTTTTTTTAGTAAGTTTCAAAATCCTTATAATATACAATCCATATTTCATCCATAAAAATTCAACCTCTAGCCATGAAAATTGTTAATAATATAAAATTTATATTAAAAAAAGTAGAAAAATACCAAAATTTAATCATTCAACCAATGGTTTTGATTAAAATTATTTCAACTTATTCCGTTTAATTAAAAAATTAGCTTTCATTTCTTCACGTTTTTTTTTAACTAATTGAAATTGGTTTAGTTGATTTTTTTTTTAAATTTATCTTTCCTTCTGTTTTCTTGTCGAGATCCTATATTTTACAATAGCGGAAGAAAGCGGCCAGGAAGTGGCACACAAAGTGCAATATTTCAACTTGCATAAAACTGCAATAAAGCACCTGCAGGCTGCTTTCTTGCACATAATAAAACGGGGAACAAGAAGTGCGGCTCATCTCGTCGCTATAGCGCGGATGCAGCGCGCGTATTGAAACACCGCGTGGCTTTACGCGTTACTCCTATAGCCACACTGTCACGGCCAGGGTCGCTCAGATTGAGGCCAACCACTTCTCTATAAATGCGCTTTTAACTGCAATTTGCATTGCACCAACTTCCAATTCAATTTATAAAGAGCACTGAACTTTTTTAGAAAATAATAAATAAAAAAAAATTCATAAAGAAATAGAAATGTAAAATTAAAATAACTTTTAAATTGGCCTTTTTGGCAAGAGGTAAAATTATTAGTACGAAATTGAGATAAAAATTCAATTCAATTCTTAAAATTTGAAAAAAATCCCTTGTAAATCATTTAAAATTTCCTATTTTTACATTTTTTTTTTTAATATTGACTGCTATGAAATAATGCTTCTTCTGTTTTTAAACTATCAAAAATTTATTCAAAATATAACTTTTACCTCTTTCATACTGTCATAAGAATAGCGCAGGATGTGTTGTCGTATTTTCTGGTAATTTCACTCTCAATTTTCTGGATTGTTGATTTCTTTCTTGAGTTTGGCCAGGGCGGTGAGACACTTGTCGCGCCAATTCCTCCGCTCCTGCAGTTTGTCCACCGGCGTCATTTGGCACAACTGGTCGTGCACCACCTTAGCCTGTGGCCCGGCCATCAGCGGCACCTCGCCCATGGTCATGCTGACGTCGTACATGGTCTTGGAGTAGCGCTCGCTATAGTTGAGCATCCCCTCGGCGTTCAGGTGCGCCGTCTCCAGCGGCCCCAGGAAGGCGTAACGCATGCCCAAGCCCTCGGACATGACGCGGTCGATGTCGCGCACGTCCAGCACGTTGTCACGCACCAGGCGCCACGTTTCGTTCAGGATTGCATACCTGGAGTGCATTAAATAAATAATTTTTAGATTAAATCGTTCTAAATAATCCCATTAATTTAGAAAATTACAGTAATAATTTAAAAAAATCTTAAACACAATTTTAAAAGAACTTCTTAAAATAATAAATAATATACTTTTGTTAAATTAATTTATTATTCAAAAAAACTTAAGCTATATTACATTATTAATTAATATTATTTATAATTTATTATTTTAATTAATTATTTCTATTTATGCAATATTTATTATTTTGCTACTTTTAACGCTTTTTAATGTTATAAAATTTTATTTACTATGAATTATTTTTAATTTATATTTAATACTAAATTCTGATGAGCGATTAATTTATATTATGAATTTTGAAAGAAATTTAAAGGAGTTTGAACTTTTTGTTCTTAATTGTCAAATTTGGACTTACAAATCAATATGTCATTATACAATATTAATTTTTCACTCACTGGATTCTGTTCAGAGCAAATCCCTCTATTTCTCTGGTCAGAGAGACTGGCTCTTGGCCAATTTGCTCCATGATCTCTCTGGTGCGCACCACCACTTGTTTTTCCGTCCACGGTGCTGGGACGATTTCAACCAGTGGGACATAGTATGGTGGATTTACCTAAAAAAATCTTTGTTATTAATTTGATACATTTTATTAATGTTTTAACTAACAGGGTGGGCGACCACAAACTGCGCCTTGTGCTGCAGGTTTTCTGAAATTCGAGAAGGCAAAAAAGTGCTGGTCGAGCTGGCCAGGACGCAGTCGGTGTCCACAATCAACTTGTCCGCTTCGCCCCACACCTTTTTCTTCAGCTCCAGGTTTTCGGGCACGCACTCCTGAATGTGCCTGGCGCCTTTCACACATTCCTCCAGACTGTTTGTGCCTTAATAAAGCAAAGTAAATTTTTTTAAATTGGAGCAATTTGTTTTAATAAATAATATTCAAACCTTGAATCAGATTGCATTGCTGGTGAGCGTTGAGACTTCCTCGGAGCATTCCCGACCCTTCTAGAGTTTTCAGCTGCTTCGAAATGTCTTCCAGGGCGTTACTGATTTGCTTCGGCTCAATGTCGTAAATGTAAACTTTGTAGCCGACGCTGGCAAACAGCATCGCCCAACTCCGGCCTATCAGCCCGCTGAAATATTAATTTAAAAATCAATTTAATAAATACCGAAATTGAATTTATTTTGAACCACAAACCTCCCGATAATCCCAATTTTTCCCTCTTCAGACATGCTCTTTACTTGGTTCACACCGGTCCTCTGAGCCGAATTATGCGTATATCTTTTGAATGTTTTCAAACTGGTTTCAAGACTCGTCACGACTTTGTGGCGGCTCCACCAGATCGCTGGATGCAAAGTGAGAGAGCTGCTGTGCCCTTCCTCCGTTCTTTGACCTCTGAATCAATTGGCCCGCCCCTTTTCACTCTCTTATCCACATTGCCTCGATGTTCTTATCGTGCTGTTTGCTCCATATCTTTTTTTTACCTGACGAACTGTGTTGAAAAATTGTTATTTGCTCACGTTATTTTTGTACTTAATTATCTCAGCTTCGCTCATTCAAATGAGATGCGTATAGGCGTTTGAATTGTAAATAGATTAATGCGATTAATATGATTCGAGATGCTTCTACTTTTATATCGTTGAGGATCAACTATGAGATTAAACTATAGCGACCATTTAATTGCTTTAACTTTTTGCTTTCGAGATTATTTTATGGAATGCCAATTAATTAATAGCGATACCTTTCATGCATCCTGCGGCATGTGCGGCAAAAGCAACAAGTTTTTTTACATAATAAGTTTATATCATACACAGTAGAAACAGACATATGAGTAGTTGGAAAAATGTTGTTTTATGTGTATAATTATTTCACTTATGGTTGGAAAATTTATAAAAATTATTAATTGATGCTGAGAGGGAGCAATTTTATTTTTGAGATATTTAAATGGATTTTTACAAGTGCGCTGCGTTAATATTTATAACGTATCAGATTATATGGGGACCGTCGGGACCGAGTAAACTGCAGATGGATAAAAACAGTTCGATGTATAATTTTTTTTTTCAATTTTTTCTTTACGATCTGATGACTTTTCAATTGTGACAAACCTGTTTTAGACAGCTAAATTTTCAATACAGAGGAGAGGGAATCTAAGATATTGTGAAAAAAATTATGAACCGTTAAGCCTCAAAATCTTTTGAGGAATCCGCACTTTGCAAATTGTTTGTAATCCAAGGAACAACTTCATTATGTTTGTGTTAAAAAACGTTATTTTTATTTTTCTGATTTGATGATTTTTTGAATACGTGAAGTTTCGATTAATTAATTTTTTAAAAGAAATAAACTGAATTTTATAGAAAGAAAATCTAGAAATTTAAATTTTGTGATGCAGAAGAATATTATAATTAATGGTTTTGAACTGATATTCAGCATTTCACCAATATTTATTTCGTCGTTTATTGTTTCGTAAAAAAAATTCGTGCACTAACATGTTTACGCTACGTCGCCGACTGCCCAATGCCAAAATTATCAAAGGGTGGTATCTGGGTTAAAATCTAAAATTTTATTTTTTACATCAACTCGTGTATTTTTCCAAAAGATTATTGTTTCAGCGCATTCGGAATAAAATTTTAAAGGCCTCCTGGCATCTTTTTACCAAGCAATCAAATTTGAAATTTTTAAAATTACAGCTTGTTTTTCATTACTTTCTGATCATATTTATTGTTTGTTATTAATAATTGCTCTGTGCGATTTTGTACTGCAATTAACATAATCAAAGGGTAGGGAGAACAGAGAACCGTAAGAGCGGCCCTGCCCAACTGCGCCTGACCTACGAAATTATGAGATGATACAGTAGGAATCTGCCAACTGCTGCTGTCGTTGAAGTTATGCTATAGGTACATATAAATTTGAAATTTTTAAATCATTTTAAATTTTTCCAACTTTCTTTACTTGAAAATTGATGAATTTATAGATATTCTAAATTCTATTCTAAAATTATAAATTTTTTTACTAAGGGAGAAAATGCTGAAGCGAATTTTGTTTTTGTTGCTGGTCGCGGCTGCGTTTGCCGAAGAGCAACAAAATGCTGATGACTTTGAAACGCCAAGAAACGTGATGAAAGCGAGGAGTGCGAGGACCATTCTTGATTTTCTTGGTGTCGATAGAGATACATTATTGGTTATGGGAAAAGTATTTGCTTTGTCTGCTGGGCCCGTCATATTTTCCATTCTCGGAAGAACTTTATCGTTACAATTAGTTTCTTTTGTAATTGAATTGCTTTCATTCATGGCAACTTGATAATTATTTTATTGGGACAGATTTCATCTATGTAATCGACGAAAATAGTGTGTTTCAATTTTACACAGCATATTTTCAATGTTTAATTTATGCGTATATAGCTATGTACTGATGATTTTGTCAAAATAAATCGTTATATTTGTGCACACTGAAAAAAGAATCATATAATTATTATTCAATACTATTTTTTTTCCTCCTATCTCCTACTCTAAAAATGAGGGAAACTTAGATTATGTTAATTAAATAAAATAAAAATCTAAAATATAATTAATATATAATTTTTTCAAAAAAATTTTTTGTATATTTTTACTGGGATTAGTAATGCTTATCCAAAGTGAAGTTTTATGAATTTAAAATTTTGATTATACTAGAAAATTTTAAGACACAAAATTTATTTTTGATGTACCAGTAACAGACTGAAATAGACACGCAAAAGCAACGTTTTCTTATATTCAACCATGAAAAATATTTTTTGTTTTTAGAAATCACCATATCGAGACGGACTACTATATTTTTCAATTACGGAGGTGATCAGCGATCATTGGAACATTTTCTTTTGCCGCCCTTGATTTTGCCGCCTTTTATCGTCAAATATATTGAATTGAGGCATTCTTATTGGCCGTTCAAGACCGCTTACAACGCCCCTGATTGGCTGTAAAAAACATAAATAAAAATATTGCGGCTCATTTGAAACTCCAACGCTGAATCACCCGTTTTCCTGATTCACCCAACAACTTAACACATTTACTATCAGCATTTTCACAAACTAAACAGTCAAAGTTTCGGCCTAACCATATTCGGAAGTGTCAAGAAGCCTCATGTTTTCAGCATAAACCATCAATTAAGGTCTGTTAAGCCTTTTTTGGCGCTCTAAACTGTAATGTAATCTCATAAATTACACAAACAAAGCCTTAACTTTGACAAAAGTTGTTTTTTACTCCAAACCTTGGGTAATTTGCGTTTAATTTTGCAGAATAATGATGGTGTCTTATCCAGTGTTCATCATCCTGGCCGTCCTTGTTCGCAACTCCTCTCCGTCAATGATAGGCAAGTCGGAGTTTGAAGCGAAGATGTTCGAGTCCGGGAAGGAGCAGTTCGAGATGGCCAAGCAAAGAAGCAGCCTCCCTCGACAGGGCGAATGTTGGAAGGTCGCCATCTCCCGACTGTCAACAGGCTGCGACCACTTGGACGAGAATCAACACACCATGTTGAGCCTCAGCTTGGCCGACTGCTTTTTGGAAATGTCCGGAGAGGAAAAGCACAAGTGCGGTGACTTGGACGGCTCCTCCGAAAGGGCCGCCTGCATTAAGAAGATGCCAGACAGGGCTTTTGGAGTCTTCACCAAGTTCTTCACGCACGTCTCCAACATGTGCTACTTTCTGAAAAGCAGTGTCTGGCACGAAATGGCCGAGAACACAATCGACAGGTACAGCAGGGCTTTGATTTAATAAATGATGGAATTTTACTCATTGTAATTTTGATGTTTTAGTTTGTTGACTGTGTCTCAACAAGTGGACAGTCAGATGAAAGATGTCCGTGAAGCAAACAACAGACTTCTGGCTTTCCAGCAGAAGTCGATCTCATTGCAAGAACAGGTCATCAACAACGGAGCAAGTTTAGACGAAGTTATTAAAAAGTCAGCTTCGTCGGTCGCATTACTCATGACTGAATTAAGGTAATTAAAGTTTAAATAAACCTATCAAAATTTAATTATAATTCAAATTAATCTTTAAAAATGGAAATGCTAAAATTGGAATTTTATTTAATGATCTCACTTCCCACTTCTTTACTGCTTTTTTGTATCCGAATTCCGAATCAATCAAAGATTGATATTTTTTATTTTTATTTTTCAATTGATGTACTTTCAGAATTTAACATATGATTTTTGTTCTATTTAGAGAAAATACTATGGATCAACAACTGGCCTTGTTGGACATCTCTCAAAGACTGTCTGCTCTGCAGGCTTGGGCAGTTGGGGAAGTGTCTTGGCTGGAGTCGTTGGCCTATTTTGCTATAGCCGTCTGCACAGCGTACCTGACCACAGCCTGGAGCCGCGCACACGAAGCCCGAGGCTGGATTTTTGTCCTTCTCTTCATCGGAGTCCTCCTTGAACAGGCCATCTTCAAATTCGTTCTTGCTAACCTCGAAGGGGCTTCGAGCATGTTTCAAAAGGTTTGTATTTAGTTATTCCGCTTTTAAAATAATTAAAATTTTGCGTTTCTTCCAGGAAAGCATTTATTTCTGGGTTTGGAAGCTGCGATATCTGATGTTGGCTATGTGTGTCTCGGTTTACATTTACTGCGTTTCCACATTTGTCGATTACTCTCAGGTCAATAACAAGCTGCTCACTTCCATTCACAACATGGTCAGGGATTTGCAGAATACCGGAATGGGTAAAGATGAATATTTTTTTAATGAATAAAAAGATTTGATAAAATTCTTTTTCAGCTCTTGAATTAGAAAGACCGATGAATCAAGTTGGTCCTGAATTAGAGGAAAATAGGCGCAACAGAAGAGAAACGAGTGTTACAGTCGTCAGGGTGGAGCAGAAAACATTCAACAAAAAATCTCCAACACCTATTAGGACTAGCAAAAGAACCATGGCCATTCTGGAGGTTGACGATTCCTACTCTCCCAATGTAATATTTTCCATTTTTGTCTTTACAAAATTTTAAATAAGTGTTTGTAGACCCCACGATACAACCTGAGAAACACCCCTTTGAGAAACTCAAACACCCCAGTGCGACAACTCACCATCAAGGAGAGAAATAATTAAGGTAGGAATTTTCTTATTATTATATGATTTACAAAATTTGCTTATGGTTTATCTTGTATCTTAAATTACTGGAATATTTTGTGACTTGCGTTTGCAAACAACATTTCCTGGTCTTCCATGAGCTTCTTGATTTTTTCGTAGTCTGGCTGCATTGCTCTCAGCATAGAGTCTTCATCAAAGTCACCCTAGATTGGTTCAAATTTAATTTCGAAATCATTAAATTTAATCTTTTGTTTGTTTTTGTACCTCAATTGGTAGAGGATAGTAACATGGGGAACATGTAACCAGACTGGCACCGTGCTCGTCAGTGAGGCATTCGCAGTGCAGGCACGAACTAGGCCGCGCTGTCTTTGCTATCCGCTTTGCAAAAACGGTGGCAAAGTTTTTCGAGCCGCGTTGCTTTTCCGTTTCAATTTTCTTTGCTGTAAAGATTGTGCCTGAAATTTGTATAAATTCTGTAAAATTAAGAACGAAACTTTTGTTTAGTGATTGACGCACCGTTGGACTCGAGAGCAAGCGGCAAACAGAGGCCGAGACTTTCTTTGGGTGGAGTTACTTGACGGAAAAGATCAGCGTCGCCCTTAAGCTCTTTTATGTCTTTCTTCGTGTACGCAGTTTTGCCATCAATACCTGAAACCAGTGCATTTATTTTTACTTGGACTAGAATCAATTTTGAATTTTTACCGAAGAGGAGTTTCCTCGCCTTTAACTTGCTTACTGAAAAATCTTCATCCATGAGAATGTGAAGTGTGATATCATTTTCAGCCAGCATCTGACTTGTAAAGGGATAATCCAGCTGAAATAAAATTTACAATTTTTATAAATAATTCTAATTTAACCTAAAAATTTAACTCACTAAATTACTACTAGTGCTGCAATTTGAGCACGGCATGAGGATGAAAGTTTTAGACGCTTTTGGCCTAAACCGCATTTTTGCCGCATAAGTCACAGCAGTAATTATATCTGTGCGTCCATCTCCTATATTTATTTTAAAATTTTGATTAGTAATTATTTGTACTTTCTACATTTAACTTGCCAATTGGCAAATTATCCAGCAAGTTGTTGGCAAAAACTTCAGAAAATTCCTTGCTCGTCATTAAAGTCCTCGGCTCGTCAAAAACTCCGTCGCCTCCAAAAGTCACAACTGCAAATCTGTTTGGATTTTATCTTTAAATTGGCACCGCAGTACAAAATTTGCAATTGCCTGTTGTTGGTAACGTTGGCCTCTCGCAGCTCCATTGTTAAAATATTCAGAAATTGGGTAATGTGTTTGGTGTTTTTCAAGTCTCGGTTGCACTCCTTGGCCTCGATGATGAGCACAATGTCAGTTGTCCACGGCTCGTTCTCCATGTTTACCTCTCTAATGTCTCCATTCAGCATTTCCTTACCATCAATTTCACACCTTGAAAATATATTTTATTGTTTAAAATTAAATTTTCAGAACAGTCCCAACGCTTTGATTTTTTTTTTTTTTGCAAAACATTTTGAAGAAAAATCTTAAAAAGATACAAATGATATTTCTTCTTGATTTTATTTTTATCGTTATAAAATTTTCACCCCTTGTAAAATAATACTAAATAAAAAATTAAATTTTACCACACGCAGTCTTCGGGCAAGGTGATGATGACATTAGCCAGTTTGCACTCTTCCATGTACGCCTTGGCCGAAACGCAGGCCTCCGAGTCCTTGTAAACTCTGCTTGTCAGACACATTTCTTTAAACGGAAGGTGATCCACCTTTTTTTGTAAAAAAGTAATTTAAAAACCGAAATTAATTTGTATCCAAGTTTTTTAACATTACCACTGAGAAACAGTCCGCCATGACTGACTCTCTGCTATCGTACAAAAGGTCACACTTGCTGACGATTTTCGCGTCTGGCGTTTTTGCCAGGAAAACTGCTCCTTCGTCCAAGCAAACTTCGTCATCCAATTGCCAGGTTGAGGCGAAATCCGGCACCGACGACAAAACGGTGCCGTTCTCGCTCAAAAGATCCGTTGCCGGCTCGTTGTCCATCGTGCCCAGTAAGCCTGCCGTTTTTCCAAAGTACCAGCCTAAAAGTATTTATTTTTTTTTTTTTTAAAAAAATCTGTTTTAATTAAATTTGTAGTCAATTTTTACCTGCCAACTCGAGGGTGCATATTTGGAAGTGGAAGTTGCAGAGAATTTCAAAACTTTTATTGCTCTTTATGTGCACAATGTTTCCCTCTTGATAGACAAAAGTACCGTCGCTGGTCATCATGGGTAATCTTGTGTCATACTTATCGTTGATTTGCATGCTCTGTAACAAAAATTGTAAAGGAAAAAAGCAAGTAACGATCTCTGATAAAAGTTTTAAAACTGACAATTAGCATTTAAGTTTTTCTATATCACTTTAAATTAAATGGAATAATTTAGTTTTTTATAATTAAAACAATAAATGGTTTAAAAAAAATTCATGTGTATAAAAATAATTTACTTTACATCTTTTGCTCAAATTCAAGTCAAAAACCCCCATAAATGTATCCCTTATTAATTAGAAAAAAATTTTATTCACTTCATATCTGGGACTAACGCTTTTTCAAATATAAATAAATTTTTTCAATTAATGGAAATTTTGAATACCGAGTCAGACAGGTCAATCTTGATGATATCCTTTTCCAGGATGGTTATCAAAGTCGGAGGCGCGTTTTTAGCTTGCGGGTTGTACTGCGCGACCAGACTGAAATTGTGGTCAGCAAAATCGTGCGCCAACAAATACGAGCAGCCGCCGTGGAAATTGAGCACCCGATGGTCAAACGTGATGAAATGCTGCGAACCGACGAGCATTGCTTGCGCTAAATTGTGCCAAATCAGTTTTAAATGAACGTCAATAAAATTTCGTCATGCCTTTGAAGGGTGGAAGCCAATTTGAGGGCTCCATGTATTTAGTGGCGAGTCCGAAATAGTACAAATAGGATCTGTTGCTGGGCGTGAAGTAATTTTGCAAGTTGGTCAGGAATTTGTACTCGGGAATTTCCTGTTCAAAATTATAACACAATTAAAATGCAAATGACTGATGAATATGCAAACCTCGTAGTTAGGCCGCTCGTTGAAGGAGTGCCACGAAATGGGCAGTTTTTGCTCCAGGTCGATTATGCCCTTCTCCGGCTCGAATATGAATTTGGTCTTTGCGTCTCGGTTGCTGCGGATGAAATTTATTATTTATACATCCCTTAACAAGGGCAAATATTTACTTGTTTTCCGCAGCAAGCGCGGTTTGAGAGATCTCGTAGATTTTCAAATGGAAAAAGAGAACCAAGTCGTTGAGTCTTCCTCCGACGTCGAATTTCTGGTACAGCCACTCAAGCTAAAAAGACAAATATTTGAGCAAGCTTTTGTGTGTTTTGGAATAAAACCTTTTCGTAAACTTCGTCAATTTTCTGCAAAACGAAGCTGACGGACGACAGTTTCTGCAACTCCTTGATTTCCTCCCACATCTCAACCACAAGATCGTGGAACTCTTTTCCTGCTCAACAAAGAAATAAATTCCATTTTGGAATTTGTTTATAAAAAATTTACCAAATGGAACAAGTGTGACGTATTTCTCTCGTAGGAACTCAAAAGCCATGGTCGAATACTTTTTGATGTTGGTAATGGCGTCGTTTTTGGAAATGTCTTTGTAAATTGATTGCAAATCCTGCAACATGATGGCCATTTTTTGATAGTGCTGCGATCCGACGATTTCCTTTTGCTTTTCGTAGAAAAAACTGGAAATTTCATCTCCGGCTTTGACGAACGCGGTTTCGGCCAAGTGAATGAATTTTAGGAAGAGCGGTGTCAGCATTTGCTGCAGCGACTTCAAATACGAATTAAATGTTTCTGATAGTTTTTTGCGCAAGTTGTCAATTTTCTGAGTAAAGGAAATCCGCAGGTCTTTGATGAACTAAAAAAAATCGAAATGTTTAAGAACATCAGGAATGAAATTAAAAAAAAAAATCAAACCCGATCGTAATTTTCTCGTAAACTGTCCAGCATGCTGGTCAAGTGAACGTTCGACTCTCCTTTGCGCAAAGAGTTGATCAAATCCACGAGTTTGTTAAACTTTTCCTTCAACTGAAAATTTTTATAATTTAAAAAACAACAATTGATATTACCGAAGTTTTTTTTCCGAGGAGGAAGAAAAATGATTTGCGCCTACAGCACGTGGTGTTCCCAGGCGGTCACCCATCCAGGTACTAACCACGCTCAACGTTGCTTAACTTCAGTGATCAGACGAGAACTGGTGTTTTCAACGTGATATGGCCGTAGGCACCAATGAGCATCAGACAATCCTCGATCGACTGTGCTCCTCCCTGGTGCCAGCCAAAAATAGAGACCAATGAGCTCAAATATAAATGAGCACCCAAAAGAATCTTTATAATTTAAACTATTGATTGAAATTATATCATATTATTGAAAAAGAGCCACTTTGGTGCTCATTTATATTTGAGCTCATTGGTCTCTATTTTTGGCGAGCACCAGGAGAGCACAGTCGCTCGAGGATTTTCTGGTGGACATCGGTGCCTACGGCCATATCACGTTGAAAACACCAGTTCTCGTCTGATCACTGAAGTTAAGCAACGTTGAGCGTGGTCAGTACCTGGATGGGTGACCGCCTGGGAACACCACGTGCTGTAGGCGCAAATTCTTTTCTTAAATTTTGTAACGACTTTATTTTTCTCACCGCCTCAATCGCCCAAATTAGCGATTTTCTCAGCGACTCTCCCGACTCGCCCAAAACCGTCCAAACTTCATTCACAAGCTCAGGCAAATTTTCCAAATGACGCCTTAAATAAATTTTGAAAAATTCAATCACTGGATAAAAATAAATAGCATACCGAAGAGAAAACTCATCAATCAAAAGCACGGCCAGTCCGACAATGTCCCTGACGTAAAAGTGGTTCTCATAGTACGACGTATTCAAGAAGGTGTACATTTTTAGCATGTCCTCTTGAATGTCCTTAATGTCGCTGTTTAAATAAAATCAAATTTGTGGAAATTTATTAAAACAGTTATTTTCAATTTACTTGATGTCATTGACCGCGTCTTCGACTATGGGCTCGGCCTCGGTCCAAATGTCGTTGAAGGCCTCCTCGGACTGGGACCTGATGTACTGGCGCCAGGTGTCGATGAATTCGTACACACCTTCCCACACGGAGTTTGTGTACTCGTTTGTGCCGCGCTGCGAAATCGATTTGGCCAATTGGTGAATTAGCGAGTTAGTTGACGGCACTTACGGCTAATTGGTCCGGCAGCTCGGCTCTCCACACAAACTTTGAAGTGATAAGTCTCGAGTGGTTTAGTTTGAGGTAGTAAGAAACGTCGGGGATAATTACGCTGTCGTAATTTCGCCAAACTCGGAATAGGGCGTTTCGAGCGTCCGGAATTTTGCCGATCATGTACAGATTTTTGTAATTTTCCTCTAAACACAGATTTAATCGATACAACAATTATTTTTTAAATATTATATTTTTTGTAGGATAAAAAGGTCTAGTTAACTTATTTTTTTTTTTAATGTAAAAAATCCCTCCGTTTCTATAACAATAATTTTCAGCAATAAAATTAAGACAATAATTCATACTTCATTGAAATGCCTACTTTTTAAAATTGTGTATTAAGGATTTTTATTTGAAGAATTTGGGCCAAAAATAATAAAATTAACCCATAAAAAATTCTTATTATTTATACTGGTTTAAAAATTAGGAAATTAAAAACAAACCTAATAATTAAATTAAATTATGTAAAATTAATTTGGCATCTTTAAAAAAATCGGAAATAAATTCTTATCTTGGGTTAGAATTTCTTAATTTTAAGCTAAATCGTAATTAAAGATAAAGAATAAATTTAATATTTAAAACCACGCTATAAAATTATTCAATAGGATAATTATGTAAAATTATTTTGAATAGAAATTTTAGAAATAAATCTGGATAAAATTTTATAAATTATTTCAATCTTTTTTTTCAGATAAACTTACCGACAGACGTGTTGACAGTGAGGGCCGTTTCATACTCGACCGTGTTCAAGAAAAAGTAGCCGTCGGCGCTCTGATCTGTCCCCGGAATCGCCGTGAAGGTGGCTGAGTAAATGGGTGGCTCGACGTCGTACCACCCTTTCAGATACTGCCGTTCAACCTGCGTGATTTTCTACAGAAAAAAGCAAGGTAGGACGCATTTTTGATAACAATTTTTTTTTTTTCTCACTTCGAGTTCCACGGATCTCTCGGATAATTGCAACTTGGCGTGCGCCTCGCCTGTCGACAGCGGCAGGTAGGACCTCTTGTAGGAGGCGTAGTTGTCAGTTTGGAAAATGTTGCCGTCGTACTTGACGTTGCCCTCCATCTTCAACTCCAAACTGCACACACGTCTCTGTTATACAATTTCCGAGCAGGAAAAACTTTTGATCGGACTCACCTGGTTGCTGGATGCTGGGCGCCGAAAACCAGTTTGTACGCTTTGGTTTTGTCGTGCGTCTCGTCCAGCAGCTCGGAAAACATGGCCAGCTTTTGGTCTTCGTCCTCGGCGTATACCAAGTCGGCCTTGACGTCGTAAAACTTTTTGTCGTCCCGGTACATGTCCAAAGTGAGGGTGACATCCTTAATTGTTTAAACGTTTATTTAAATATAAGATTAAAATCTAAATTTGAAAGCGTTAAAAATTATTAAATAAATTTGACTAAAAAATTTTTGGAAAGGATGAAAGACGATAATATTATCAGAGATTTATTTAAATTTATTTTCTAAACGTTGTCAAAAACCTGAAAAGTGATTATGAAATTTACAACCTTAAGTTTTAAACTAAGAATTCATTGCGCGAATTTTCCGTTTTTCTTTATCTACAAAAATTGGCTTTCCTATTCAGGAATAACAAAATTTATTGATGTGGATCTTTTTATGTAAATTTTTAAAATTAAAATTGCATAAAATTTTACAAATTAGGCATGATGAGCAATTTTGACTTGCCTTTTGTAATGAGGGGTGGCGCATGTAGAGGGCCGTGACATGCTGCATCGGTTTCGAGCTAATTCTTTGCCAGTCAATGCCGGCGCCGATTGTCTTTTCCTCTTCCTCCTTTTCCCAAAACAGCGTCAGGTCGGAGGAAAGCGAGACTGCCGAGTGGTTGTAGTTGCCCTTGAAGGTCACGTTGCGCTCAGGGTATTGCAGGTTGAACAAAATTCTTTTCCGGGCAAATGTCTCATCCTGAGGAATTTAATTTTTTTTTTTTAATTTTAATTTAACAAATAATTTGAAAGTACCTCAGTCAAATTTGTTATGGCCATGTTGTATGAAAGCCACACTTCCGGCTCAACCTGAATTCTGGAGTTGTGGTGCAGGACCCTGTCCAGCACCTTGTAGTCCGTGGATAAGTGGACGGTGCGATTAGGATTGATTGCTGCAAAATTAAAACTTACTTTAAAAAATATTTAGCATTTTTTTTAAGTACCAGTAATTTTAATCTCCTTTCCATGCTCTGTAGTCAAAACCTCCAGGTCGCCGGTTAAATTGAATGACTTCGCATTCCTCAATTTGAAAACCTCCAATCGATGGTATTCCTATAAGCAGAATTAATTTTTAAATTCAATTTGAATTTTTCAACTTTTAGTCTCACAGTCTTTGGTAGTTTCGCAGGGTCCTCGTCTTCGAATCGCTTCAAGTGATTGTATCTCGCTCCCAGAGGAGTGAAATTGTTCTCCACTTCCAGATAAATGTTCTTGCTGTCAAAGCCTCTCCTGAGTATTGCGTTCGATCGCAGCTTCGCCTCCAAAACGTTTCGCTGGTTGTACTGCACCAAAGTGTGGCCTATTCTCGTCGAATCATCTTCCTATTCACACTCAAATTAATTCTAATCCAAAAATTAAAAAAAAAAAATCTGACCATAAAATATTCATAGTTGATGAGACCAACGTGTCTGGTCGTAATTGGGACTTCAATCAGCAGCGTCCCGTTTATTTGAGTCTCAGGTCGGCTTGTGTCCATCTGCGCTTTGGAACTCAAAATGGCCGTATTATTATTCCAGTAAAGTTCCAAATTATGATTCCAGTCTTCCCTATTTTTAAATTATTAAAAAATATCATTATTAAGTATTATTATTATTTTTTTTTTTTTTTACATTTCAGTCACAGCTTCCAAAGCGACACCAGCTACTTCCAGACCTTTAATTGGAGTCGTGGTGTTGAAGGTGCCGTTCATATTCCAATCGCTTTTGTAATCAAAATCCAGTCCGGAAGCGAATTTCGACTCGGGGTAAAAAAGTTTTGACCTGGAAATTTAGAGTTATTTATTGTCGCATTTAACTGCTTCAATTTACCTTATCTTGTAGAAAGGCTTGGTTGAGTAATAGGCGTTCAAAACCACCGTTTCCTCCTCCAAATACATTGGTGTTGTCAGTTTGTAAATTACATCGTAAATTTCAACTTTTGGCGTTTTCACTTCAATGAAATTCTTGTACCTCGAACTGTTTTCCCCGCCGCCTATTTTAGCTCCGATTGACGAAAACATGATCTTATGTGTATACTGGCCCTGAATTTTTCAAATTAATTCATAAAATCAAAATGCTCCTTTTTTTAAATTAATTTATAATACCTCAATATCAAGCCCGTAATTTAAGTTTGCTTTTTCCACGTCGTAATCGACAGATAAACTGTAGTTGGTCAGAAGGAATGGGTAAAGAAGCCGACTTTTGATTTTGTAGACCTCAGGGTACGGCGCTGGAGTTGTCAGGGTAAGCGCTGCAGTCAAATAATCCGCGATCGTCACAGTTGCGTTGCCACCAATTCTGGAAAACAATTTTTTTTTTATGTTTTAAATCTTAAACAAAATTGAAAATTTTTACTGCCAATCTTGGAAGTTTTCGGCAAAGTACATTCCAGCCGAAAGGTGTTTAGACAATTTATCTTTATTTTTGTAAAAGGTGTCGGTGACGTAGTGTTTTTTATGTTTGGGCGAATTCAACATTGCGTCTATGTGGATGGCCATGTCTTCCATCAACTTCAAAGCCCATTGACCTTTCAGGTGGCCGCTCATCAAAGGCGTTTGGATGTTTACCCTCGCCGCACCGTTTTGCTGCATCAGACTGATTTTTTTTTTTTTTTAATAAATTCAATTTAATTTTTAAATAATTAGTCCTTACAAATAAAATCCATCAAAGTGGACTTGTTCGAAATCCTTGACCGGAGTAATCATGTCCACAACAAGAGAGGTGTTGCCCGTGTCAAAGCGCACCATTTGACCTTTCAGTTCCATATTTTTGTACGAAGGCAGCGTCGTCTCAATCTGCACAGGTATAATTTAATTCATTTTGGCACCTTTTGCATTTTTCTCTCTTACGTCCGCATTAATGCTGTTCTCGGTGCGGTCCTCCTGCCGCGTTTTGACGTAATTTATAGTTGTCTCTATGTTGTCCTCGTTGTAATTAATTTTGGTCACGGCCACAAACCCGTCGGCGTTTTCCCGCAGCTCGACGTGCACGTTCAGCACCAGCTCTTTGGCGCTTTTCGGGCCGGAGATGAATTTGGAGAAGAACTGCCGGGCATACAAAGCGCGTGGTTTTGAAAAAGGGTCGCTTGAATTTTGAAATTAAAGTGGATTGTAAAGTCTCTGGACCTTTTTTTTTATTTTTAAATGCGATTTTTATTTTTGAATTATGTGCTAAAAAGTGAAAGATTTCTAAAAAAAATGTTTTAAATCCAGATTTTTCATTTTAATCATTTCAAAATATATAACATTCAAACGAGGATAAATTTTAAGAATGGTTTTGCAGCTTAAACTGACTTATAATTTGAAGTTTTGAAGAAATTGATTAATGGCCTGCATATTTTTTTTTTTTTTTTAGATATTTTTGTGAATAAATTGTACACCAAAATTAATTACACAAGCCTCAATAATTAACCTGATAAATTATTGCTGAGTGAGACACACATCAAGCTTTTTCAGTATAAATTGCTGCCAGTGCATTTAATTAAGCACCGTTGTAATCCACTTTAAAGTATCACCTTAAAGCTCCGCGGCGTCTCTCCCGGTTCGTACCAACCCTCAAACAAATAGGCCTTGCCGTTGTAGTGGATTTGCACCCCAAAATTCATCTTGTTCGTTCCTTCCTCTTTGCTGTAGTCGCCCATGATCTTCAGTGACCTAAAATTTCATTAATTCAAAATATTTTGACTTCAAATTTTCAAAACCGACTGGATGTATTGCATAGAGGAGTCGACGTGAACTTCAATACTATTCTTTTGGTAATTGACGGAGCCTCTGGAGTTGGCGTAAGTCTCGTTGTTGTAAATTGCACTGAATTGGTAACTGTCCAGGACAGACCGTTCACCCGCAATGTCCCTGACCAATGTGCCGCCCACGACGAGCGATTTCAGTTTGTCGTAAGGAGAAGTCACTGTGACGGTCACCGCGTATTCTTTCGGTGGTTCAAAGTTCCACTCGAACTGCACGTCAAACTTGATCGGGTCTTCTTTAAAAACGAGCACGTTGAATGTGAGAGTTTTCATTTTAGAGTCTTCTCTCTGCAGCACTTGCACTCCCCCGATTTTAAACTTGGGAATGTCAAAGTAAAGGCTCCTGACGTCCACCTCTGAGCTGAAGTCGATCAGGCCGTTATTATCCGCCTAGGAATTATAATTATTATAATTATTAATTTTATTCTTACTTATCCAGTTGTTGAGATCAAATTTTTAAATTCAATTTTGGGAAAAATTATTACATCACCACGAGTGAGAATTTTGTTGGAACAGTTGGATTAAAACAATTTTGTTTTTTTTTGGTTGACTGCACTTTTTGTGTGAAAATATTGCAATTTACCTTTAAATATAAATCGAGGTCCGCCGTATTATTTCCAGCAGCTCCGTCGAATACCACGTGGTAGCCGCCGTTTTCCGCAGCTAAAGTGCCATTCAAATGCACCAACCGCAAAACTTCCAGCGGCGAGTGAATGTGGAAAATTCCGTGCCGAACGTCACTTTTCTTAAGTAAATTCTTCTCCCTCTTGTAACCGGCCTGGAATCCCGTCTGCAGAAATTTTTAATAATATAAGAAAATTTTAAATAAATTTCTTAATTAATCTTTTTACGTCGATCCAATTCTCGTTGTGCTTGAGGTTGAGTCTCGTCTCCACTTGGTAAACTTCATCCTCCGTGTCCATGAAATAGTAGAGATGGTGCTCAACTTGTCCCAGTTCCTTCCAGGGTGTGCTCAGAGAAAGATCATTTTTGACGTTGAAGAAATCCTAAAAATTTAATTTTATTTATTTAATATTTTTAATTATTTTTACTTCTACTCCGAACCTCCATCTTTAAAGTGTCATTTAATGAAATCAATCCCTGAGGCAGGCTGATTTTTACGTTGGTCAAATAGAGTTTGGGAGAAATTTCATGAACGAGTAGCGTGCTGACCACCGGCGGGTAAACGATTGTGTCCACTTGCGCCTGGACACTCCAATACAAGGGATCTTCCGTTTCTTCCACTTCGTATTCATCAGGGAGGTTTTCATCTTTTGCCTCTTCCTCGCTTTTCTCTTCTATGAAACCGTTGTTCGGCGACTTTGTCACTCCCTGAAGTGTGACACCTACCTGATTTTTTTAAATAAATTTTATCAATTTATAAAAAATTAAAATATTTTTTACAAACCCTCGCGTCAGCAATTGTGATCGAAGCCTCCGCGTCCAGGTTGTCAACCTCCTTAATAAATTTGACCACAACTCCGTTTTTCTCGTATCCAGGCAGTGGCGTGTAAACTATGAAACTGAACACGAAATTCGTTTTCGACTTGTACTGCCACAGACCACTGAGACCGACGTTGTACTCATTGAAACTTGCTCTCAAGTCCACCTAAATTCAGGAAATTAAGCTTTATTTAATCAATTACCGTTAAAAGTATATCATTTACGTGATCTTTGGCCGCTTGTCCTCTAAAGGACAGTTTCGTGAGCAGGTCAAACGGCGATGCCAGATCCAGGATAATGTCAAACTCGGTCAAACTTTCGATTTTCAGCAAAACCTCAGCTCCTAAAGACCTGTTCGGCTTACTGAATTGCGCCACAAAGTGTCGGTTTCTCTCCGAATAACCGAGGCGCGCCAGGAAGGCAAAAGTTCTCGGCTCAGGTGTCGTTGCGTTCATAATCAACATGTTCTCGGCGAAACTTTCAAAATGCCCTTTATTAGAAAAAAAAAATTATAAATTGAAATTCCTCAAAATTAAAAAGTATTACCATTCAGGTCAATTCTGAAGTTTTTCTCCTCCAATTTCATGTCTGCTACACCGTGAATTTCTGACTCGCGCACCACAATTTTTCCTAACAATTTTCCGCTTTTGTATCCCTGGAAGGGCGATATCATGTCGACCTTGCCCGTCAGGTTGGTGAACTCTTCGTCCTTCAGCACTTTCCATTCGCTCTTCATCAGTAAAAGTCTTTCTGGGCCCCTCTATTTATTTACAAAAAATTAATTTGGAAAATTATTAGGAAAAGTCAAAAGTACCTGTAGGTGGACGTCTGTTTTCACTGTCGAGGCGGTTTGATTGTGGATCACGTGCGAGGTAATGGATGGAATTCCCTCAATGGTGCTCACAATGGTGCCGTTGTAAATGCAGTAAACGTAATCGTCATTGTTTTCGTAGTGACCAGAAATGTTATAGATCATATTTTGATTATTCTGCCAGTGAAGGTCACCGCCAAGGAGGAATTTTCGCGTGCCATAGTCCAACCTTTTCACAATTTTATTACATTAAAAAAAATTAATTAAATAAAAATATTTACTCTGTATTAAAGTTGGTCTTCCTCCAGTTGGCAAAAGGTGTCAGCAACTGAGCTTTTAAGATAAGCTGTTGGCCACTTGAGTGAACCTGTCTTTGAAAGTTTCCAGACGCTTCAATAAACTGGTCGGGAGCCCAATCACATTGAGCCAACGCGTTGAAATTAATTCCTAAATTATTCAGTTAAAAAAAAATCTAAAAAATTCAGCCTTTCTTACCTTTGAGTGCTCCTTTGAAGGCAACGTTGACCCTTCTGCCGGGATAGGAAAGGGAGCCAGCAAGACTGTAGTTTTTACTTTCAGGATTTTCAAACACAAATCCAAAACTGATTTTCTGCTCCGGGTCTCGATTCACGTCCCACTTGACCTCGACGTTCATTTTCTTGTGGCTAAGCGTGTTGAGCCCATCAAAAGTTATGGAAACGTCGCGCATCCTGATGAAGTTATAAAAAACTATAGCATTTTATTTTTATTTGAAAATTTTTCGCACTTGTCCAGGTGCATGTCGATCGTGACGAGTTTCTCTTCCTTCAGGTCTGCAATCAGGGTCACTGTGTAAACCTGAGTTTTGTATTTGAAGTCGAGCATGATTTCGTGAATCGATTCCGTCGGCGTTTTGTACTTCATGCCCACGGCGTAGATGTTTTTGCCTTGAATTGCCTAAATTTTTATAAACTTCAGTTTAAGAATTAAATTGATGTTTTAAAATTACCTGAATTTCTGCCTTTAAACTCGATCTCTCGTATTGGTACTTGGCGTTGATCATCGTTTCCTCGTAACCTTCCGTCTCCGAAGACACCACCAGCTTCAGGTGGTAACTGATGAGGGCCGGTATCCGCTGGCCTAGAAGTTTCTTGTCGTGGAAAGTACCAGACACCTTGTGCTGGGACCCGGTGAACCAAACCACATCAACATCAATCTAAAAGAAATTTCAATTAAAGTAAACAAATTTTTATTTGGAATATATGTAAATTTTTGCAAACCTCATACTCATGTAACTGCTCCTTTTCCTTCTCCTGCGCCTGATTTTCATCTAGATTTTTTTCGTGGACGGTTCCGTTCACCACCATTGGATGGAAAGTTGGTAATTTTATCACAGCAATTCCTTCTTGGTACCTTTTGTGCTTCTTCCTGTACACGCTCGCCAGCATTTCCTTATCTATAATTTTTCAATTATAAATTTTTAAATAAATTTTTTACATATTTTTTAACCTACCTTGAGCATATCTGAGACTAGCCGTGGCATTTTGCTCGTTTTCCTTGATGAAACCGTCAAATGCCACCTTGAAATCGATTTTCTTGATTGGCTTTATTATCTCAAAGTGCGTGGATAATTTCTGCATTTCGATGGACAGCTGCTTCAAAAACACCAAACTGACGGTCCAGTTGCTCTCGTCCTGCTGACTCCCTCTCAAGTCCAATTTAAAGTCCGTCAGAGTTTGGATTTTCTAATGTATTTATAAATATTTAAAAATTTCAATCTCTTGTACAATTCAACCCACCACATATTTCGCGGCCCCTTCGATGTTGAAGTAGGGGTAGGCCGTGCTCTCCAATCTGACCTCGCCCTGTTTCTGCTCCATGCCTTTGGTGCTTTTCTGGCGCAGGTCGAACTCAATCCGGGCCTTCTCAGGTTTGGCCGCCTTCAGTTGATAATTGAAGGTGACGTTCGCGGCCAGGGAAGAGTCGGTCTTTTTTATGTAGCCGGTCATGTTGGTGCTCAAATAACTCGACAGGGTCATTCGCAGATTTACCTGCCACTGAGTGATGCCTTTTTTCTCTTCCCTTCTCACGCTTCCTTTTTTTGGCAAAAATAAATTATTCATTAAAATCTATTCTTTTTTGTTACATTTACCTCCGAGAACAGCGAGATCGGTTTTGTTTTGCGCCAGGTAGACTTTGGGGTAGTAAATGTGTCCGTTTTTCGCCTCTTCTCTGCGCAGGCCTATTTCTGCCACGATTTGCTTTGTGCCATTCATTGACAGGCCGAATTTAATGTGTCTGTCCGTAGGAGTGTTCAAGTATTGTCCTGTTTAAAAATTTTAAAAAATAATTTAATATTAGACAAGAAACAATTTTTGTATTGTTTTAAATTTTAGTGATTTAAAAGGTCTTAATTTGATAGAATAATTTTTTAGATTCACAGTGAAATTTAAAAAATGCTTTATTTTTTAAATTTAAATTATTATATTACCGTGAGCTTCCCACTTAGTCTGGCTCGTCTGCAGAATGAGTTGGACGCTCGTTTTGTTGTCCCGGTTGATTTCCAGCCGAGTGCTGAATTGTCTCGGCTTACTCGAACCCGGAGTGTCAAAAGTCAAACTCAGCAGAGACGAGTTCTCTTGGGCGTCCCACTTGAATTCGACCAAGTACTTTTTAACCGTGGGGTCGGTTTTCAGCAGGTTGGCGCTGAACCTGACCGGTCCGGTGAAGGGCAACGGCGGCACAGGGGAAGACGAGTTGAGCTGCGCGACCGAAGTGTTCGGGTATTGGTAGTCAATGCAGAGGCGCAGGCCGAACATTTGCTCCAGGGGGGCCCACGAGCACACCTTGTCCTGCGTTCGACCCTCGGTGACCCCTTCCTGAAGCTCATTTTGACCGTCGCGTTTCAAAAACAACTCAGACCTAATTAATAATTTGATATTTTTATCTTAAAAATGATTTTAAATTTTTATCAATGCTGAATTTTGGAAATTTAATTAATTGAAAAGAATTTATTTCTAAATTTTGCTTACTTGGCGCTAAATATCTCCATCCTATCTTTGGGAAGGCTGAATGAGGCGCTGACCAGACTCTTTCCTCGCACCTTGACCTGACATTGCACGGCTGCGGCCGAGTAGAGATTGGACTTGACCTCGATGTTGGTCTTGGTGTAGTAAGCGTCCACTGACATAGACCCTGTCACTTCCACAACAACACTGTAATTTATTTAACAATTAAAAGAAATCTTTGATCAAATTTCCTTTTTGTACCTTGGCTTCACCAGTCCCTCAATGTCCATTTCTCCTGTTTCGAGCAACTTGGGTGCCCTAAATGAGCCTGTAATTTTTGTTAATTAATTATTTTTTTATCCTTAGTATTTATTTAAAGAACCTGAGGTTTTGAAGTCTACGGCTGCTGTACCTATAGCATTCAAATTTATAGGCAAACCGACTCCAGTCGGAACGACATACATCGAATCGAGGAACATTGTTGACTTTTCAAAGTTCACCTCCTTCATTTTATTTAAAGTAATAAAAAGAATTAATCGAGTAAAAAATTCCATACCTTTTCATTCAGCAAGCTTTTGAATCTGGACATTGGGTTGACAAAGTCGAACAGGGTTTTAACTTGGTCCTCCCCCTCAAAATTCAAGTACTTCAACTCGTTTCCGAAAATCCTCATTCCAAAAGTGACCTTTGTTTTAAAGTTAGAAATTTTTCAATTTAAAATATTCAATTTGAATTACTTTTGGCTTTTTTCCTTCCGTAAAAAGATCGTTGCCTTTATTCGCGATCTGCTCCTTCAACCCGTTCGTTTTGGTGTCTCTTTTGATTCGCAACAGTTGCTTCACTTGATCAACTTTTTCCTTCACTTTCGTCTGGCTGTAATTACTGTTGGGCCCGAAAAAGGATTCAACGTAACGTTCAAATCCTTCAACGCGACTGGAAATCTTTTAAAATATTAAAAAATTTTAGAAAAAATTTCTAACTAAAAAAAATTTACCTCCAGAATGTTTACTGATTCGCCAAACATGTCCAGAGTGAAGTTTAAATTTCCCGACCGCGGAACGTAAGACTTCGGGGAAAAAATTATTCCACCCTCAACATTTGCACCTAATTAAAAAAAAATTAATTTAGAAAGTTTTATAATTTTTCTAATTTTTATAAATACCAATATTGTATCCCTCATGATAGACGGACTTTTCAAAGTGCTGCGAAAATTTTCTGACGTCGTGACTGAATTTTGTTTTCAGGTTGGCGTCGGTGAGGAGGCCTTGGATTTCGACTCGGCTGGGAATTGACGATTTCTTCAGACTTTCCAAGTGGCTCATGATGAACGAACCGACTGCAGGACATGAAAAATTAAATCAGGTATGTCACTTTTTCAGTCCTACCTTGGTTGACCTCTTCCGTCTTGAGCATGTGCTTGACCGTTTTGATCAGTTTGTAACTGGGGCAGCGCATGACCTCGATGTACGCAGCGATTCGCAATTCCGAGTCGACCTGCGGGTCCTTCAAAAGAGAGTGCAGGTAGCTCCGATCAAAGTGGCAAGGCAGTCGCCTAAAATTATGCAAAAAAGAAAAATGAAAATGGAAAAAATCAAAATTTAAAACATTTTTAAACGCAAATTTTTTTACCTGTGTGCTTCAATCGCAGTCACTCGGGTCTCCATCTGCAAAAGGTCGTTTTCGACGCAAATCTGCAGGGTCTGGTTTAGTCTTGGCGTGTTGATGCCCATATTGCCCAGCGCCTTCAGCGTCGAAACCACCTGAAGAAATTAATTTAGTAAAAATGTTGTTTTTATTTGAATTAGCTGCGACTTTTATTGCGTTGGTTTGCTTCGTTTTGGTTTGGCACTCGTTGCGAGTGGCTTGCTGCAGGTGGTAGACAATTTCCAGCACCGCCGAGTGCGAGTCTGCGTCAGGGTGCAACCGTCTGTACGAGTGAACCACGGCCGACACGGCCAGCACAGCTTCCACCTGCAGCTTTTCATACTTGAGCAGCGGCCCTACCAATTCTAGGGTCGCTTCGTCAGGACTGAAATTTATTGAAAAAAAAATCAATTTTCATATTTTCAATTTAAACAGAAAACGTACAGTGGGTTCAGGGCGATTGAAAAAAGCCAGTCTCTGACCTCATCAGCTGGAAGTTCGTCCTTTAAAATAATGTCTTTCATGACATTGAGGGCAGCGTTTGTGCCCAGGTGTGGCAAAGCACTTTTCAGGTGTTTTCTGGAATATTATTTTAGAAAATGTTCATCTTCTATTGGGAAAGTAATTTTTGTACCTTCCATAGGAACAAACGCTTTGGGCTCTGGTATAAAGTTGGGAGAGGGCCTGGACGGTGAGGACTCTCAAGGTTTGGATTAGTTTTTTAAAAGAACGAGAAAAACCTTCTTGCAGACCGTCCTGAAAGTAAAAAAGGAATTTAATCATTGGAAATTTGGTAAAAATATCTATTGAAAATTTCCATTAAAACTTAAATACTTTTCCAAGTAAAATCCTTAGCAAAGAAACGGAATAAAAAGGCTATTTCTCTTGCTACGCTCTCAAGATTTGTCAATTTTAACAGTTTTTTTGGAGATAATTTTTTAAAATGGATCTCTAACTATAATTTACAACTCCAAAAAGTACTCGTTAATGTAATGGTTAGGAAAGCTCCACAAAAGTTTTTTGCAATTATGAAAATATTGATTTTTTTAAATTTCTTTATCGCCCGATTTAAAAGTTATGCAACTTCTGCAACAGCCGAGTCGAGCCAGTTGCATAACCTTTTTTCTGAACCCCGGCTCTATTATTTTCATTTCAACTGACCGAACTCATTTGGCACAAGCCCTTGAGCAAGTCCCTGGAGGTCTTGAGCTCAGACGAGGCCGGTTTGGGCGTCTGCCTGTGGTCAAAGGTCAGCTTGGTGCGGATTTCAACCTGATCAGGTAACGGCACCACCGTGGTGACCTCTTCGATCAGTGCGATTGTCTGTCGCACCTCCGTCTTGGCGCCTCGCTGGTGGTTGGAGAAAGGTTGGAAGAGGTGAGACTCGCTGCACTCGATCTTGCTGTACACGTTGTGGTCCACGATGATGGAGCACTCGGCGCTTGACGACATCAGAGGAATCGAGTTGTACTTCTAAAAAAAAAAAAAATCAAAATTGTTGTTATAGAAAAAAATCCCTTTAGAGATATTTTTACAAATATTTAAGTAATTTGAATCGTTTCTTACTGAAGGAAACTGATAAGGAGTGGTTTGGATGATCGAGTGCTGCTGGAATCGGGAAGTGCAGGAGTTCATGTGCTTGACCTTCTTCAGCACAAGACTCGTCTCTTTCGGCTTCACTAGAGTGTATTCAGTCTCACAGTCGCCATTCACGTCAGTCTACAACATGCAAAGCCTTTTTAAAAAATTTTAATTAATTTATTTTATCTTGGAAATTTTATCAAAATCTTTGCCGTTTTGTCCAACAATCAAGGATGTGATTTAAACCAATTTAAACAATTAAATTGAATAAAACTAAAAGTAATAATTAAATATAATTAAAATTTGTATCGTTCTTAGACCTACTTATTTTTGTTTAAAAAGAATTAAAGCCGAAAAAATAAATCTTATTGTTAGTTTTTTATAGAAAAATAATAATTTAACCAATATACATTATAATCACTGGTAATTCAAAGAAACTCTTCAGCTGAATCAATTGAATTTTTTGGGCCAATTTTAAATCTCTTTTTTTTTACAACTTAAATTTCAAAGAAATTTAACAAAACTATTTAGGGCTTTTTTTAATTTCCTGTTTTTGTATTATTTTTGTGTCGGATGTGCTCTCTCGGCGATAAAAAAGATCACGTGAGACTGACCTCTGTGGCGATGTGCTCGACGTCAAACCGCTCCATCGTGTTTTGAAACGAGGACAAAATGCCTCGCTTGAAATTCAGCACCCACGACAGCTCGCCCGTCCTCGGGCACAACTCGTCGATCAGTCCATCCTCAAAAGAAAATCTGCTCGCCGCAAAATTGAAATTCCTGTTTAAAATTTTAAAAAGTTGAGAATAAATACCTGAGAGGGTATTCTTCCAGGGCCTTGGCAAAGGTGGCCGAGTTTGCTGAGGCGCCCGCTCCCTTGAACTGCAACCCGTCAATTGTGGTCGTCTCCAATATCGACGTTTTGCGCAGCTAAAATAAAAATGGAAAAAATAATAATTTAATTTATCATGCAAATTTTGTTAATTTAAAATTTATGTCAAATTTAATTATTTAATTTCAATTTTACGGTACCTCCATATAACCCTCGCAGCTTGTGATGAACTTGATGGAGATTTCCGACTCGATCCACAAGGACGAGGCATTTCGGTTGGTGCCATAGAAAAAGGTGGTCACATTTGCGCTGTATTTGTACAAATAGTCCGTCTCGGCGCTGTACTTGAACTTTGTCGTCTCTGCCAGTGATTTGGCGACACAAATGAGAAAAATGTCATATCCATTTAATTTTTGTTTTAAAATTAGTTACCAAAAACTATTTAATACAGAAATTACAAAGTTCTGTAAAAATTTATAGCATGAAGAGATTATGTAACCACGTTTTTTTTAACCCAAATTGCTAATTAATATTCCATTTCTTGTATGTTTTGAACCCAATTTTTACCCTAAAGTAAGAAAAAATAATAATTATATTAATAATAGTTGCTCTCAACCTAATACAAGTTATTCAATATTTTGTCTTAGCAAAAATTTTGTGACTTAGATAAACTTGCACAATTTTTGTGATTTTTCCGTACCTATATTTCTGCCGTTGGTAAAAATAAGTAAAATTGAATATTTTGTACTATTTGCACGTGATAAATGATAAAAAAATTTAGTCTTTTTCTTACCTGAGCATGTGGGATTTCCGCAGATGCCAGGGTCTCTGAGAGGGGCTGCAATTTAACATTGACGCATTATATTTTTTCCAATGATTTTCTTTTCTTCCAGACGATTCTTTGCTTTGGAGAAAACAACTTACTGGCCGCGAGTGCCGCCCCTGCGAACAGCAGCAGATGGACCACAATTTGGAGTCTCATGGTCGCTCTCAGTCTCGCATGTCCCCCGAGTAAAAGGGCCCAAATCACACAAAAATCACTCTATGGCAGCTCCAGCAGCGAAGAAAGAAATGCGTGTGAATTGACGCGATAAGCAGGATGTTGATTTGGATGACCGCGTTGTAAAAGGCAAAGGGCGTGATGATAAGGGGCCAAGGGTCACTCAATCCCCCTGGCTGTCCAGTTACGTCAGTAAACATGCTTGGATGAGAAAAATTGTGGCATTTTGTGCTTATATTTGTGTTCTTTGCACTCTTGATTCATTTTGCGATTTTCTCTTTGTCATGAAGAATCGATAATTAATGTCAATCATTCTGATTGAAAGAAAAAAATTTAGAATTATTGGTTGTTGTCTTTTGTACATAACGGTACATCACTTTTTTTATATTTCTCAATTTGGATAAAAAATGCAACAAATATTCCATTTGTATTTTTATAATGCTACCATAGAAATCAATATTATATCATTTTTGTCATCAAATGCAAATTTTTGATAACAATAACAGGAAAGGAGAACTGAGAAACAAAAAATAAAAACAATTTAACAATATGTAGGATATGGAAATTAAAAGATTGGGCTTTTCCTCGTTGTGAAATTGTTTTTATTCAAAAAACAAAACGGCGTTACCAGTTTTGGTCACAATCCGCGATCCTTCTTTAAGAGCAAGCAAAATAAAAAAAAAAAAAATAACAAAATTAAAGAACTGCATTTTAACATAAAAATTCTAATCTTACAAATTGCTTGTTAAGATGTGGCTCTTTTTTTCCAATTTTGCTAATTTTTTTCCTTGCTCATGGTTGCCGACCGTGACCAAAACTGGTGGAGCCGTTGTATTTTTGAGTGAAAAAAAATTTTGCAACAAGGAAAAGCCTAATCTCTTCATTTGTATGATCATCTCAAATTTTAATTTCTTCCGATGCTGGATACGTTACATAAATCCCATAATTTTTCTCTGTATTTCTAATGCATGTCAAAGTTGTGGATGGCTTAAAATATAAAATCATAATTTTCACAGATAAACTTTAGGTTTATTTCATCATATTCCAGAAAAGTTATATAAAAAAAGATGCTGTACAATGATCGACTTCAATTTTGGTAAACCTAAAATGGCTAAATGCACATATTCAAAATTCAAAGCATACAATCTCTTTTTTGTAGTTGTCTCAAAGTAAGAAAGGAATACATATTGAAATGTTATTAAACGTGTAATCTATCGCACACTAAAGAACAAAATTTTGTCGATTTCGGAGCGGTTAAGATTTTACTCACAGATTTATATAAAAACATAAAACTACACTCGAGACTGTTTTTTTAACTAATTAACTGATTTGCGGGTTTTAAATGCCGGCAATTATGCTGTTTTTTAAAGTCATTTGTTCACATCCATGAGAACTTCTTGTTTCAACAAGAGCAGAAAGTAAGTTGGTGGCCACCGTCTTGATAAACGTTGACTTCAAGTACATCTCCGTCTGTCATTCCCATTTCGTCAGGTGTGTTGGTTTTATGGACTCTCAGTCCGTCAAAGTGAAATCTGAGGGAATCCAGCTCCAGGTTCTAAACAAATAAAAACAATTAAAATCTATTTGAAATTACAAAAGTTACAAAAACAAAAATAACAAAATCAAGTTTATGTGTACCAGTCTTTTGGCGTAAGCCTCCATCAGCTTCTTGAAGGTATTTGTAGGTTTTGTCTGAAAGACAATGACAGTCTGGTCGCTCATTGCCATGGCTTTGATTGTGATGAGCTTTTTCTCCGGCTTGACATCCTTCTGGAAAAAGCACAGAAAGCGTTAAGTTGAAAGACCCCGTCTCCAAAAACAGCCACTTCTTTCTCAACTCACCTCTTCATCAGCGCTCATTGTCACTTAGGAGTCTTTGTGAACCTTGGAGGAACAAAAGTCTGCAAAACTGTTCTCGAAAAGTGGTGCAATTTGTCAAAAATCGGCGGTGTCAGAAGGCAGAAATCAGTCGAAAACAAATAGAACGGCGTGTTTTGACAGCAGCTGACTCTCTTTGCCGCCTGCTTAATCGCGCGTTCTGATTGGTCGGCGTCACGCGCGATATTTAAATTACAATGGGGGCGTGAACAAACGCAAAAGCAGTAGATTTTCAGTCGATTTATTTTCTTTTTGCCAAAGCAGAAACGGAAGGTAATTTTAAAATTTAGTTTACTTGGAAGTCTGTTTACTAAATTCTTGCTCAATAATGGAAATTAATTTTCTTCTTATGGAATTTTTGGCAAGGTTTTTAAATTTCTTCGAGTTTGCGCAGTGAGCATCGCGATTGGCAGCAGCATCAACAAACTCAATCTCAGCAATCAGCATTCTCAGCTCTCAGCAGCGGACGAATACAAACAATACCAAGACTTTCTCGTCCGTTGAATTTTGTAATCAGATTTTCTGGTCTGAGACTTTTAAAAAATTCCATCGATCAAGCCTTAATTGAGATTAAATATCATAGAACATTCTCTCGGCCACTCCGCACTTGGCAGAAACAACATGAGCAACCGCATTTCCAACCTTCTTAGACGAGCAAGAAGGACAAGGCCGACGGTGCAGCCCGACGTCTATGAGGTCAGTGACGATTCTGCCGATGAAGATGTGGACGAAGAGGAGTCGGACGAGGTCACCGAACTGAGCCAAGCTTCCGGGCCCTTAAATACATCATTGAACACGTCCTTTAGCCAGCAAGGTAATTCAGTTAATTTTTTTTATTTAATTTAATTTATTTTTCAATTTTCAAACATCTATTATTTTCAGAGTGTTCAGTGTGTCTGTCTTCGATTGAGTTGCCAATTCGGTTGCCCTGCACCCACTACTTCTGCTACACCTGCGCCAAAGGACTGGCCCAGACGAGCAGGGCGTGCGCGATGTGCCGAAGGCCGATCCCAAGTGACTTTGTCCACGACCCAGACAAGTATGTCGTGGGAATCATAAAAGAGCCAAATCTCGAGCACGCCTGGTTCTACGAAGGGGCCAATGGTAATTAGGCTACACATAATCACTCGAATCAAAGGGAGAAAATTAAAATCTAATTGTAATAATATAAGTCAAAAGTTTAACAGTTTGAGGAACTTTTAACGACAATTTTAGTTTTAATTTTGCTCCCTTATTTCAAAAATGACAAATATTTATTTTAGCTTGACACAAAAGTTTTTAATATAATTTAAGATTTAAATTTTTTTTAAATCAAATTTTATTTCGAAGGTTGGTGGATGTACGAGCCCCGGGTTCAGTCTGAGATCGAGGAAGCTTTTCTCAAGGGAGACCAGAAAGTGGAGGCGTTGATCGCTGGACATCTGTACGTCCTGGACATGAAGGATAAAGTCCAGTACAGAAAGGACCTCCCTTCGAAGCGCAGGCGCATGAAGAGGGACTTGCCTTCGTCCAGCCACAAAGGCCTTGCTGGCTTGAGACAAGAAATGCGACCCGAGTTTCCTCCTGGGAAGGAATAGTTTTAGTTTTTGTATTCGAAAAAGCAAGACGAAGTGATGGGAAATTCCTCATCATTGTTGATTGTGGATTTCCGATTTGATATGTTTACTGCTTGCTCTTCGTTTTAAGGCTGACCTTGATTTTTGACCCCTAAATTATTTAAACCTTGATGATAATCAATGTTTGTTCACGAGGGGGAAATTTTAAGGAATATATTAATTTTATTGTTGAAAAAACAAGACAATTGCAGGAAAAAAGGAATTATCTTTATCAACAATCCTTATTTAGCTCTCGGCTTTCTTGATTGGTCTTAACACTTATCACATTTTTAATTAATTTTCGATATGTTGTTAACTTACAAAATTGTCTTCTGCAACTTTCCCTTATAACTCCCCAAACTCAAAATCTTAATCGATTTTTTTTTTTAATTTTAATTCCTCAGCTTTGCCACTACTTCAGGGTTTAGATATTTTTATTTACTAGATTTTCAATTAATTTTCTCTACACAATAAATTTTGAGCATGGACTCACATGGAATATTGTTATTTTACTTTGCATTGAAGTTGGATTTAACTGATATGATATAAATGAATTTGGACATTGGTATCTATGGACATTGGTATCTATAAAAGCCAGTATGTGTATATATATATAAAAAAAAATATATTTCCAAAATGATAATATTCAAAATCGTCTTTACTTGTTATTTTATGTTACCTGTTATAATCTTTACTTCAGGACAAACAGCCCAATTAATTCTGATGCTGGTTGATTTGATATTGTATTTTAAACTATATTTGCATCAATTTTAACATTTTCAGGGAGAAAGCCTACAAGCTAACTCTGATAATGTTTTTTATAGAACTTATCGTTTGTGGAATATAATTTTCACCTCCTAATGGGCCAGATTGAAAATCTTCAACAAATGTTCACCAAATAATATGTTCCTTAATATTGGGTTCAAATTTATATGGAGCTTCCGTAAAATGTTTAAAATGAGGGAATCAAAACCTTAAAATAACAAATAAAAATTGTTACTAAGAATAAAAATAATCTTAAATTTCAGCATCAGAATAAATAAATAAAAATTTGCAGGACATTTAAGAACTTATTTTGAAAAATGCAATAAATAATTGAAATGGTTGTTTTAGCGCCAGTTCATTTAAATTTAAAAAATGCATATCCACCCGAAAAGCCGTAAAACCAGTGCGAACAAAACACATATAAAGGCGCCGTCGGCCACTCGCTCGTTTAATCTCCCCCGCGCAATATAATATGTGTGCACAGTACATCCGTCAGTGTGTGCTGTTGTGCGGTTGTTTACGCGTGCCCATCTTTGTAATTAGCCCCGCCGACCCTGATGTTCTTTTTTATTATGTATGTGTGTGTGTGTGCAGCTCGGCGTTTCATTAGTTGGCAGCTTCCTATCCCTATTCATCCGGAACAATGCGCGAGACCAGACAATGCAGGTTGCCTATGCATCACGCAGGCGTCGTGACCCACCCCGTCTCGTGGTCCGATCTTTTTCGCTCCTTCTCTCCACCGGGCTGTGCAAATACAAATCAGATCCTCTGATGATTGATTGGCGCTAATGGAGGGTGCTCTGCGCGCGTTATTTTTTGTCGCCCACACCATACACGCACGTTTTGTTGCCGGCGGTGCGGAAAAGCGAAAGGGGTGCCGCACCGGCCGCTTCCTTTCACTTTATCCCACTTGCGCTCATCAAGGATGGGTTCGGGCCCCCGCCGTGTGAGCAAAAATGTGATTCGAAAGAGAAACAAAAAAACCGACGCTAATTCTTGTTTTTTTTTTTTTCGGTGAAGTAAAAAGTTTCATTCTATCAGAAAGGTTTTTTTACTCGACATGGGAGAAGAGGCTTTGATGACTTTTAAATTGGTCGAAAAAAAAATTAATAAAATTGTAGTAATCATTTAAAACAAAGCGAAATCTTAAGCAAAAATTTAAGTGACAGTTTCAGTTAAAATCGTCTGCAAGCAAAATATCATTAGGTCTTTATATTAAAATATTTTATTCGCGAATTCCTTTAAATAAAAGCTAAAATAGGTTATTTTAATTAAATTAATTCTAAAGTTGAAGATAAATTTCAAAAAAAAATAATTGAAAATTACTTAAATTATTAAATGCAAATGTTAATATATTAAATAATAAAACAGTTCATGTTTAAAAATATTTTCAACAAATTTAAAACACCACATTATTTTGCTTCAGTATATTTTTCCATTTTTACTTCTTCTTCCTGGAAATCCCAAATTATGTAAAATAGAGCTTGCGGAATTTAACTATCTGTTTTCACAGTTTAAAAACTGGTCTTTTATTCTTATATTTATTTTGCAATTATAATTAACTTGTAGCAATTAATCTCACAGTTTCACCAAAAATAATTTTGCTCCACGTACGATATTTAATTCACTCTTTGTTATAGTAAACCATTCGTCATTTATTTTCCCTAGAGTAAATTGAAAAACAAACAAGTCCAGAACTTTTCCAATCACCATTAATTCTCTTTTTGCTGTTTGAGAGAGCTCGCGACAAAGCAAGTACCTCTGTACATCAAAGCGAGAGACACTCATTGAAAGATGAGAACCGGGCCCTCATGCGTATATGACTGATGACGTGAAACTGTAAAAATCGCAAAACAAAAAATATTCAAATCAATCATTAGCATTTTTTTTGAATGCTTGATTGAATGCGAGTTTTTACAAATATGCCTCTAAAAACATTTTTTTAATAAAATATGAGCACGAGTATTAATTTATCTCTATCTCGATGGCCCAGAGCGAAAGAATAATAAATTGCGCCGACCGTTGGTGCTCATTAAAAAATGAAGCGCGCGCGGAACGAATTTTTTTGTGCAGGGCTGTAATTTAAGCACTTTTGGCTTCTTCCGGTGCCACAGAATATAATTACAGGGGCCACTATAGAACGTGTATGGGTCATCCAATTTAGAAGTTGGACCAACTTTCCAAGAGTAACTAACTCAGCCGAACGAGGGAGGATGGCCGTCCAGGGAACCGCTCTTTAATCTGAAACATTGACATGGCGTGACGGATACGGAAACACGTCAGCGAGTGGTGGACTAAAAATCGCAATAGCAATATTTTAATCAAGAACTAATTTTTAATTTAATTTTGAAAACTGTGGTGAAAAGAAGCAAAAAATATTAATCTTAAAGTATCTGCTTGGGTTGCTTTTGAAGAAATTAACATTAAAAAAAATGTATATTTTTGCGTGTAAACTTTTTGAATTCTCTAATTCCTCTAATATGATTGTTGTTTATCTAATTGGCTAATTGCAATTTTCTATAAACATTGTTAAAAATTGAATTTTAGGTGCAAATGAAAAGAAAATCAAAACCTAATAATTTTTGTAATTAAAAAGATTTATTTACATAAAAAAATTAAATAATAAAATTGAAAATTTATTTAAGAATATTTTAATCTTCTAAATATTACTCCTTAAAATGTTTTAATTTTAAAATTTTTTTTCATCAAACTTTTAGAGCCGCTGTTCTATTCTTTCCCTGCAAAATATAATCCTCCCTGCTCCAGCGACGGCGGCAGCGGGCGTCTATATTTTCATTAGAGGAACTAACTTTGCTTAATCCGACGTAAATCAGCTTTTATGAGTTCACCGCACCAGCGTCGACGCCATTATGCAAATTCCGTCCGATTATTTCCGCATTAACTGCACATGTGTGATTTTCAGATTAAATAAATATTAACCACGCGACAAGATACGATGCCTAAATTTCCCTTTGGAAATAAAATAAAAATATAAATTCATGAGACAAAAATAAGTTACGAGAAACTTTTGATGATGTCTGCCGAGTTCAACTCTGTTGGTGTTGATAACCGACCGCGAGTGCTAAAAGCCAATATTATTTATTATTCAAATTGCCTCCCAACACTCTCTGCTCAGTGGCAGCTTCAACTCTCTCGTCGAGGAGGAAACTTCGCCCGATGCCTTGGTCGATTTTTAAAAATGTTTTAATTGAGTCAAGAACTTTACAGAGGTGCTTTATAAGTTAGATCAAAAAATTATAAATTATGGCACTGAATTTTTAGCCAGAAACTAGTGTCCTATTTAATATTATATGTTATGAATTCTTTCAATTTATGAAGGAATTGAAATTGCTCAACATTGAAATATTAAATTTTACGTTTTTATAATAAATTAAAAATTAATAATAAATTTATTATAAAAATTAGCGAAAATTATATATTTTTTAAAAATACGTACACCCTTCTCAAAGTTTTTATTTTACTTTTCGCACATTAGTCCTCTGCCTTTCCCTGCCTCTTTTAATAATATATTTCACTGAAAATTGGCTTAATATGGATAAAACTCAACACTAGTTAATTTTCATAAATTGAGGAATCCAGGTGGAAAATACCGCTCATTAAAAGGTAAGCGGCAGCAACACACTTGACGAATATATTTCTGCATGAAGGACCCAACAAGTTAATCCACATTGCTGTAAAAATTATTATCGGAATTGCAAAATAACGCATGGCTGAGTTTTCCTGCACTTTGCAATTTACGCTAAAAAATAATGCGTGAGTTTATAATTGCATAGGGTACTTACAATTAGCTCAACTCTGTGTGTTAATTGCAGTGAAAAAAATTACAGCTCACTGACATCATGCAAATTATAAATTGTTGGCAATGGTCGGAAGCATAAACTTAGATTAGTGTTTCTGTAAATTATTAAATTTTTTATGGTACTGAATTTTTTTCAGTTCAAATATTTTGATCAAATATTATACCTTCAGTAATCAAAATCTTTTGGTATGAGCTTATTACTCTGAATGACTCTGAAGAATCATAATTTACTCTTCACAAAGGAAGACAAAATTCTTTATTTAACTTACATTTTAAATTCAATTTCAAGTCTCTACGACAATCATGGTCAAAAATTTTAAATTGTTGTCCAATAATTTCTAAAAATCTTTCACGTTGTAAGATATAATTAAATAGATGATAATTAATTTACAAATAAAATACAATAGGTAACTTTTTGGCCACCAAAAATAAAAATATTATCACTCTAACTTCTTCAATGTCTTCTGATAATATAATTGTAATTTAGAAAGGCTTTGTATTTGTTAACTTATTCATAATTTATTTGAATCGAGATGGACTGTAGATAATAAACCGAAAATGATAAAAAATATGAGAGCTCTTACATTAATAAAATCTCACTAGAAACACAATTTTATAATAAATTGCACCAAAAATATGAAGTGACTTTTTTCACTGGGTCTCTACTGCTTGTTCTGGCGTCGGGTCTTCCTGCTGCTGGGCGCGCTCGATAAAGTGCACCGTGCATTTTTAATGCGGCGACCTTGACCTCCGCGACCCGGCCAAGGCGGCAACAAGAAGAGCGCGAGAACTAGCAAGAGACCGACTAATTAATTTGCATACGGCCGGGCGGTCCCCGCGCTGGGACGAGGGCAGGCCCCTTATTACTTCGCAGTTAGGCAAATTGTTGAGCAACTGCGTCTAGCAGGTTGCATACTCGCGCAACTCCGCAGGCGATCGCTGATGAATATTAATTATGTTTATGCGCAGCAGCAGCGGCAGTGCTGTTGCCCGGATGGATGGTGATTAATTGAAACACTCGGGGTGCATGGTGAATTTCCACTGTTTTATTCAAGCGAATTATTCATTATCAGCAGCATTTGTCGCTCCGAACACGGACACAAAACATGCCGTTTTCCTCCACGTGTCGCGTTTTGTATATCATCAAAGGACTGCACCGGCATGACTGCGTGTACGTGTTTGTTATTCTTTTGTCCGCGAGCTACAATGGCGTTTATTTAATCGAGCGTATCTTTTTTTGTTCGCAAAACAATAATTCTCTTTTCACTTATTAATTACGGTTGATTAGCAGTCCGCTCGGGTAACGTAGGTGACGCACTTGAAACTAATAGGCGAATAAAAAGAATTGAGCAGAATTTTATTGATTAAAAAAAAAATCAATTCTACATACAAAGTTTTTCAATTCTAGTATTTCTTTTTCATTGGAGCAAAATAAGCTTAATTCAATTTATTGGAAAAAAACAAATTCAATCAATTTTTAATAGTTTAAAAAATTTTTCTCTCTGTATCTGCGAAAAGAGTTTTTTTTTATTATACAGATTTTGAAAGGTATATTAATGGCATATCGCTTCTGCCCTTAAATTTTTTAATGATTGAGCAGAGCTCGCCTACTTTATCCGAGCCAACAATTAGCAATTTTAAGGTTAGAAAATAGTGAATTTTATCAGCATATTCCAAAAGAGTTTTGTTTAGAAGAACAATTACGTTTTTTTACCTTGGATTAAAGCAGCAGTGCACGCGTACATATACAAATAATTCGTTTTATTTATTTTTAATTTTTTCAGAAGGCGACTCGAGAGGCAGCCTGAAATGCATCGCTGATCGTGGAGGGAAGATTGAATTTTTGATTAGTGGACGATTGCGGATCATGAAATTCACTAAAGCATCCGCGATCCGGGTTTTAGGGCTGGGAGGTCGGTGTTTGCCAGCAATAATGGAATAACTAATTAGCTCGGTGGTGATTCCAATCACGATTCTGGCCAAGTGCTTTGGTGAATAATAACGCTGTTTTTTATTAAAAGGGCTTTCCAATATCCGAGGGTAAATTAAAACAACAAGGAAGATACAGATTTAAAAAAAGCCCTCATTAAATTTCTAAATTTTAACAAAAATTTGTGTTTTCCTTTTAATTAAAAAATAAAATTAAAGCCCTTATATGTTTTTACAATAAATCAGTCTCTCTTATTCTTTCCAGTGCATTTCAGGTTGCCCATATTTTGCCGTGAGTTAAATTTATCATGTCAGTTGGTGTTTATTAAGATATCAACAAGATTAAGGTGTCCTAGTTAATCTTCAGATCGTTAATTGGCTTAGAACATTGGTTTAGATTTTAACAACATTCAGAGTTAATTCACTTGCTTATTCACTAGAAAATGGACGACTTGACATTTTGGCAGGATATCCGGAGCTCATCAAACAATTATCATCAGTGTCCTGTCCTTTGCTTGATTGAGCCGAAATATAAACATACACATAGAATAATAACACAGGGTTGCGCAGAGAGAACACCGAGTCTCTTTTATTCTTTTTGCAACGAAGGAGGAAGAGACGCCAGTTTTGTCTCTCGTAAGGGGTAACCAAAGACGCTGCGGAAAATGGAAATAAATTGGGGGATCACAATCAAGCCGAGCAGAGAAAACACACACGCCATAGAGAAATACATAAAAAGATCAATTGCCGAGTAGAGTCAAGGGTCTGCTCTCGTGTGGAAATTTTATTAAGGGCCGTGTTTTATGGGCTCTCTCTTTTTCTTACTGATAATAAGCTCCATATGCCGCGCTCTCTGCAGAAAGAGAGGGGACCGTTTGCACTCAGAGGCCTTTTATCAGAGTGAATTATGAGTTCGAAAAAGCAGGGCGGCGGTCGTGATCAATATAAAAGGATTTTTCACGGGGGACCGCACAAATGCGACTAATTACGCCTTCCATTAAGGAGGAAAAAGTCGCGGCGGAATATCGACGAGAGTGGATTTGAATAATTTTTTTATTCACATTATTAATCGCGAGAAATCGCGCAAGAAGAAAAAGCAATTTGATTTTTTTTCTGAAGCAGATACTTATGAAAAAGTATCATAAAAAAGGATGATTGATACTTATAAAAAATTTAGTTTTGAAGACATTATTTAATAAAAAAATCTCACTTTTTTACTTAAATAAGGATAAGTGGCGGAATATTGATCAGACTCCAACTTCAGAGATTTGCATTTTTATTTTTTGCTCCAAGGACCGGGGCAAGTTGTAAAAAATTTGGCGTCTTTTCGTTCCTCTCTCGAGCATACCCATTTATATTTTTTATTCTTTCTTCCGCACATTTATGAATATATATAAATTCAAAATTTGGCACAAGTTTCGTCCTAGTGGCGACTAGACGAGCCGGCTGATTGTCACGAAGCCGAGTTTGAGATCAGCGGGCTGTAGAGATTGTCCATGGGAATGTTGGAGGTGGAGGCGATTGGCGTGGAACTTTTCTCCTCGTTCGGCGTCTCGTACAGCAGACGGTGCTGAATTGTGCGCCGTTTGTAGACCAGCAGGCCAATCAGTGCCAGGATGAAGAAAGACAGGACGATTGAGAAGAGCAGATTGACGGAGTGTTTGTTGTTCTGGATGCCCTGCAGCATGAAGGTGGCGTGCTGCGTCTTGGCCAGGGTGCACGAAATGTTGACGTAGAAGCCCGATTGCTTATCCTCAAAGGTGATGCAGAAGCGGTAGGTTGTGTCCGGCGCCAGTTGGCTGATGGTGTACGACCTGACGAAGGAACTGACGGCCACGCTCGACCAGTTCTCAGCCTCGTTTTGTCTCCGGTATAAAATCTGGTAGGTCGGGAATGAGTTCCTGGCCGTCCCGTTCCACACCAGGGTGACGAAATTTGCTGAGATTCCGGTTGGGAAAAGGTTGATGTCAATGCCACTGACCATCAGGGTCATGTTTGTCCGGGCTGTTGCCATTTTGTTTTCGGCGACGCAGGTGTAGACGCCGCTGTCGGTTGCTTTCAGGTGGTAGAAGATCAGGGTGCCAGGGTTTCGCAACCTGAGGCGAACCGAGTTTGAGGTGGCGTTGAGTACCGAGCCGTCAGGTAAGATCCAGTGCAGCCTGGGAATCGGCACACCCATAGCACGACACTCCAGGGTCAAAGGGTCGCCCAGTTTCCTGCTCACGTTGGTGCCACTGATGTGAACTATCTGGGGCCCGCACTCGATGGGCAACACCCTGGCAGGGGCGCAGGTCAGGTTTTGTGGGGATTCGAATTTGGCGCGATTCTGCTTGATCCAGAAGAAGTTGCAGTCGCACAAGAGGGGGTTGTTCAGGAGGGAGATTTTGGTCAGGGCGGATGAGGTGGTGACCAGCTGGCGACTCAGACCTCTCAGGTTGTTGTTGTTCAACCTGAGCACGGCCATTTTGGTGGTGTTGGCGAAGGCCTCGGGGTCAATGAAGTCCAGTTTGTCGTTGTCTTCCATAGACATGATGGTCAGGTTGTACAAGTTGTGGAAAGAGAAGCCATCAACTATTCTCAGGTCACTCATTTTTGACGCTGAAATCTCCTGCACGCTCAACTCACTGAATGAGTAGGCCTGCAGTTTGCTGACTGGATTCATATCTACCTTAAGCAACCTGAGATTGCCCAGGGTCTGAAGGGCAGCGTTAGGAATCACGGCCAGTAGGTTGTTATCCAAAAGGAGAGTGTGCAGAAGGGATAAACCGGCAAAACCCTGCGGTTCAATGCCGTTGATGCGGTTGCCGCTGAGCACCAACCTCTGCAAACGGTCGGTGGCGCGAAAAACGTTTCTATTCACATGGTGGATAATATTATGCGCAAGACTGAGATTGACCAAATTCCGAAGACCCAAAAACCACTCCTCGTACAACGAACCAATCATGTTCGAGTCCAAGTTCAACCCCTTTAAATTGTTTAACATGACAAAAGCGCCGTCCTCGATGTAATTTATACGGTTGTCACTCAACACCAAATTCTCTAGTTTTTCCAAGCCGGAGAAAGTGTCACTGAAAATTGTGGATAATTCGTTCTTGGCCAGATTCAGGTAGATCAGGGAGCTGTTGGTGCCGAAAACTCCCCTGCCGACGGCCTTGATCCGATTGCTGGAGACATCCAGTTCTTTGAGTCGAGAACTGAGGGGTGGAGCGGCCGTCAGTTCTTTTAGTGAGTTGCCTTTGAGGGAAAGCGCCTCCGTTTCAACTGGAATCTGGTCGGCGGGCACATCATCCAGGTTCTGGTACGAGCAGTCGGCGGTCACCAGGCGCGCAGACGAGAACACCGAGGTCAGCACGTCACAGCGGCAGTGCAGCGGGCACTGAGCGGTGCCCCCGGCCACCACCGCCGCCAACCACACCAGCACGCTCGCCCACATTACATCATCTGAAACAGAAAAATGGAAAATATTAATCGCAAGCAGAGGAAAAAATGAAATTTATTTAAATATACCAGACTTCTCTTAAAATTAGAGAGGAACAATGTTTTAAAGGGTGAGATTATTTTATTTTTTCCAATTTAATTTTAAATAGTAGATTATTTGGAATAATAAATTTTTGTGTGTGTATCCACCCCAGAAATTCAATTGCTTTTATTCAAGTATCAATAAAATAATAATTATTCTTTTTCTTTAAATTCAGTGGCACTTTGTGAACAGACCCGATAAAATATTAAAGTTTTAAATCAAAGTTTTGGAATAAACCAAATAACCAAATTGCATGCATAAATATATAAATAAAAAAGTATTAATGAGATTTAAAAAAATTTTTAAATAAAACTAATAAAGGAATATTGATCTGAAATTAATAATTTTTAATTTATTTTAAAAAGTGTAAAATTTAAATGTTTAAAACATATAGTCTGCATTTTTAATTTTTAAATTGATATAGTGTTTATTGATAATTTAATTTTTAAATCTATAAATGTAGTCTCATTCTTGATCGCAGCATCATTAAAATAAATTTAAAAAAATCATCATTTTGTTACATCAAATTCAGTATAAGAAGTTTACAGAGTATATAAAAAATATATAATGATAAATTATACAAAAAGAGCAGAAGAGCGAGAGCAAATAATTTAAAGAGCGGAAGAATTTTAAAAAGTTGGTGAGCGGAGCAAGAATGGAGTGAAAAGTCTATTCAAAGAGTGAGAGCAGAGCAGGGAGCGGAAAAGTCTAAGAAATTGTCATCAAGAAAGTCAAAATCAAATAGAATGCAAAAAAATCATAAATTATTTCCATGCCTAATTGAAATAGCAAAATTTTCAAATTTTAAGGTAATTTAATTTTCTTTTAATTTCACTTCTTTCTTCTTAAAATCTTGATACATAGAGGAGCTAAATTACCTCTGGAAATTCGCTCCAAAGAAAATTCCTTGGCTCTTTCCACCCCCCTTTAGAAGCGCAAGGTATTGCAAAAAATTTTAATGAAACGCTTAAAAGGGCAAATTTAATGGTACGGCGCGAACGACATTAATCTTTTCTGGCGAGTGAAAAGGTACACGTTCGCCTCCGGCTCAACTTATTCAGGCCTTTTTACGATCTTGCTCCTTATTCGCCAGAGTCCATTATTATATTCAACCCTTTGTGCCCTGGAAAAGCAATTTCGGGCGCTGCTTTTTCTTCCCCGAGATCGCGAGCACGCGTTCGGCGCTGATTCGGTGCTAATGCAATATTCCTTTCATTGATTATGGGTTTCTCTGGCGCGCAAAAAGGCCCAATCACTTTCGCATCTCACAAGTTTGACTACTTGTTTCTTGTTTGCTATCGCGCTCTCCACCGCACCAGTTTCATCAAACAACGCCGGAACTTTTGACTCCCTGCACTGATACGAACAAACTTCGGCGAGAGTGTCTCGCCAAGAAAAAAAAACTTTTTCTCCCCCCAAAGAAAAAGGAGTTGCTCCGATAAACAATTTTATTCGTCCTTTTTGGAAAGGAAAATTAAACCCAAGAGCTTTTGGCAGAGACGATTTTTTTCTCGTAATATAAAAAATGAGCAGCCACGGATGAAAATGAAAAATTGCGTTTTTGTGTGTGGAGAGTTACGATGCACAAGTTCCTCTCCTCATCTCTTTTCACGCGCAGTTGCTTTTGCAAAATAATTTTGGTTGGAAATTTATATATCCGGCGGCAACCGTTGGGGAGAGGAGGAAAGGCGCGAACCGGATGATTTAGAGCTGCAAAGTAGGCTCTGATCAGTGCGTAATTTGATCCCTTTGTGAGTGGATTTTCATTGAAAGAGTGAAAAGTCGTGTCCCGAAATCTGCGATAAATATTTAACCCGTCCGACGGGCGGCGTGATTTATTTCCATTGCCGGGCAGGGCGAGCGAAAAAGAGAGCAATAAAATCTCTCCCTCTCTCCTCTATCGTACTTTTGTGTTTGTTTTTCGCTACGTTTTTTTGTGTTGTTAGCCCTGTTGGTGCGATCAATCGCGTCTGCTTCTTGGCCGAATCTAGTCTCCAGCTCGGACACAGGATCAATTTTTCATCTGGCGTTATGAAAAAGATGCTTCCGACGCTTAACGCCAACAAAAACATTTGTCGTGCGGCACATTTCTCTCTTCGCAACAGCAAGTCTCACGAGACTTTGCAGAATTATTTATTGCATCATTTGTTTTTTTCCCAATACTCGTTTCTGAGATAGAGGACGTTTGAATAAAATATTGGTGGAATATAGAACGGACGTGATTTCGGGTCCCAAAAGAGGCGATTTGCACAAACACGTAAGGTCGTTTTTAGGAGGCTGTGGCCGTAAACAATAACATATTTGAATTATTCATCAACTTGGCTGGGGAATAACAGTTTGTACATTTTTATACCTAGAGAGTGCCTCTCTGGTTTCTGGATTTCAATAATCAGGGAAAAAATTGTTAAAGATTAAAAATGCTTTTTATCAAACATAAAATACATAGAAATACATTGAAACAAAGCAAAGGCATGTAAAGTTAAATATTCCATTGCGGTTTTTCTACTTTTTCAAGTGCTTCACAAAATAAATCATGTCTGTGTGGCTGATATTATATGCATTGTTTTCATTGCATAAATTTTTAACAGAGTGGAAGTCTGAATAAACATGAGCAAAATTGAAGATTTTTCAGAAAGGGCTAAAAAATTGGCGGACCAAATTTTGCTCCAATTTGCACAATCTTCTTCAAGCGAGTCGAAAGAGGGCTTGCTCGATCTATTTTACCCTTGAAAAGGAACAATTTTGACTCCATAAAACAACGGAAAACAGTCAAAAAAGATTTTACTTTATCCGAAACCTCTTTTTAATTTCATAACCGTTTGTTATTTTTATGAGAAGTGAAAAGATTATAGTTTGGAAAAAATTATGTAAAATTCGGATATTTTTAGTTGTTAATTCGTTTAGAAAATCAATTGATGCCATGCAAAAAATTATTTAATTTTATTAAAAAGATATATCATGAATATTATAAAATATTAAATATAAAAAATTTAAACATTCAAAGGAGTTTAATTATTTTAAACAAGAAAAATATCGCAACAATTGTCAGCAAATATAAATGTTAAAAAAATTTAAAAATAAAACTTTCAGAATTGATTAAACAATTGACAAAATTTCTAATAAATTTGAAACTTTTTAAATAATTATTAAATTTTTACGTTTTTTGGCAACAAATAAGGCGCAGTCTAGGTGTGGTTTCAATGTTAGTGTGAGAGCGAGAATTTCGCAATGGTATATCGATTTGGCAGTGGTCGCGGGCACCAGAGTAGTCCTCCACAGTAACGAGACTCTCGGGATCCTTGACCTTTTTCCCCTGCGCGTTTTCGCTTGCTCGCCCGCCCGCCCGCTCTGCAGGGCGTTAATTTTGCGTTCTCATTTGCCCCGAAAAGCCAAAAAGCTGGGGTGGTGCGGCGGCGCCTATAATGAAGCGCGCGTGGCTGCCCGTCGTCCCAATTCATTTGGGCACTTTAATATAAAAACACGCCAGAGAAGGGCCGTGTGCGACGCAAAGAAACGCAGTAGTTTGCCCAGCGACGCTTTTATATTTATTGCGCGGTGAACCGCAGGTCTGCCTGCAAACGTGTGCGGCGCGCATCAGGGTGGAATGCGAGCGCAGATATAACGGCGATGATATTTATTTGCAGCGGCACCAAATGGGCAAAATTACAATAACGAGATCTCCTTCGGCAGTGCAGCCCGTTTTTATGGTGATGAAAAGAAATTCTCCTTCTTGGCTTTAAAAATTAATGTTCCGAAAAACTTTTCCAGTGGAAATATGAATCTTTATGAAAATGAGAGTTCAAAGTTGTAATTCCCTATACTTATGGAGAGAAAGCACTTTGGTGCTTTAATTTCCTGCAGAATTGAAAGGCTGAGAAAAAAGTTTGCCAGAATTTTAAAATCTAGTGAAAAATTTTAAAATTAAAGTAGTATTATTTTTAACTTCTTCCATTTTTTTGATATAATAAAAATTATCATTACTGTTTATTTGTTTGTAACAATGTGGACAAACAAACAACAATAAATTACAATACAATGTTTACATTCAATTGTTGCGTTGAAAGTTCATATTTAATTTTTAGTTTTGTTTTTTTAAAATTAATTTGAAATTATTTTCTGATTATTTATATTGCAAATTGATAAAAAATAATACTTGTTACATGAATTTAAAATAAAAATACGTATTATAATATTTTCACTGTTTTTGTTTTTTTCATTTAGATTAAAATTTATCATTATCGAAATGAAATGCGCAAGTTATTGATAAATTGCCAATCTCGAGACGATGATTTTCAAGCGCACAAGAAGGTAGAAAGATCAATCGGCGTGCTTTGAACGCAGCAAGCCATAAAGTCTGTCGTCGACTCTCTCCGCCAGTGAGGTTGGAAATTGGTTCTTAATTAGGCCCTGCGAAGCGGATGGCGCGTGTAATATTGAATTACCATGTTCATTCTGCTGACGAGAGGAATTTTTAATCATGTACGCCAGTTTTGACAGAGAGAGCCAGCCATCGATCGTTTATAGCAGGTTCCCTGAGAGTGCGTGTGCGTTTTTCTACTTTGTGGACGAAAAAGAAGAGAGATGAAACTTTTAAAAGAGTCACAACTACTTTCGGGGCTGCGCGACGACGATTAAAGTTGAGAGAGCCGAAATGCCACAATGGCCGCGGCTAATTCGTAATAAAAAATAGAGCTCGGGAAAGGAAAACTTTTGCGGAAAAGTTCGCTCTGAATTAAACAAGCAAATTGTCTGCATGCATGTCACACTGACTGCGGACTTTCTTCCGGGCACAAAGAAAGAAGGGGCATTAACGAGTTTCTGATGGCAACAATAAGGAATCCTTCTCCCCCTGGCTCTTTCCTCCATCAGCTGCTACAAAGAATTTTCTGCCTGATTGGTCGGCTGATGATTCTCTGCGTCT